TTCTATTATGGTATTGCTCACGGTTTTGATTTTATGACGACATAAAAATAAAAATTCTATAAGGGATTTGACCGTAATTTGTGACTAAGGGGGCAAAGATTCCCCCGGAATGATTTCAAACTTCATTTTTCCGTAAAATTTAAAATACAAGCTCAAACAATATGAAAAATGGTATCCCGCTTAGAATTATGGTGATAAAACCAAATCCGAGCTTATAAAAAGTCGTATAATTAAGTTTGGAGAAATTTCCAAAACGAGGTCGTAAGTCGAATTGGTGTATTGTAACCCCTTGTAAGTTCATGCAGCTCCTTGTTTTGAGATTGGAGTGCTGCGCTCAATGATGATATTCACCCCAAAGGCTATCAGGAAATCTTAGTTGATTATTTTGCATATCCTATCTGATCTATAAAAATTTTGTTAGTTATTCAACGATAACCAATTACTTCTTTTTTTGCTAAAGCTCGTCATCAAAGACATTAGAGAATGGGGTTAAATGTCCGTGAGGGGAAGGATATGTTTCAGACTTAAAAGTGATGTCCCTGGACGAAGACCTCCTTTCCTTGTGCGTGCAGAGATCAATGCTTCCATCAAGAATTTGAATTCTCTTTAAAATGTACATATGGATCAAAGCAATGCACAAATTCTTTATGCAAACTGCTTATATTTCTTTTTGCATCAAAAACTAGCATTATTTAACTGATGCAAACATTCCATTGAAAATTTAACGACATTAGTTTGCCATATATTTAGAAAGATATTTCAGTAGGCGTTTTGGTGCATTTGCTGTAGAATAAGAGTTTGACATCTGACTTCAAACAAATAAAATCAAAACAAAAAAAGTAAAGAAACTGTTAGATTTATATGATATATGAAAGAGGTTGTAGAATACAGAAATCATTTATATGAAGAAGAAATACTTGGCTGATCAGTTCTACGTGGTTCTCTAAGGAAGACGTTCTGCTTTCTCTAGAAATAACCAAGTATCTCGAGCAAGACACAGTAGTGTAGAAGACTTAAATATAGTTTTCGAATAAAGTGCAATGTTTGAGAGTGCTACTAACGGTAAAATACTCCTTACAAGAACATTGTACCGGCTCTGGAGCGAGAGGGAATTCACTCTTGCAAATAGCGTACGAGATTTCCCCTAAAACAAAAGGATTTCCAGGGATTTTCAGATAAAACAATAGGATTTCCCCAAAAAGTGTACGAGATTTTCTTGGAGTGATTTTCCTCTCGCTCTGGAGTATTAGACTCTGGTATGTAAAACTAGACTTTCCATACTCACAGAGATGTTTCGAGTCCCACTAGCTGATACGGTAATAACATTGAGTTCGACAAAAAAGCCTGAACACAACAAGCCAGAATACTTTCAAACCGAAACGTTAGTTGATTGAAATCAATTAAAATTGTTATTAAACGAGGATCCGAATGCTTTTTCAACATCTAATTGCCTTTTCATGGCATACGTTCTAAGTCTTGCACCTGACTCTTGCTTTTGGTTACGAATTGTTTCTTTAACATGTTATGAAGCTTGAGCACCTGGAGATGGGCTTATAAACCTCGTTACTTTGTAAAAAGCAAATTCCGTATACAAGACAATTTACTAACAATGTAAAAATGAGATTAACAAAATGATTTTCAGGCGTTATATGGTGAATTATCAATAATGACAGCTCGCTACACAATAAGGCTTTTTAAATCCAACGTAAGAACTAAATTCCCAGATGTGCCTTTTAAATTTTACGATTTTGTAAATGCTGTATCATACTGAGGTTGCGTATCATACTAAAGTACTTTGCGATATGAAATAAAAAGGGTCTGATAATGGTTTTCCTGACAACTTTATGACGTTATTTGTAGTTTTCGCCTGCACTACCACACGAGTTTGATTAAGTAGAAGAAAAATAGGGATTCGACAGCTAGCTACATGCAACTGCGAATAAAGCTCGACTTCAGAAGTTTACGAAGGATAATACACAAGATTCCTCTCGACATCCATCTACAACTTTAACTTCCTCTACTTCGGTATCAACATCCAGATATCTTATTACTCAAACTTCGATAACCGTCTGGAAATACACAACGCTCGTTCGAAGCCCTTTTTCGTAGACATTGCTTTCTTCTTCATTTGATGTTACTGTAATTTTTAGGAAAGAAAATCAGTTTTTAAGAACAAAACATCAAATGTTTCCTGGGTCACTATTTCAGGATTATTCAATCTTTTTATATAAGCGAAATGACGAACAAGTTTTCATTTCTTTGAAAGAAGAAAAAGAAGGCATTTTAGATATGTGGCAAACTTACAAACAGAAATGGATACCAAAGATTCAAGAAATCAATTCTTTTAAATTTTAGTATAAGAATTAAAGATGATACTTTCAAATCGCAAATTTAGGTGCAGCTTGACGTTACAGGTTGAATGATTACAGATTAAAGAAAATTATTGACAAAATCTATTTTACCCTTCTACACAAAGACTTGAAAGTTCTGCATAAAGTTTTCTGATTCCGAAACCGGTAGAGTTTTCAACTAAGATACACAAAGTAAATAGCATTGATGTTTTTATATTGCTTATCACGTTGTAGTAGTTCTATTAGAGTTTATTGCCTCCGCTGTTCAGAGTTTGAGAACAGAGAATGACGAGGAAAACCTTTTATCAGATAACTTGATCTACAGAAAATTTCAGAGATTGTCTGCACTTACTTGCTGCTCGACTTAAAACAAATAAAGACACATTTATCAGAAACAGACTTCATTTTAATTGCAAAATGAAATTACGTGACCCTAACGGACAAAAGACAATTGCCAGCAGACAGAATACGCCGCAGAATGAGCATGACCTTCGACAAATTAGTGCACTGCTCTTCACAAGTGAAATTTGATTTTGAAAGCCATAACAATTTATTTCAATATTTTAGGTAAAGATGGAAAGATAAGCAAAAGGTATTTGAAAACATCAGAGCACTTGATTTCATCTGATAAGAAAAGTGAATGTTAAAACGGTGCACCACCATGTGATGATAACGGACAAAAGCGACAGTGAAAAGCCGGTAAACTAAAGCGAACAATTCAATTTCTGCAGACTTTAGACATGTCTGCAGCCCTATAAAGAAAGCATGGAAAATGTTTGGTTATTTATATTACATCACTTGGCAGTGAAATGGCTAAGTAACTAGTAATTTCTTTGTGAAAATGCGAAAAGAAAGTTCGCAAATTTTCCAATAGTTGCCTTATGTTTTTGAGTGTTTTCATTTAGGATGACAGTTCAAAACGTAAACATTTCAACAGGCAAGATCTTTGGTGTTTTATCTTCAATACTAAAAAAATTGAATCACATTGAAAAGATTGAAGATGAGGCAAAACAAATCATTTTTCATCAATTACGGTAAAAAACGAGCGAGGAGATATTTCATGGGAGAAAACAATAAAATATATCATGGTTTAAGAAGGAATAATCTTCTCTAAATAACAAAATCAAGAAAATTTTAGGACCCATTTGCCGTACTTTCATAGCAGCTGCTAAAATCGAAAACTTTTTCTTTTTCCATGTTTCAGTCTGCGAGATTTCAATTACTTTTAGTTGTGTTGGTATGCAATTATATTATTTTTATTTAACTAGAAAATCTTCATTCCTTTAATAAAAAATCTGGAAAAACGGAATTTTCACAAAAACAGTATGTATTCGATGACATCATTGTCTTTAACCAACCACCCTTAGTTTATGATAAATTTTCCGTTTTTTTTTCTAAATTTTCACAAGAAACGTATCCTTAAAAAATTTCTAATCTCTCTGGCTTGGTCTTATAAATGAAGAAGACCTGTGAATCAACATAAAAGCTTTATAAACGACCTATCTATTAATTTATTAAGTGTTAGATATCTTCTACACTCATATCTACTTTAACATCCGCACTTCCAGCTATATCAGATATCCTTCATGCTAACGCGATTATGTAGCCTAAAACAACAGAGTTCACCAGTCTTATTAAGCGATATCTAAGCCCTGGCAAAACGACTAAATATTTCACTAAACATTTCATTCAATATTTGTTTAGCGAAGTTGAGCGAGGGTGGCAAAACTTGACTAAACTTTGCACTAAACTTTGCTCAATATTTTTGAACTGCGACCTGTGTAAGACGCTGTGGGGTTGTAAAGGATATTACATAGGAAATTTCTTTCTGTTTTGGTTGTTGTACGTTAGCATAAAAGACTTCCAGTGCAAAGAGTGGGTAAAAATAAAAATTTGCTGAAAGAAAGGAAAAGAAAATACTTTTTAGCATATCGATAACAAAGTTGACTGTTGAAAAAGTCAGTAGCCTACAAGGAGACAAAGCAAATGTCTCACGAAAACATTCTAGAGATTTTGGGCCACTTAGAGACAAGAAAACCGAAAAAACCCTGGAAAACCTTTGGATTCCGACAGCTACGGCGCCTGTGCTGGCACAACAAATGTATAATTGGTAGCAAAACGACTAAGCATTTGCTAAACAACACTAAACAACACTAACATTTTTGACCAGAATCAAACTTTGCTCAACAACACTCAACACGACTAAACAACACTAGACAGGGTGGCAAAACAAATAAGCTTTCCACTAAACTTTTCACTAAACAAAAGTTGTGTGAAATGTTTAGTGAAATGTTTAGTCGTTTTGCCAGGGCTTTACTTTCATCTCAAATGTTATCGGCTTGAATGTTGATAAACCAGTACAAACAAAACATTTATCATGGACTGACTAAATATAAACGCTATGCAGATCATTTCTTTTCGAAACTATCAGAACCATTTCAATTCGTTCACTGTGAAGATTTGATAACTCTAAACAAAGTTTCCAGTCAACTGGCTCCCCCCTGTCAAATCCAACAGATCAATTTTCCTGACATTTTATTGAGAACTCAAGGAGTCCATCTTACTTGCAGACGCAATTCACTAAGATATTTACAATCTAATTCCACATCGGGGGTCGGGAATCTTTTCTTTTACCCAAACAATAAGTCACCCCGAGAGCCCGATTTGCGCCTGCGCACTTTAACTCGGTAGAAATATCCGTCGTCGTAGGAGCTTAAACCTTTCTTTCTTGTGGTTGAGAAGAGAAATCAACATTTCACTCGACAATATACTTGCCTTATTTGCATCTCTCTCCCGTATTCCCATAGTAAGGGGGGACATATTCTATAGGGCACGACCCGCTTCTGTCCTGTTAGATAATCTAACGGCCGGTGGGGTTCATGCTGGGTGAGACCATAGGGTTTCTCATATGGTTTATGACTGCTATAAGCTGGGTCTTTAAAGCACCTTTGGCTTTCTTTTAACGATTTTTGTCTTCGCAGTCCAACAGTGTGTGGAACTGAGTCCGAAATTTCTATGTTGCGAAAACTGCAAGTCAAGTCAGAAGGAGCGGTGTTATTGTGAAGGAGCATTTGATAAGCGGTCTTTCTTGATAGTATTGGAAATGCGCATTTGTTCACGAGCCTCATAAGGATGAAATTAACACTGTCCGGCAGATGATAAATTAACAACCTTGGCCAGGCTAGAAGAAAGCTAGTCAGGCAGAGAATACTTATCGAGAAGATAGGGAGGAAAGTTAAGCTCGCCTTCAGCTGTCTTGCAGTGTTCTTATAAGGAAGCAGGCCAGGTCTTACAGCTGCCAGCCTGATTGACATGCGAAAGGAAATTTGAGTATTTGAATTTAAATTATTCAACAAGCTAGAAATATTCCTTTGTTCAGGCATTTAATAAACGTTGGATACAAGATAGACTGTGATTTCAGAGGCAGTACAGGGAAAGCACAGAGTTATGTGAACAAAGTAACCGTAAAGAGAAGAGGAGATGCAAAGTAGAGTTGTTGCTGGCTAAGTTTTGTGTAGAACAGAGCAATGCAGAAATAAAGGTAAAGCCCTTCAACTTTATTTAGTAATTACAAGATCTATTTTAAAGGTAATCAGCATAATAAGATATTTGATTTTAATGATAAAAAGCCTGATGTGATATATTTTTCTCGTTAAGTTTTGTTTGTTTAATTTTTGCTTTGACTTTTTCTTAAGGTCATTGTGCTAGCCACATAGCGAGACATCACGTTGAACATCACTGCGAGCAAATAGTATTCGTTTTTAAGTCAAGAGTTAAGTCAACTGAGCCAGCAAAACCGAGACAAAATAAGTGACAGCGTCATAGTCGATTAAAACCAATATCACACTACAGATTGTATTGCCAAGCGAGTTTAGCGACAGCACGGTATAACATTACAGAAACTGAAGCACACACAACTGCCGAGAGCAGCATAAAGTCTTGTGCATAAATACGAAAGGCTATTAGGCCCTGATATCCGCTTGTTGTATATGAGTCTAGCACATATTCAAGGTTTGCTGTGTTCAAATCGTTATTGCTATCACTCTGGCCGTGCCTGTATGAGTGATATCTTTGAACATAAGTCTCAGACGGCATTTGAGGCACAAGCGATCGTCCTGCAAACCCAAATACCCTCGCCATACCATACAGGCTCGATGCACTCCTCGTGTAACTCAAGTCAGTCGACCTTTCCGGCTCATGCGGACCCATACTTGAGACAAGACTCACATATACATCTACAAAGTAACAATGCAGGTCCTTCGGGTTTAAACGCGCCATTCTACGAGACTCTCAGTTCAAGCGGCAGCAGCTCCGCGCGATATTCACCTCATAGCCACAGACATAGCTACTACCCTTCACAATCGTCTGGCCCAACAACTGGGCACCACAGTTTAACCTCGAACGAGCCACAATCAAACCCCTACATGTGTTACCCATCATTTGTACCACCCGCACGTGGCTACAGCAGTACGTTACTGTCAAGTCATGTACCATACAGCCTCGACAGTGACATGTATGGCAGAAATCGATATGGAGCACCTCCGAATGTCCATGCTCAATTCCTAGACCAAACATTCGTGCACGGAGCACAGACAACAGCACCAGGGATGTTCTACCCATACGTTCGCCAGTCTTCTACGCCGCATATCATGACATGTATGTGGGTAGAACAACATGGGTACAGCAAAATGAAACCGTGCGGCAGGCAGTTCAGTCTAATGCAAGATATAGTTAACCATCTGAACGAAGAACATGTTCAAACTGCTGATACGGGTAACGGGCTATACGTATGTCAATGGCAGAACTGTCCACGCAATGGGCTTCCGTTTAAAGCCAAATACAAGTTAGTCAATCATCTACGAGTGCATACAGGAGAGAAGCCATTCCCATGCCCTTTTCCTGGTTGTGGTAAACTTTTCGCACGAAGTGAAAACTTAAAGATTCACAAAAGAACACATACAGGTAAGTTTTCGTGCTAGATTTCCAATTCATTCCTTTTGTGTTTGCATTCATTTAACATTGTTTACTGACTTATAGTTTTGATACAGAAATCTTCTAAAATGAGGTTGTAGTAAAATACTTTTTCCTAGAAGAAGCAAAAGAATACTCTGCCAAGTTAAAGTTCATTAATGACAAAAAATTAGTAGAATGCCCGCAATACGGCATCAGTGCTGAACGAATTGCTGTAAAAAGAAAAATTTTGAATGTTTGTTTTCTACCGACTGATACATTGATAGTAAATGTACATTGCTTTGCCTTGGCACGCAAGGAAATAAATTTATTGGAGATCTTACTACTTGCTTTGGTTCATTTGAAGTAGGTTTATTCAGCAGAAAACTTCAAAAGTTTACTGAAAGTTGCTACATTATATGTAATTATACGCACTCAAAAGCATTAAAAAGCTTTCAAAAACAACTTCCTTACAATTTAGATACTCGCGAAGCTACATGATATATTTTTTCACAAGATCAGATCAATTATTATATTCTGTTTGAGATGGCGACTTCTGTTTACTGAGTCAGTTAACAATAATATTTCGACATCATCAGATTCAAGATATCATCAGATTCATATCAAAGGCAGATAGAAAATAATCTTAGGAGACTACAGTAAAATAAAGGTATTTCCAAAGCTATGTTTGCTCTGGTAGTGCGGAAGCCGCAATATTTTTTTAAGAATACTTAAACGGATAGCACGAATCTTCAAGTATGCGTGGCTGTGTTTTCGTTTTCCTCGCTTCTATACTGTATTAAAAACTAGACATGATAGAAGCAGTTGAAGCACAACATTCAAACGCTTTTTTCATATCAGATGATGTAGAAAGGCAGTGTTTACAAAAGTAGATGTTGATGCGTGCGAGTAAATGAGACTATCTCTGCGTTGGGTTGATGACTTGCTTTGGCGCGCTCTCTACAGAGTCAGTAATGTGGTGTGTTCGGGCAAAACAGTAGCTCGCAGTTACAGAAATGTGTTTCAGAGGCATATAGCCATCAAATGCAGCTTTGGGCTATATATTTCGGTGTGATCGGTACAGTAGATTACGCTGCGTCTAAATATAAAGGTCTTTTAGGAACGCTATCATGACAATGATTAGTTTGTTTGCCTACAAACAAGACTACGGTTTGTGGTGTAGACCAGAAAAGTTCTCAGTTGCTTTTCTACTATTTCAAGTTCGTGAACCGCATCTTAGAAGAGCCCTGTTCTACATATCAAAGCTTATACAACCCTGCCTATAGCATTATATGGCAGACCGGTAAACGGTTATTTGCCGGTTAAAACAGGGTTAAATCAACGGAAATCGGGGTTGTTTTACAGCGTTGGCTACACAACAGTAATACGTACTTATAGATCACTACAAACAAGCTAAAAGCAAACATATATTTGCGTGATATGGCAATGGAGTAGTAGATAGTAGTTCCCTTTTGTTTAAGACCTGCATTTAGCAACATATATTCAGTAAGGTAAAAGGAAGCTAGCGTCAAATTCCGTCAAAAATTTTTGAAATGCTGCTACGCACAATGTTGAAGTTTTTCTCGCTCAAATATTTCTTGATCAACCTAACAGGTCCTTAAGCACTGTTAAACAGCGCCAACGGAGAAATAAGAGGCAAATACCGTGTTCTTATTGATAGCAGAAACGAATTTGTAGAGATGACTTGACAATAACTAACAGTGTAGAAAGAAATTACTTAATGATTAAAAACGATCGTAGAAATTATCAGGTACTTTAGAAAGTGTAGGGAACAGAAAGTTTTGAAGAAAACTTTTGATGATGTTTAACGTTCCAAAGACAAATAACATTGGTCTGAAGAGTTTGAATTGAATTTCAAAGACATACTTCATGATCGACAGTATATCAAGCACGTTGTAACGTACGCGGCAATGTATAAAAGTGAACTTTAATCGATATTAAATCGATACTTGGCAGTGGCTGATTTGAAAGAAAACGTCGATAGCTTGTAAAAAGAATCGTGATGGTTTGAGAAACAAACCAAAATATTAACCCGAAATGCCTGCCACCTAGAAATCATTCAAAATATAATTTATTTAACCACAGCAGTAAACTTCGTTTACAATCTATAAATTCTGTTGAAGCTACAAAGTCATCCGTGATGATTTTTCCCCATTTTTTCTTATCAAAATGCGAGAAATATATAATAAAGGAAAATACTTAGCAATATTTTTGAACTCATTAGTGTTTAAACTTCCAATATGCTTATGCTAACAAAACTATTCCAAATTATTCTCTACATGAAACAACAAAATATGCCTCTTGTACGAGATTCATGTTTGCAGAACAGATGCCCCAAATAACATACATATTAAGTTTATAGGTTCAATAAAGATTAAAAGATATTCTATAAGGATATCAAGATGTTAAGTTAACTCCATTTTATCAACAACCAAATTATTCAAACCCTAGCTGATTCGTGAATGCATTTGGCAATTTTTTCTTACAGTATTTATATTCCTCCCTAATTCTTCTTCAGTTATTTCTAATGCTAAGTTGACTCGAGTCCCACACAGGAAATATAAATTACTAGATTTTTAAATTTTCTTTATATCTAAGAACATAGACATACTTTACCAAAAATATTAGACTCTATAAACTTATATAATTATGTGATATTCACAACGCGCTGTAGATAAATAATCTTGACATGTTTCTTTAAAGGATCATTGGAATAAAAACGGGCAAATAAGTTAGTTTTGAATTTTAGCATTCTCTTTAATATTTGGATAGCTAAGTTAGGAATAATGATTCTTTTTAAACAAAGACATAAAATGAATACAGATATAAACATCGTATAGGTTTAATAGAAAAACCGGGAATAAAATCTAGTTGTTGCGTAAGATTAAACATTGTCGATTTACGTGATTGATCATTTAATGAGAAGACTTTATTACAGCCAACAAGTTTTAGTCCAAGCAAAAACATATCAAAAAATATTGATATTTGTTGTATTAGAGTTTTGAAAGAGTGAACGTAGATTTTGTGGAATGAGAATCAATACAATTCATTTATAAAAGGATATTGCAGTTAAATAATATAAAAAGGCTTGAAATAAACATTTATAAAAGAAACTTGCTTATTGCATCTCATTCCATTATTTAGAGTTAGCATACACTAGGAAACGTTGACAGAAACAAGAAGATTTAACGTAAGTGTTAGAATAAATTTGGTTAATATTAGTGTTAATATTAAATACAGTTGCTTGATGATCGCTATAAGCGTGAAATTCGGAGTAGCAGCTTAGAACCATCCTGTTCTATACACCAAATAGCATGTACAGCTCTGCCTATTCGACATCGAACACTTTATGACAGACCGATAAACAGTAATTTTCATAAGTTTTAATAAATTACACACCAGCATATCTCGCAGGGTAACCACAATTGCACACAACTTGTTCTGCATAGCGTAATGTGCTCAACAAGTACAAGTTACCTCAACATTTCATTTTTATAAGATCTCAAATTTATCTTAAAAGTTATAAATTAAATGAAATCGCAATTTGAATTAGAGGTGATGAAAGCTAAATACAGCTAATTAGTTATAGACACGGAATCTCTTATTTATTTATACTTTTTTCTGTAAAAAGATACACTATCCCACAGAAATGATCATCAAAAGACCACTAATTAAAATGCGTTATTGGATTATATATAAAATCAAATTTAATGTTTCTGTATCTTAGCGGGTAAAAGTAAACAGGGTGAAAGAAGAGGGGGTAAAATAGAACTGTATCAAAAAGAAAAGGAAAATTAAAGTCGGGTGAAGAAAAATCAGGAAAAAATAAAGTCGGGAAAAATTTTGGCCACCTGCAAATAATTTGGCTACTTTTCATGACTTTTTCCCTGGTAAGATATTTCGCCACTGATCCACAGCTTGTTGTCAAAATGCTCTACTATATTTAGATAGAAAATTACGTTTTTAAATGTATAGAACAAGACGGTTCTAAGAAATTTGCTACTTCGAGTTTTATGATAAATGCGATCATCAGGTCAAAACTACTCTCCAAGAGAAAAGACTACTCTAATGAGAAGTTATACTCACTTCCAAGGCAATACCTGATATAAGGCAATACCTATCAAGGCAATACCTCATATAAGGCAATACCTATTAAGGCAATACCTAATATAAGGCAATACCTATCAAGGTAATACCTAATATTAGGCAATACCTATCAAGGCAATACCTTTTATAAATGAATACCAATCAAGGCAATATTTAATATAAGGTAATACCAATCAAGGCAATACCTAATATAAGGCAATACCTAATATAAGGCAATACCTATCAAGGTAATACCTAATATTAGGCAATACCTATCAAGGCAATACCTTTTATAAATGAATACCAATCAAAGCAATATTTAATATAAAGCAATACCTATCAAGGCAATACCTAATATAAGGCAATACCTATCAAGGCAATACCTAATATAAAGCAATACTTATCAAGGCAATATTTAATAAAAGGCAATACCTATCAAGGCAATACCTAATATAAGGCAATGCCTATCAAGGCAATACCTAATTTAAGGACTATGAAAGACGATACCAGTGTCACGGGGCAGTTATATCATTTTGAGGATGCCAAAACATTGTACACCTTGGAAGAAGAACTAAGAGGCAGGTGGTCCTTTGCCTGTATCATGATTATCTGTATTTGCTTGTTTCAAAAAGGAATTCAAAATAGTTTAAATGTTTCAGAAAGCGATTGAGCCTGGATCATTATAAAGTTATTACAATTTTTCTTAACTTGGTAGAAATTGTTGATGCAATTATTCTGAAATGCTATATATTTTACACTTACAGTCATATTTCATTCCGGGAATTATACGGTTTTATATAGAAAATGATATTATACAGTCAATTTTACAATATTGAATTAATAATATACTACTTTTGTGGCCCTTTAAGAAAGTTCTAAACTAAAAGATCATATGAAGTAAGATACATAAGAATAATTAATTTTAAATGAAGCAAGTTTCATCCGTAATAAATAAGAGCATGTTTCATCCCATGTTAGATGCAGTAAACATCAGAATCTTCTACCGTAAATATGCACAAATGGTTTTAGCTTCTGGATTTGACAAAAACACCATCTGAAGTTTGGATGTATTTAGAAAGAGCACGTTTTCTTTGAAGTTAATACTCTAATACATTCTGTGGAATGAGCGATATCAGGATAAATTCAAATTGAAAATTTTGTCTGGAAAATGTCATGAATTTATAATTCGAGAAGATCTAGATGCATTTAGACTAAGTGAAACATGGGCAAATTTCAATCTCGGCGTGATATGTTTTATATTATGATATGCGGCTGTTACAATTTCGCATCATGCGGTTATAGGTTGAGGAATAATTCATAATTTACAAGAAGATAACTTTAGCGAGATATAAAGAATCATTTTTTTTGATGAATTGGAACCACAAAGAGTGCCAGAGTAAATAAGCTAGGTTCAAAATTTTCTCCCTTGCAAAGAAAAAGGTCAGAAGAGGAATGCCAAAAAGTAAGCTTGGTGATTATAAATGAGCAAAGCCAAAATGACAATCTGAATGTCATGGCTACTTTAGCAAGGAGATTGACTGAGATAATCCCAAACTATGAAATATAGAGCAAACAACACCTATTAGGTTACGCTAACGATATTTCATTTGAAACAAGGTAATATCATAATATTTGAAATAGATAAAGCAAAGGCGAGAATATTAACATCGAACAATGCTTATTGACTGTGAAGAAACAATGAATTAGCCAAGCAAAGCATTTTCTGTACGTTTTGAGGGGACAAATGTGTCTTTAGGATACTGGACACATTAAGACAGAGAAAGAATTAATCCAAAGAATTAGGACCCATGTGAGCAACAAGGTCAAAATGCTGAGCTAAACCACTGTTTTAGAAAGCACGCAAGAAGTCCTCTTCGAGCCGAAATTGTCCCCTTTTCAATTTGCAAAAAGACCATTTTGATAAAATCGTACATAATTAGCAGCGTTAATTTAATGATATTTACATGTTTATAACTTTTGCCACGGGCTGAAGCATCTATGAGCATCTAAGGGGGTTTCTATCGATATGCTGCTTTTGCCTCATTCCTACGTCTGACCATTCCTATAGATCTACTTTAAGAAAACCTAGAACTAAAGAAAACCTTTCGTTGGTAAGGAAGGACAATAAACACGTGAAACGCGTCCATATATGACAAAAAAGGTTTTATATGTAGCAAAAACAGCTTATTAACCTTCTTAGTGATAGAATGCGATATTAAATACCTTGGAGGTAAAGAACAGATGTTTTTGTACGAAGAATATACACAACGATGCCAAAAGGAGCATGAATGTACTTAACATCCCTGTGGGCATTAACAAAAAACTAGAAATTTACTTGAGTCTGCCCAAAAATAGCTGCAGAATGGTGCAATTTGAGGATTCTTAGCTTTGCAGGCAGATTTATCGTAAACATCATACAAATAAAATATCTGGATACCAGATGACAAAACAGCTAAAATAAATAAATAATAAGTAAAATAAGAAAAAATATTTACGGAATGGCAAGAGACGAGCAGTGATGGACACCCCAACACATCGGACAAAAAACTTTGTCCCTAAATTTCTCTTACGTGGTCAAACACTTGTAAAAGCATAGTTATTCAGGGAGTTTTTATCTTACTGGCTAGAGTGGGGGCATAGGGCCGTCCAGCCCCGGTGACTTTCAATTATTTCAAACATAGACTATAGTTTTTTTTATACAAGCAAAGGCTATCTCATCCAGCGCAGATCAGAGTATCAAGCAATAAAGTTGGCCCAGTCGGGGTTTTCAATTAGCAGCAATGGGGTTTATACTGGGACCATGATGTTTATACTTAGGCGATATTGTTTATACAGGGGGCAATTGGGGTTATACAGGAGGCAATGTAGTAAATACTGGGATCAAAACTACTGACATCAATTGTAAGAAAAGATCAAATGCAGTCCCTTCTCAAAGCTGATGTAAATGGGATTTTGGTATCGCTGAGAGATTCTTTGATTGCCTTAAGCGCGCGGAAAACCTACACAAAATGCGGCTGTCGGCAAGGTTTCCTTCAATCGTAAAGCCCTTAGATGCCTTGCTATTTACAGCAAACAACATGACAATTATATCATTACTTCTTAAATTTTCTAATTCTGATATTTCTAATTTTGATAAACAAATTCGTTTGTCGGCTTCAATGCACGTTCTTTGCTTAACGTCAGCAAAAATTCATTGAAAAAAGTTAATGCAAGACTTTGTGAAGAGAAGGACGATCCGTTGTTGTGAGCGCTTAAGATCGGGCGCTTAGTATGGAAAAATGACAAAATGGCTACTATGACAAGCAAAGGGAAAGAAACTCGTAACCCGTTTGCCGTTGCTGGATCTGCTACACATGGCAATCTAGACAAATTTAGCTGAAGTCAAGAATACGTTGCGATAAAAATCCAACGACATTAGTGGAAAGCTACAATAAGACGGTATTGCCTCACGATGCAACGTTTGGCAATGCAATACGGTGGTTTTACAGGGCTCCATACGATGAACAGTACTATTTTATCTATCGCGCACTTATAAATAAACTGCGAATTTCTTTCTCTTAGTATTTCGAAAGTACAACAGTTTGTCATTATTTCATTAATGAGAAAAATTTCTTAGAAAGTTAGTTTATACTTTCTTTGAACCATTTATTATTTTATTAATTCATTTATTCATTCATTCTACATTCATTCATTCATTCATTCATTCATTCATTCATTCATTCATTCATTCATTCATTCATTCATTCATTCATTCATTCATTCATTCATTCATTCATTCATTCATTCATTCATTCATTCATTCATTCATTCATTCATTCATTCATTCATTCATTCATTTATTCATTCATTCATTCATTCATTCATTCATTCATTCATTCATGCTCATTCATTTGCTCTTTTATTCATTAGTTCGATCATTCATTCATTCTTTCATATATCCAATAGAGTACCGAAGTGTGACGTCATCAAAAATATTTTTTTAGAATTTCTTAAATTTGACCACATAATCTGAAAGAACAGCATAAAATACCTCTTAAAATGCAAAATCAGTTATATATGCTCAAAACTGGGCGAGAAAGGGCCAATGGAAGGTTTAAAGTTTGCTAAAGGATTACTGTTATTCTGGCCTGGTTCATAAAGTTATGAAACCAAGACCAAATTAAAGAGGTTTAATGGGGCAAGATTCTGTGCTCATATGGCCATATCTCAGCCAATTCGTAATACTTTTAACTCATTTTGCAGATATAAAGGTATTTCATGATACTATTTCAGGTTATGGAAATAAATTTCAAAAATTCTAAAAATAGATTTTTATGACGTCATCACTTCGGTACTCTCGGTTTTCCAAGCTTCAAGCTTTGATCATAGAGTAGGAAATTGTAGCTAAGACAGCGAAGAAACTTAGCAAAGCAACTGTATCCAGTAGTTTGATCGGTCAGCAGAGAACAAAGGCTTCCAATGATTGTGAACCGAAACACAGAATCTGTCATGCAGTGGAATCTCAACTAAAAGGCGAATATGAAGAATTTCTGGCTATAACAAACCAAATATCGAGTCTGCTCATTATTTGATGTGGTTCAACAAACCACAGAGTTTAACTAGCCCCCATTATAAAGAATTTCTTTTCTACATCGCTTCCGAGTTCGTGTAGCTAACGTGTTTTTCCAGCTACGCAGTTAACTGTTTCTCTTTTTACTGCCATATTACCCCGGGTAAAGCTGTTTGTAGCCAGTGAAATTTAAAAAAGGGTACAATTTGCCCAGTCTGATGTCTCGAGGAAAATTCAGACAAGGGCAAATGCCCCCTACATTCGTGCTTTACGATTTCTGGCATTAAGAAACAACGCGGTAGCAATTAAGTTGTTTGTACAAGTGATAAGGAACTTTTTTCTCATAGCGATGGGGAAGAAGTATGCAATTTTTCAGGTATCATTGTATTCTTAAAAGTGACTGCTGCCAAAAGGGAAGCACAACACACTCCCACATAACTTAATGCGTTTGTGAACTCTTATGGATATTAAAACCTGAAGTCTGTTATTGCAAAATGCAGATTTGCAACCCATTCTTTAAACGAGCAAGTTCCAAAGATGGACCTCAAAACGATCGAAATTTCAAACAAGGAATGGTAAGATACTAAAGCAACCCACCTCGGTTAAAAAATAATGCTCTAAATTGGAGGACTGGAAGAGCTGATTGTATAGTTAAAATCATAAAAAGTATTTCAAAACATTATTAAAATAATATCGTTCACTTAAGGTATTCCATGGAGTACTGACAAACAAGAATGTTTCTGTTCACAGGCGAAAAGCCATTTGTGTGCGAATTCCACGGATGCGGCCGCCGATTCGCGAATTCTAGCGATCGCAAAAAACATTCTCATGTGCACACGTCCGATAAACCATACACTTGCACAATTGGAGATTGTAGCAAAAGCTATACACATCCGAGCTCTTTACGAAAGCATATGAAAATGCATAGCGATGTTTCGCCGACAGGCTCATCGCTATCAGGAGAGGAATTGCCGAAAATATACGTGGTGTCGAAACGAGTTCCTCGCACTTCGCCTTGCGAAAGAATAGGTGAAGATCGAGAAGTTACATTAGAATGCAAAAGCAGCTGAATCTCGTCAAGCTCTGATAATTACAATGTAATATTGCGGGTCAAAAAGGAGCAGAGCTAGTTGCTAGACATTAATTTTCTTTATTTTTTGAAAGTATTTTGTGCGAACATGTTAGCAAGCTGAGAAAATGTACTGTGAGTGACATGTTGAAATCGCCAAGCAAGCAGCTATGATCAACAAGAACGCTAAAAAATGTAAATTTCTTAAGTAGATTCAGATTATACAGTTGCTTTTGAGAATTCAGTAACATATTCTCTAAGACACATTGTACCGCCTTGTCATGAAACCACTCAGTAAATTACGATTAGCAGCGAAATAATAAAGTTTCGTCCACCCGCGTAAATTGTTACGCGATATCACTATTGCTCAATGCTCTTTATTCAATAAACAACTATTTAATGAAAAAACTTTGGGTAACTAGCAATTTCAACGGTTGTCATAGTTGCAAACGTTTCTCGTTGAGTTTGTGTTTGGCTGCCAATAGCATTTTGCATCTCAAATCCTCGACTGAGAGTATCATGAAACAACAGAAAAATCAAATTGCACTTGAAAACAACAATCTGGGTTAACAGGAATTCTTATACGGTATGATACTCAAATGATATTAAAATTTTAAATATAAACATATAGCGTTCGAGTATATTCTTGAAGCATATAGCGCCCCGTTATATCTGGAATTCCAATAAATATCATTTTCTAGCCTGTGAAAATTGTTGGGAGGTAGCCCTTCAGAGGCATTAAAATAATGTATTCGGAGAATTTAAGGTAACAAGCCTTCGGGAAAACTCTCCTAACAATATCAAAAAATAACTGTATCGCATAAAGAACCGTCGCCATGTCGCAAATTTAGGCCACATCTGAGGCAACCTGATAATTATGAAAGCTAACACTTTAAAACTGAGCGCACAGGACGGTTTTTTGTCAAGAGTAGTTCATGATATTGTTTTTATCAGAAAATCAACTTCAACATAGCCAAAACGTGGAAATATTAATTACAAAAAATATATTTCGCTTTTACGGTGGCGTTTTAAGTTGATCAAAGCTGTTTACTTAGCTGCTTGTCAGCTAATTATCTTCATGAATTGCACGTTTGTAAGGGTCTTTCCAATGACGGTCCGCTCCTTTATACACAGTAAAACCACTCAAGTCATAAAAAATTCCCTCATTTCAATTAATTGATTATTCCAATTAATTATCCCTCATTCCTTGCTCCACATACATTATAGATATAAAACTTCTCACATTTTGTCCTGGCCAGATATTTTGAATCCAAAAACTCGTGATGCGGTAACTTTTCCCGTGCAATTAAGCATATCACAAATGAGAAGACCTCAGAAACTATACTTTGCCTTTTACAAAACGCAGTCTTAACGAACTCTATAATACATGTGGAGCATTTCATTGTTTAAACAAGCAAAGTTTAAATCAAAATGAAAAATAGAATATTCCGTTTATACACGGTTACCCCTTTAGCACACTTAGTGATATTATCAACGAAAGCCCTGTAGTTCTAGACCTCCAAACCTCTTCAAATAGTAGTCATGAGTTTTATACAGGTTTTAGATTTTTTTATCTTTATTAATCTAAAGTTCGTAACCTAATTTTTTTTATCTACCCAATATTTTGCATACCTATGTCTATAACTGGCTTCGGTTTAATATTTCTATAGCTGATTTATTAATATTTCTAGGCTAATAGTCGAGGTTATTATCATATGAGCGTGAGCAGTTAGTCCTAAAATGTCTCAATCAATATATTTCTCAAGTAGATTGAAGCGCAAAGCTAGTTTTTGTTTGTCAACTGAAATAAAAGTATGAACAGAACTTCTTTCGTATATTTCGTCAAATGAAAAAAATACTGTCCTTTGAAATATCAATCTATATCGCTATTATATGTAAAGTTTTTTTGGCAGAAAAACAGTATTACCTGATATTATTTGTGATATTATTTTAGCAACGGTATAAGTTGTCAAAGCCTCTTCTAGCCAAAATAAGTGACAAAATAGCATCTAAAACGGATATTAAAGACAAAAGAGTCAAAATCTAATATCGACTGAACAATTGCGTTCACCCACATTGATTACACATCATCCACATTTTAAAATTAGGGCACATTTGCACTGAGATATATCGCTCTGCTATATATGGAATTCAAATAAGGAAAATAATCATTTTCTAGCCTGAGAAAGCTGTTGAGAGAAAGCTCTTTAGGGACATTTAAAAACTTTGTATTTGGATAATTTAAGGTAGCGAGCCTTCGGGAAAAATCTCGTGACAATATCAGACAATAACTTTAGTGTATTAAGAATCGAATAGAAAAGATATTGTCCCAAGCAGTGAACAACAAGCGTCGACATCTTGAAACAAGATATCCTTAAAATAAAAATCATTTGATTAAGTATTGGACTTTTATGTTTGAAATTGTGGCTTTTGGCATTCATCTAATTAAATATAATAGATTATCGCATTTTCGCATAAGCTTCATTGAGTTAATTGGCACTGGCATCTAAAATCGGTATCTTTGAAGTAAGAAGAAGTCAAAATATGACGTCATATGTTCATTTCGTAGGAAAAGTGCATAAAGCCAAGAGTGGTGGACAGCAGAGGTCCTAACCCCAAATTCTCTCTAATCGGTAGGAATTTTGATAAAATTATTGTTTCTCTGAATGCTTATTCCTCTTGCTTTCTCCCTTGTACAAAGACTTCCTTTGACCGATTTTTGACAGAATGTATTGAGATTTGTTTTTCTTTTAGCAGGAGGAAGTCTTTGTGGAGGAGGAGAGAAGCTGGAGAGGAAAGCAATCTCAGAAACTGAAGAAGTAATCACTGACGACCAAAACAAAAAGAATTTAATTTTTCTCAGGTGGTGTTAGGGAAGCTTTGACAACTGATACCATAGCAACAACATTCGTGATATGTAAGTTAAGGATATTTGCTAAAACTTTTCATTAGACATTAACTTTTAATTATTGTTTTAAGAGTTAATTGCATTGTACATTAGACATGTTAAGTGCTTTTAAAGCCCAAATCGTTTGAAAACGTGTGTTAAATAGTAAAATGTATTTACGTTTTAGCAATACACTTGCCGTTTGCTCCTCAGCATGCAGAATTTGAGCCTAATGCCAGAATCACTGTTGCATTTTCAAGCACATTGAAAAATTGATGTGTATAAGATTATATAAGCTAAACAATACAAGCATGTTTTGAACATAGACATCAACAAAGTCTTTTACAGAGCAAAAAAAGATTATTAAAAGTGGATTTCAAAACATTTCACCTAAAATCTCTCCTAAAATGCAAGTTTTTATGATAATTTCTTACATGACATGTCATTAGATAAACACATTGATACTTTAGAAGGAGATGTCATTTAACTAATGTTTATGCGAAGATCTGAAGCATTTTCAAATGAATATATACAAGTGCATTTTCTAAGCCAAAAAATGTGAAGACATCATAGCAATTCTCTACATAAGATTGCTATTACTGAACCTACACTTTATAAGCAGACAAAAACTAGATTTGATGGAACTATCAACCAAAAATAAGGGACGCAAATTACCATGGATCATATGTGTAAACAGTTACAATGCAACCTGAAATCCTCTTGGTGATTTCATAAAAAAGTTTTAAAGCAAGCAGTTTCTTGTATCAAAAAGCAAGTGGTATGCTCATAAGTTAGGGTAGTGATTAATGAAAACGTTGTGTTGTCAAGTATTTTTGCTTTAAGTAAATTTACTAAATAATACTTTTAATGCAATTACCAAGTTCATTGCATCTTTTATACAATACCTGTACTGCTTATTTAAAGTTTTCAGTTTTATAAAACAAGCATGACCAAGTTGAATATGCTAACAAAATCTCTTCTCAGTATATCTGTCTGTGATTTGTCCCCTAATGTTCTTTAACAGTATATCTGTCATAAGTAAAAAATATTTACTATGTTAACCAAAAAACTCTGAAACTTGGACTTCATCTTTAAAAATATAATCTAATCAGCAAAAGAAACCAGAATGTACATATTTGACATGACTTAGGCAATATGCTTGTAAGCATTAAATAATTGAGTTTTCTTGTGCATTCTATCTTGTAAGTGCAATCAACTCAGGGCCTCTGACAAAGGGAGGGCCAGGGGGACCATGCCCCCACTTTTTTGCAAAAAAATTGGCTTTTTTCAAATTCTTTTGTTATGAGTAATAAATAAATGTCAGAGCACATGTAATTTTCTCTAATTCAAACTTCTGTATTTCACCTTTACTAAATTGAATAAAATTGTCAGCTCCCTTATCAAGCCCTTACAAAAAAACATCCATAATCTTATTCTCTATGATTCACACTTTTCAAAATTTGACCCATTTTGTCAACCCCATGAGGTAAATACCTTTTAAACTTTCTGCAAATTTCAAAAAACAAGCTGGGTTAGTCCAAGATTTTGATGCTACAAAAATATGTTTCTACTGATGGACAATACAAAGGAGTAACACTAACTACATTCCATTGGAGGAGCTTGCCAAAAATGCCATGTGGATTGGTCAAAACGTTCTCATTCTTTAAATGGTGGCCTTTACCGTAAATCCTCGAATAAGCCCTACTCGAAAAAGCCCCCTCCCCCCTCCCCTCCCCTAATTTTATAAGCCCCCTCCCCCGAATAAGCCCTCGTCCAAAAATATCAAAAAAATAAGCCCTCGGGGGGGCTAATTCGAGGATTTACGGTAATGACATCTTTAACTGTTGAAAACACTCCAAACAGCCCCAACAAGCCATTTAAATTTTATAACAATAATAATTTGATTTCGTTCATTCCGGAAAGCAGCCATCTAAAAGAAACCAGCCTCGTTTTTCTATTTACTCTGCTTCTTACTGGCTTTGATTTTGGCATACTAGGAGTGCATCTAGGCTAAAAATATAAAGTATACAACGCGATGAAAATGTAAGAAAGACCATCCACAAAATTACAAGGCACCTGGTATTGGAAAGTCCGAATGCACGTGGGGTGCAAAAGGAGGATGGGCCTATTGAGTTTTTGTGCTGAAAATTGAAAAGATACGGTGGCATTGTAATAGCAATAATACTTACCCTTGACTTGGGCATGAAAATAGTCTGCTTCCCATTTCAGTTTAGAATAATTTACATTTCCCGAGCTTTTAAAAGTTGCAGGAGCCATTAGCAATGTTTCTAACCTTTCGCACTGTAGTTTAGTCTTCTAGAAATAAATTAAAAATGGCGCACAAAATTACAGCCAATGAGCGGAAAGGATTTTCTGCATATTTAAACTTTTCTAAGAAAGCGCCTTCGTAGAAAAAATTTGTTTCGCATATTTTCATAGCTAATTTTGAATTTGGCCAACAAACATGTTTGGGTAAAAAGTTTGTAATTCTTACATGAAGGCTTTGAAAGTTTTTTCAATCTAAATAAATACGGTGTCTATGGTAGCTTAGTTAAAATATTGTCTCGTTGTAAAAGCGTCGTATTTATACTGCGACTACGGTAACAAAATTACAGACCAAAAACGCCATTTAGGTAAAGGAAACATGACAAAAAACGAATTCTCAGCCAACTTTCATGCTTGAAAGCGTAGTCTCTTTGTAATAGTCAGGATCTAGAAGAAGTGTTAGTGATGATGTTTAATGTGAAAATGATAAGAAAAAAGATTTTGGTGGAAATGACAGGTTAATAGATAAAGTGCTAGATGGAAAGAAATTCTTGGTTAGAAAGTTTATTTCTATCGCAGAATATGAAAATATATAAATCACATCTCGATTTTACAAACCAAGAAAAGATTGATGTAGCAACGACGAGCTTGGTGCACAGCAGGACCTTTCATGCCAGTATGCCAGGGGGGGGCCTTTTTCCAGAGTTTGCACTGATCCTTTTTACAAGAAATAGCCTAAGGAGATCATTTTTGTGGCAAGTGTATTGCTATGGTATCATAACGAGTAGCAAAGTGTGTTTTGGGTAAAGAACTTTGTGCCGTCGACCAGAGGCCATTACAGCATTCAAGAGTCTTTTAAAAAAGGGAGAAGATTCGGGGATTATTAGTCAAGGAAAACTTGAGAGACAATTAGTCAAGGAAAACTTGAGAGACAATTAGTCAAGGAAAACTTGAGAGCTGAATTCTAGGTTTCTCTTTTTTTGCTTCTAATGTTTTCAAAACCGCCTAGTTGTTCAAATATTGATCATGTTCCTTTTTGATACGATCCTTTTCCGAGCTTTTTAGAAACTGTCGATTGACGATTTGGTACTGTAGAAATTGGTAAGATGGTAGCTGAGAGTAGGTTTCAAAGCTACTCTTAGAGAGAACAATATCACCGATTTCAGAACTGGTGAAAAGGTCAAGCCACTGTTTCCCCTGTCTGGTGAGAAAATAGTCAAAACTTTTGACAAGGCCTCAGCCATTCAAGATACATTACAGAGCACATGGATCGATAGCTCGTTTGGAGGGCATTTAGTATGTCCTCAGGCACTTTGAATTCCGTATTAGAGAAATCAAATTAAGTAATATAACATTTTATTTTGTGTTGCTACTGTGGAAAAGCAATCTTGTAATCAGCTTTTGTTCTGATGGAGAAAATGTTTCGAATCATTTAAAATATGTAGCCTACTTTTTGTAATGTTTTTCACAAGATGAATTTCAATGCAGAGATCAAGAGGAGTGGATCAAAGGAAGCTGGAAAAGATTATTTCGAATACAATAACTTTGAATAATATATCTGCTTGAGGTGTCTGTTATTAGAAAAGACGACACAATACAATGTTGACACTCTATTGAAAACGTTTCTGTTGTTGTTTTGGTTTCAATCATCAATAAATTTAATACAGCAAAGAAATCTATTAAGCTTTCTTTTGTTACTACGAAACTGGAAACTAGGGCTTTCCTTGCACTGATAAAATGCTCTGGTGGTTTCAAACAGATACAATCTGGTTCTCCCTCGCTTAAGCATTTAAACAGTTAGACATATTCGACATTGCCTATAGAATAATTTGCAGCATGAATTCAACAGTGCTCTTCCTGAACTTTGATGCCTCGAAACACCAAACAGTACTTGCTACAATTGCTGCGTTGCTAGGTGAGTATGCTTTTACAACCTGTTTTGAAACACACCTAGCTTTGAATGTAAATTTCCAGTTTATCTAAGATTTCTAGCTGATATTCACGACCTTATTGAATTTTGATATTCTCCTGCATCGATAGTTGAAATTGTATTTTCATTGTATCAATGCGCAATTTTGGAAACTTTTAGCTATTCGTACTCTTAGAAAGTCGTACCCAGGGACGCTGGAGATGGGGGCGCAAGAGACCATCCGCCCCTGTTTTCCTTTGATCGAAGGGGAAAAGAGGGGCAAAGTTTGCTTTTCATAAATGTGACCTTGACGCTGGCCGTTTGTAATTATCAAGAGATTCAAACGAAATTCTGGCTGTAGTGCCTTATTCAGGATATTTCTCAAAACTTTTATTAAATTTTCTTATGCTAAAAATTAGCCAATTTTCAGATCCCTACAGTAGATCGGAATAAAATGACTGTTACGAATGAATTAATCAAGTCTGAGCATAAATTAATTTATAAAGCCTTGATCGTTCCGACAACCCTGGTCGCAACCCCTCAAAAATCCTGGTTACGCCACTGCTTCCCCTTGGTTTGTAATACTTTCAAGCATTGAGATTAAAAAACCAGTGTATTACTTTAAGTCCAACTGTTTAAGTCGTAGTTTTACCTACACTTGAAATTTTATTTCCAGGAGAATCAACTTCATATAGATTATAGAATAGACGTCCTTGCTGAGAGCGATTTATTCAATAAAAATCCACAGAGAAAATTCTAATCTTGTTTACCCTTTTTATGTTATTGCCTGGCCCAATGAAAACATCGTCTAGAGTTTTCTTTTCACCGTGGGGATAAACAATTCCTAAAAGTTAAGCTCAACCATCCTTATCTCTAGAAGTTTTTTGAATAATAATGCATAGGGTGAGATTAACAAATTCACAAGCAGTGTTGTGTTTTATTGTGCGACATTTCTACTACTATCCTTTACAAAGAGTGAAAAATTGTGTTTTTCTTACAAAAGACGTACACCTCCCCATAGCGTTCCAACCCTAACAATAGAAAAATGATTTCAATCCGACTGCTCTCAAGCAATTCTGAGAAACCTATCTACAACGGACAGTTCAGGCCGTTTCTAAATAGCGCCCCTGGTCGTTTCTAAAGAGCCAGCTTTATATTCGTCCTTCTTTCTTGTTTCTAAGAAAGAATAGTTAAAGGCCTGAGAAAGTAAGTCACACATTTGAAACATCGTTTTAAACATTAAGATTTCGGCTTTAAATCTTTGCAAGTTAAGTGATCCTTAAATATGATTCCCATCTTCCTTCTGATTTTTAGGTGGTTCTCTTGGTTTTACACTGCTCCACGTTGGATTATGTCAGCCAAAGAACACCAGTTCCATTTTGATTCATAATCTTGTTTGCGCCAGTAAGCAAAATCCAATTTCCACTAAATTTTTGTCATATTGTCTTTTTTATACAAGAGTAACCGCTTAAGTCAGGAAATTTCACAAAACACTTTATCCAGTGGCTTATGTAGGGGGCTTAAGATGCGAACAACACCTTTTTGAATCGCACCTTTTACTTTGGCATACTTTGAAAGCTGCCTACAAAATTTATGCAGCTATAATCTACAGATACTAAAGTACTTACGTGGCTTAGGCCATGAGTCAGTCAACTATTGGCGAATCAATGAGGGTCTTAGCCTTCGTCTTAACCCCATCCCCTTCCCCCTTCAAAGAAAGTAAGTTAATCGATTTCATAACACTGACAAATGGAAAATAGAACAAACCGTATACTTAACATTTGCTTGCAAAGTGTCTGATATAGAAATTGCCCAGAAGGGGGCGTTTCTGTAATTGAAACTGCATTGACTAAAACAACATCCATTGCCCATTTCATTTAAACGATGTAGCCACTCATGGCTATTCACCTTACATAATGTCTATAGAGAAAATATTTTCTAGGTATTGCAGTACTTTCCTCTTGGTCGGTTGGATTTGCATTCTCTTTTGGCACTTCATCAAATCCATTTTTGTCATACGAGAACTTCTTTTTGGTCGACCAAAATACTGATGTCCTTATGACGTGGGCTTTTCACTGCTCCTCCACAGTTTTATTTGTGACCATTGTGAATGGAGGGTTTGTCGAGCGCATGAGGTTTCCAGTCTACATTGCAACAACAATTTTCCTCGCAGGTAATATTTGTTTCTGCTTATCTTATGTTATACTGCAGGGTCTACGCCATGAAATTGAAAGTGGGGGGGGCCAAGGCTAGCAAAAGTAGGGGTCCAAGGCTTTTCCCCTTTTTACTGCAGCTTTAAAACTACTTGTGAGAGGCCATGGCCCCTCTTGCCCCCCAGGTAGCGTAGGCCCTGTAATGTACCATATCAAGATTCCCCTTGCTTTTATGAAAAAAATAAAACAACGATAATTAGCAAAAAGTACGAGAAATGTCGTCAACACGAGAATTTCGCGCGCTTTTCGAAAATAAAGTAACCCAAACTCCCATAAGGGGTCACGTGACGCTATCACTTATACAGTTAAATAAATTTATACACTAAAGTAGCAACATGAATCCAATTTCTTTTACCAATTTCTTTCAGTCTTTTCTTTAAAATTCTTATCTGTATGCTATCATCAAACAACTTTGACAGGACATTTGTAGCAACATAAACATCACATTCATGATTATTATTCTTATCATATTCAGACAATTGGTAGTCGAGGTGCGATTGCATTCTTCAGTCGTAAATTCTGTAACTCTTGGCTTTCGTATTTTTACCTTTTAACGGGTTCAAAGTACGTTTTTCTTCCTGACCAAAAGCAACTTCTTGAACGCACAAACTCTATGTAAGGAAGTATTTCATTACTATTTAATTTTCTAGAGAAAACTGTTCTTTTTAACGAACAGAACATTTCTACCATATACTATACTTACAATGGAGTAATGGCCCATAGACAAGAATTTTTCTTCTTGAAAAATTCCTTTGAAAAATTTACCTGAAAATATAGAAATTTTTAGCACTGAATATCAAAACACTTTAAGTTCCTATCATATTCTAACTTTCCCGTAAGATCTTTGTAAAAGCCGAGGATAAATCTGGGGGTGTACGTTCCCACAACTTCTGAAAATTTCTTAATATAGAAGATCAATTTTTTTAGTATAGTTTCTAATATAATTTTTGAATAATTGTGTCAAAAAGGACATCAAAACCAAATTTTTTCTCTAGCCAAAAGTATAAAATAAATTGTCATATTTTATTTTTTTTGGTTTCCAGGCTTTGTTTATCCCATTGGCTGTCATTGGTCATGGCACCAGAATGGATGGCTGTACCATGGAATTGGTACTGCAAAGGGACAGCGGATTCGCTTTATCGTAAGTTTGAGATAATATTTACAACTCCAGGGACTGTTTCACTTGTTCGTAGACTTGTATGAATTAAAAGATTAGCTACACGTTACACATTAAACTGCACAAATGCATTTTGTATTTAGCAATAAAATCAAAATATTCATTTTTGGACCGTAAAATTGGCATCACTGACCATCAGTGCATGCTCAAATTGGTTGAAATTCATTGACGACATCAATATTGGGGTATATTTTATGCTAAGGTGTTGAAATTAACCTTTTTACTTTTCACAAATGAATTTTTCAAGCGAGGTGTATTCTATATTGATAGAAATTGCAGTAAGGCAGAGAAACTGTCTCAACCTCATGCTAAAAATTTGGCTTGCTGTGTTATAGTGCAGGGAAATCCGAGCCGGGGAAGTAGCATGGGGTGCACGTTCCCACATTTTCTGAAAGATGTCCCTTTTCATATATGTTTTTTTCGTTTGGACCATTAGAAATATGTCATCACTCTAGGCTCAAAAGTTTCACATTATCCTTGACTTTTGTTTTTAGTTTCGCTGCAACCTTGACTTACTAGCCATTCACTTACTAGCAAAATGTTAGTAATTGTTGTTAAAATGCATGTGTTTTTCTTCTTTGGTAAAATTTTGATTGCCTTACTTGATTAAACTTTTAATAAAATTTTAATAATAATTATTATTTTAGTTTCCTTTGGAAAAATTTTTAAATACTTCGAACTCGGATTTTGCAGGACCGAGGTGGATCAGCTGCATTTCACCTCAGTGCAGGATCAATCGCACTGTTTGCAGGTATTTTTCTAAAACCAAGGAAAGAAAGGAGAGGCGTCTTTAAGCTACAATTTGTTGGTGGACAAACAAACATTGTGAGTCATTTTTAAGCAATTAGAATTGGAATGCTTTCGAGATTAGAAAATGAAACCTCACAATGTGTTTATTACGTTTTCATAACTCAAAACAATCAAAACAGCAGTTATCAGAAAAACGCAGCCTGAAAATTCGAAAGAAGGTCATGTATGATAGCCTCAGTTCCATATATGCCTAACTGACACAATGCTTCTATATCATTGAATTGACATGATAAGATTTGATAATGCGCGAGAAGAGGTTTTACTGCGTAGCTTCTCCATGAGAAAGGGACCTGGGAACTACCTTAGGTTTTCAGAAATGTTGCACTATATTGCTGTCGAAGAGAGAAAATAGCACGAGTTATTTCATTAACTCTTTGTTTTCAACTAAAAGAAAAATCTGTAATAGCCTTTTTGAAGAATCATATTTCTTTAGATACATAAAAACTTTTGATTAGAAACAAACAGTACAATTTCAACCATTAGAATTTTAACTTTGAATGAAGTACAAAATGAAATTCCTTACTAACTTATACTTTCTTCCATCTGAAGAACATCTTTATTGGAGGCTTAGCAGCCATGATATCAATCCTAGCAAAAAATATTGTGGTGAACAGCGATGCACCAACGATTGCAATCATCAACAGTGTAGTAGCAGGTTGCACGAGCTCTCTTGTTGCCATCATGTTTAAAAGAAGTAGAATTGCTGGTGAAAACTGGAACACAAAGACGCTTTTAAATGGAGCATTTACAGGCTTGGTAACTTACAAGCTGTTCGTGATTATAACTTGGCGGGCTTTAAAATTATGTTCATGCAAGTTTCAAGATTCTATGAAGTTTATTTGTTGTATGCTTAAGTCAATCAACGTTCAAGTTCTGAACCAATCAAATCATAGAAAGGCACAGAAATTTTATCGACCGTGCATGCAACTGCCATCTAAATAGAGATACAGTCTTTAACCAAAGCGTGTATCGGTTTCTCTACACACCATCTAGCAGCTTTGTGCCTGAGTTGTCAATTCATCAAACGGAATAAACATACGTATATAAGCAGTACGGTCTTTATATACTTGTTTTCAAAGCCCTATTCTATCTGTATTAGATTCTTACTTCAGAAAAAATATCTTTTGTTTAGTTAGGAAACCATTTTTGAAAATACAGTGAAAGTCGCTGCAATGATTGTCCCTTATATCCAATATATCCAACAAGTATTTAAAACCTACTTTCATCTTTTAGGTTGCAGTGTCTGCTAAGCCTCACAAACTGCACCCTTATGCAGCATTTGGCCTCGGAATGGTGGCTGGCATTGCATACATTGGCTGGTCAGTTGGCCTAAAACATTTTGCTTTTGACGATGTCGTCGATACTGTCACTGGTAAATACAATTTATTTTTAAAGTAGATAACAGCGCAAATAAGCTATTTTGATTCAATCGCCCATCGTGAAAGCTATTCTCTGCCTTTTGAAAGCCCGAATAGGCACTGTTCACCGAGTTTCTTGAACAACTATTTCCCTGCCATTCCCTCCTCCTTCTTTTTATCAAGATCTATAGATTCTTGTTTTTGTAAAATGGTTTTTTTTATAACTAGCCACTAATACGTTTAGAATTTGTAATAGCTGTATCATTAAAATGCTAAAAATATTTATGATTCTAATGACACTAATGTTTCTTACAGTTCACTTAGGAGGCGGTGCTTGTGGTGTATTTGCAGCATCGTTATTGGATAGAACAGAAGGTTTGCTCTACAATGGGTCGAATGAATCATTCAAGAGCCTAGGATGGAGTCTTGTGGCACTCCTATCTTACATAATTTGGAATGGCCTGTCAATATCCCTAATTTTGCTACCTTTCCATCATTTAGGACGCCTAACCTACAACGGCGAAACTGGTAAGTGAATATGGTCCCTTTCAATCCATATTGTGACGATGCAAAGATGTACTTAAAAAGAAATATAGGGCCAAGATAGCAGTATATTTTGTCGCGGTTTGTGGTTAGTCTACAGTCCCTGACAAAATTTCTTTTATTGCCCTGTTGCTTAAAGCTTACTTTAAAATTTGAACTGTTTTGAGTAAGAACGACCGAAACAAATACTCTCTTCCAAAACAATGTTGGTTATAGAGTTAGATAGCAAAACCATTATAATGTAATCCATTTGACTAGAATAAATCTCGTAAAAATGCACGATTCTAAAGTTTTTTGGGGGAGGGGGGGAGGGAGGGAATGCAGTATGTAATATTCAAAATTTATTGTACTGTACCAAGACTTTTGCTTGGCAATTCAGCAGTATATACGTAATATATTGATACGGCATTTTCGCTTTGCAACAATTTTGATCGTGTAATTTTTGCTTTAGAACTTTTTGTAGTTTTTGTTAACTTGACTGGTCTTCATTTTAGTGCAAAGAGATGGGATAGATAACGCCATATTCAATGAGCCTGCAAACCCAAAGGTTGGAGGCAGATCTGCCGTGCAGCTGCAAACCACGATAACAGCCTACAGTAATGACAATGAAGTCAACCATAATGGCCTAAATTCAAGTGACAATAATTTCAGTAAGTCAACATGGAGCCCCACAACAAGTTTTTCTTAGCAGTAAATATATTTTTCTGTATTATAAGGTTGTGGTTTTATCCTATGGGTTGTTGTTGAAATGTATGTTTATACCGTCTGGCGGTCTTTCATTCAGGTAATTAGTTTAGATTAGCGTAACAAAAAAGTATTTTCAATTCTATCTAGTTGTGAGATGATAAATTGTAATAACTCATCTGAACTGTGTCTGTCTGGGAAGTTTCTATAAGAGAGAGAAGCCTGCTGACGGAGTATTTTAATTCTATAGTTGCACAACTAGACCCGCTTGTCAATTACGGCTGAAGCAGAAAAGACGAAAATGAAAAACATTAAATGGCTGTAATCCTTGACATAAGGGCTGGAACATAACTTCAAGAAGGATGACTTTTCTTTAATCTACAACTAAATGTATTATAATAAGTGATTATTTGAGGTTGATTAATTCTCTATCTCCCTCTTTAATGTGGAAACATTCTAACAATCATGCTTCAAAAGAAAATGAAAAACACAATTTGGCTACATTGATTAAAGTCTTCAAGTTGGGAATGTAGGCAATCACTATCGCCTTTATACAAGCTTATTTTCGGACACCTCTTGTTTTCATTTAGCAAACAAATACACCATGGAATCACAGAATGTGAGATTCCAACAGTGGGTGCGAGGCAAAAAATGACCCCATGCAGAATACTTAACTCGAGCTTGAGGTGAGTTTCTTCACAAGATGATGTGGTCAAAGACTCTGTTAAAATGCCTTGCCCTTTTATTTTCAATACGGTTGATGATTTTACAAAAAGGAATCGTTTCAATTTGAGCAGGGAAAAGGGGCAGGAGTTGAAGAAAAACACCTTTAACCTTTTCTATGTATCGATGTTCATAACACATACCGTAGCAGCCCAAAGAGTGAGAGCGTCACCCCTTCCTTTCTTTAAAAGCATGATCTATCTAGTTTTTCTAAAAATTTACGAAAGTTTGTTAGACAGAGGAAGGTCTGATTTTATTTAATATTTCCCTCTGTTTAGAAAATAGCATGCTTAGAGAGGGAACACAGAAGTGTTATCATATAGAGTTGTTCTTGAAATAAAGAAGCTGGTACCGTCAAGGAAACGTCAGTCCTATTGTACCTGTCTTATCATCAAAGCTACACAAACTAAATCCTATGGGTAGCAATAATAATGATAATAATAATAATAATTCATACTAATTATAAGTCAATATGCGTCTAGATCAACCTTCTTCAAGTCGCATGGTGCCAAAAAATTCCTGGTAACTTCATTCATTAATTGACGGTTAAAATTCTCCAGGTTCATTATCATTCGACAAATATTGGTTTGAATAAAGTTGAGTTAGTCACTCCATAATTGGCGAGTTTGACCAAAGTTGAAGAACAGAGTCGAGAGACAATGGCAAACATTCTATCTGGAACATCAATAAATGTCATGTTTTTGGAAATGTTTGCCTCATTGGCCAGAGACAATCTTTAACACTGCAGATGAAAGTTCCTCTAGATAACAAACTACAGTGTGGTTGTCGTGTGGCAGACAGTTTATTGCCCCACAGATACAGTGCAACATGATTCTCGACATAGAGTATGTTTTCAAAAGATATAGTCACTCGATTAAAAAGTACGTTGTGTTTATATCTTAAGCCCAGGCAAAACGACTGGACATTTTCACTGAACATGCACTGGACAAATGTCAAGCGTAAATATTGCGTCGTTTTGCCACCTTGTCCAGTCTTGTTAAGCGATGTTGAGTGTTGTTCAGTCAATTTTGAAGGCAGCCAAAAATGTTCACTGGACAGGATTAAATTTCTTTTGTTCACTGAACATCATCAGGTACCATCTTCTATCAGAAGGTTGGCTACCATGACCCTCCAACTATCCCAAAATCTGAGTTTTGGTTTGTTGTCATGGTCATAGAAGATTCTATCTATGTTCACCGATGTTGTAGAGAAAATGCTCAGTCGGTTTGCATCTCTACTGAACATTGTCCAGTTCGCGCATGCGCAATTGATGCAATGGATTGTATTTGGCGTCAACTTATTTCCCATTTTTAGATCTTCAACAAACTTTCGAAGCAACGTTAATATTCAATGATTCAATTTGACGAATGGCAGAAAAAGACATTTCATTAGTAACGACGGGTCTTCTGAAGAGATTAGCTTTAGTTCCGATAAGGAAAGCGATGGCAGAGTGCACGAGTACGGTGATTTTGATGATCCTAGCAAGTCCAATCCATTCTTCGATAATACAATCTAATTCATACAATAATACGGTTAGGGCTATGAAAAGTGCATTTTCAAAGGTAAAGAGATGCCCCGTTGCCAGTTTTCCCACCCGCATTCTTCAACAGGAAAAAAGTGCACTAGACAATGTTCAGGCGTTTTGCCACCACCAACATTTTCTTGATGTCCATTCTCTGAACAAGTGAGCAATGTCCAGAGCGTGACCAGTTGTCCAGTCGTTTTGCTGGGGCTTTATAGGGCTGGATACTGCGTTTGATGCTAAAAGATAGCTTATTGTAAGGTAAAAGTGACTCGAGAAATGTATGTTAGATACTTTTTCATGATAAAGTTGCAAGATACCCCTAACAAACAACGAACAACTCGTGCCAAGCAACTAGGTCGATGAGGTTGAATAGACATTGAATAAATAGGGATTTGAACAAAAAATATTTACTTTTAAATGGAGCTACATTAATGGTTATTAAAGGGAAAAATAGTTATGTAGATTGTGCACGATGTGATTTTAAAGCTAGCGAGTCATGTCTATGCTATGATAATAACGGTCTTTTGTCTCCCGAAGTTACTGTTTGACAGAATTGTCTTTTAACTAAAAGGCATGATTCCAAGATTTTGCTTTAGATACAAATGTATTTTCTAACATAACCGAGCTCCTTGTGTAAGAAGCATATAGTTGATTAATACACCTATCTTTATCTAAGATACAGTTACTTTTTGGGCACCTTTCCTTATCTTGAAGATTTGCTCCTTTCTTGAAGAAACAAGTTAGTATTATGCAGGGCCTCCAACGAAGGGGGGGGGGGGCCGGGGGGCCATGGCCCCCTCCCTATTTTTGCAAGACAATAAAGCTTTTTTTAAAAACCTTTGTTGTGATTGTTATATTTTCTCTTGGCCCCTCCACTTTCCAACCTGCGTCGGAGCCCATGATATGTGGTTCCCAGTGGAAATGTAGCCAAACTGGGCTTTGCAAAGCAAAGATCCAATGGACTATTAATTCTTATAAACATATTAAAAGGTAAGATCATTCATTTTACCTAAAAGTAGTTCTAGGATGCTTGTATAGAGAATTTCCTTAATGAATTTCAAAAACGCTGTGCACATTATCTTAGATTCTCTGTTTCTTGACTCACAATGAATTTTTCGAAATATTTACAGAATATTAATTACAGAACATTAACAGGGATGCGATAACAGTAATGATAGATAATATAAATAGATAAAAGAGATCGACATGTATTTGAAATCAAATTCAATTGAAAAAATATGATAAAAGCATTTCCAATTTCAATTTCGAGCACGTGTCTATTTTGAAAAAACTTACTAATTCAGCGGGACAGGAGAAACTAAGGCCCAATGTTAGGCTGGTGCCGTCGAAACGAAATTCATATTGCGGGGGGGGGGGGGTGCTTCCCATTGTATTGCTTCCCATTCAGTACACTGTTACAAAGGAAATATACTTGATAATTATTTAGGGGGCTCCAGCCGCTTCCCCCGCTCTCGCAGGCACCGCGGAGCGTTGAGAAAAGTGGGGGATCTAAAAAAGTGGGGGGGGGCTAAATCCGTTAAAAAAGAGGCTTTTCTGGTAGTTTGATACTTAATATTTGGCATTTTTTGCAAAAAGTGGGGGCGAAAGCCCCCCCCCTGCTCCGCGGTGCCTGTCTCGACGGCCCTTTTAGTGGCCAAAAGTGACCTGAGTGAGAGTAGCCAGAAGGGGTCTAGTGGCTCTCACCGTAAAATTGTTTGAAACTATGTCCTTTTGAATACAGGGAGACGACCCTTCAAAAAAATTAATGACTTGTGTCATTGGCATTGTATCAACCTACTGTAGATTTGTGGTTTGTAGACACAAGCTTTCTGATCATTGGGAATTGGCGCAAGGATGGTGCTATGGGGTGTCGTCGTGGGGGGGCAGCAGATTGGGAAGACCCGTTGCCTCCTTTCAGTTTAGAAAGTGGTTTAACAGGTTGTGACTCAGCTATCTCCTTTCATGATCGGAAATATTCCTAGATGCTAACCAATGCAACATTTGTGGCTTGTTCAATAATAAGGAATGTTTCTGAACGTCATATATCCTAACCATTTGCTTAAAAATTTGAGGACCAGTGACCAGTGGATGAGTAATCACCATGGAAACAGTTAGTTTATATTCCCCACTTTTTTACCTAAACATTTGTATTCATCGTCATATTACGTCAAGGTTGCTTCTATGTGAGTCATTGTCGTGTGTCCAGATAGAGACCGTTTTTCATTGGCTGGGTGTGTTTTCTAATTCTTTAGTAACCATTTATTCTGTAGTAACCACGAAAACATCGTCGTCGGCGTTACAATGGCGAAGGTATGTCACTATTGTCCTGAATTCAAAACCTATTTTGAAAAGATCTTAACGGTTTGCAGTTTTGAATAAAAGAACTGTTCAGGTTGAAAAAACCGCGTTATGCAGGCGATAGAGAAATAAATAATTCGATTTTTCTCAGCACATTCTGCATTCCTTCGAGAGACACGAAACGTTTTCAGAACGATAAACCAAGGTTTTCTTTCGAATTAAGTTTGGAAGGCTGCTGCAATGGAGTCTTTAATAGTATTATGTAAGTAAAATATCATTTACAAAGTTCCTCTTCTGTAATGCTACAACCATCCATACACTAATAAACTTCCTTCAGGTCTGGTCGACACCCATCGAAAGTGCTTTTGATGGCTAGTGTTGTTTTGTTACTTCTGAGTTGTGATCCACTTGAGGGTTGATTACCAAATGCAAGTATCTTACTATCCTCGTATTAGAACTGAGAAACATCATACCTTTTAAATCGCTACATTTGCAATGATTTAGAATTTGTCGATCTGAGTCTTAACTTTATTCGCGAATCAACATCAAAGTTGGCTTTCTTCGTAACTTTAAGCTTTTTACTTTTTGATGTAGAAAGATAATCCTATATTCAAATCGTTAATAGTTATCAAATCCATCAATAACACCCAGATTTCTAAATTTAGGCCCGTTTTATCACTTGCTGTTAAAATGTTAATTTTATTGTTGGGGACTGATCGACCGAATCTAGTGTCCTGTTGCTCATGGTAGATACCCTTATAGAAAATTGGCCGTAATTGTTTAAGAAATGAAGTATTTTGGTAGTGAGGGGGCAATGCCCATAAAAACAAGCAGATTAGCCAACAAATGACATAATTTACCTACAAAAGCGTGTTTTTAATTGACAATTTAGCAAAGCCTGGGGCACTTGCACCCCTCCCCCATCCCCGCAATTTTCGCCACAGGTACAACCAGTCAAGATTGAATGAATTTGTAAGTAAAAGGGTGAGCTGAAATTTTGTGAAGAGATATAGGTGGAGCTGAAAAGTTTTTGGAGATCTCAACATGATGTAAAGGAAGAAAGTTTTCCATTTTGTTGTTTAGCCCCATCAGCCAATTCCTGCCCCCTTTTATTCTAGGGTCCTAATGGTACGTAAATTTAGGCTTAAAGATAAACTGACACGCAAAATTGACTTGACCTCAAATGAAAGCATATCGAGCATAAATACCTGATACATTATTATTTTTTTTAATATTCAACACAGTTTTCGAGCTATTGAGCGTCAAAGTTAGCCACCGAACATTTTCCGAGCACGGACGAGTTTGCCCGAGCCTTCCGCATATTCATGACGTCACAAACACCATGTTCACATCACTTGAGTTATACGATGGTCAGGAAGGCCGTATATTTATGACTCTGCGGATGAGCATCGGTACATTAATTGAGTGGGTTTTGGCTCCATTTCAACAATCTGATTGGAAAACAGATTTTGACTCCTTTACAAACCTTTCATAATAAGATTTGCAAGAATATCGTATTATTCAACGCGTTTGAGGCCCTTTCTCCGTCTTGCAGGACCCAGTGTGTGGCAGGCCAACATATCATATAATGGTAGCGATAAATATATTGGCAGGATTTTTTATTTTCTAGAAATCTAAGTAAAATACTTTTATTTTGTTAAATACGGCTGCTATTAGACTAATTTATCAGGGCTGCCCCCCCCCCCCCAAAAAGTTAATCTTGATCTTGGTTAACTTCAATATACGCAGTAAAGATTTCGAATTTAAGTCACTCATTTTCGGCATAATCTTTATTCAATCACATGAAAGATTTTTAGGGGTTAAGAACCTGGTACGATCGGGTCACTATTTGTAGGAAAACAACTTGGTAAAATTTTCAACTCCCAGGCCGCTGCCACCCTGTAACTCGGGTGAACCGATGAGTTTGCCAACCCAAAATAAAATAACGTTCATGATTTATATGGATGTAGAAATAAACTATCGAAGTAATAATTTTTTGAATATATTTGTAAAAGAAGCTTGATTCATGATAAAAGGAAAAGATTCTTACATTCGTCCGCATGATTGACTTCAGAATTGAGAATTTCATCGAGCAGCTAAAAGTGCCTATTCCTTCCAAACTTAAATTCCCTCCTAACGTAACGCAATACCAGCCAGCACATATCCTCTGTACATTTCATTAGCCTCGAATTTTCATGTATCTGGGATCAAAGGCTACGTAGACCTCCTCGAATAGTAACTGAACAAGATGAACTGAACTGTCCAGTCCGTGAGTGATTTCCATTCAAGGAAAAAACATGGTGTTTGTGACGTCACACGCACTGGTAGGAGGCCATGTCCCTCAAAAATGATAAAATTCTTCATTTCTTATGAAAAACTCCTTTTATTCTTATTGTTTATAAACAATGATGCCCAATCTTTACTTCAGTCAGAGATAAAACGTCAATTAGAAGACGTTTTTCACACTTTATATAACTGTTTCCTTCTCTTTTCTAGTCGCATTTGTGGGATATACACTATTGCAGCTTGGAGCTTCACAACCAAAGAACACATCTTCCATCATAATCAATAATGTGTTATCACTTGGTAAGGCTAAAATTATCATTTGCCCACCATAGCCTCTCAGTTGAAGCGTGGAATCAAATGTAACATGCAACTTTGCTGTTATTATGGACATCAATGACGTGAAGGGCTTTTGCTGATAAAACCGTGCCACCTTTGTCATGTTTAATCTGCTATACACGCTTTTTTATACAAAAAATCCCTTACAAGAAACATCAGGTACAGATTTGCCCAAACTAAGAACAATATAAGAAATAAGGCAGGCTGAAATTCGGCAAAATTCGAGAAATAAAATATCAGCAAAAATTGAAAAATGAAAGAATAGCAATAAGGCAACAGAACGCGATAAGCAAAATAGCATTCATTACTTTATCAAGCACATGTTATGTCCAGACATATTCTACAGGAACATACTTAGACTTTTTAACAGTGTTAATGCTATTTTCTCGTTACACGAGGCACTTGAGGTTTGAATTTAATTAATATGCGAGAACTTTCCCATCTACTCTCAGAAACTCTGGAAGAGCTGCGAGCATGGGGACGAAGCACCAAGAGAAATAGGCATAACAATAGCAAAAAGCAACTGCTTACATTTGCGAGTCTAAATGGGCAGTCGTCCCCTCCCTTTTAGCACTGTCATAGGAATATTCTCCTTTTCAATATTAGCTCCGCTTTCGTGTTTATGACCTACTTAACTTCAGAATATCTATTGCTGCACGCTGTTAGTTAGAGGACTTTTGATTTTGGCGATGGAGCAGAAACGAAGAAAGTTTTCTCTTTGTCACGCTCCTTCGGTATAGATCCTGCTACAGAACACTGTCTTCTCCCCTTTTAACTCGTCAGAAATGCTGTTGTTTGTTGTATGAATACAAAAGGTGGTTGTATCCGCACCAAGCACTGTGCACCAGTCTTAAATTGGATGGGATTAAAAGGGCGTTGACGAAAGTTTTTGAGAGCGTTGCTCTCCAGAACGCTGGAAAACACCCCATTTTGATAATACCTTCTTCTTTCTACTTATTACTTACAAACAGTCCGATTCAGAGAAGAAATCAATAACTATAGATATAGATATAATAAGCTTGAGGACCATTAAACACCAAGATAACCAAGTTAGAAAAAACATATCATTGAACAAGACAAAACACCAAGAAAATGAACAAAAAGGGTTCCAAATTAAGAAGAACTGCTATTACATATGACCCGTTAGAGTAAATTTTCCAAAATTGAGTTAGAGTGGACTTTCTAAAAATTTTCAAAGCTATTATTGCAAAAATTTGGGGGGGGGGGTAAAGTCCCTGCTAGCCCAATGGTTGTGCGCTGCCTGATCCGCACTCCACAGGATCTATTGAAAAGGGCTGTGGTCCAGCGTCCTAATGATGATGTAGGCATTACTTTAGATGCACACGATGTAGTAAGATATAAAGAAACAAGCCAAGTTACTAACAAGAAAAATTCTCAATGATGACTGGAATTATTGATACTGAAATGGCATTAACACTTACACTCTGAAGATGCATTTTGACAAGGATAAGCATCAGAAAGCTCGAGCTTAGTTTCAACTCCATAATCATCATAATTTCAATCAATTCGCAGTTTTGTTTCGTTTCTCTCTTTTGCATGCGAATTACTTCCCGAAACATTGTACAGCCTTGATCACTTTTTATGAATTTGCATTAAGGATAGCCTAGCTACCCTAACACAAACGAAAAACGAAATTATTTTGGTATATACCACAAATCCAAAGAAAATCCTCCAAAATCATCAGCATAGGGGGACTAGTTCCCCCTTAAATTTCCCCCCTACTGGACTAGTTCAACCGTATACGTTAGATGGGCTTTGACCAAAGATCTCTAAGAATTTTAATGGTTCTGTGTTAACCTTCCACCGTTAATATCATTGGAACAAGTATACCTATTTCTTTATGCAAGCAAATGCAATTAAGGCTACTGCTTCAATAGCTTTTCTCTGTTACAGATGAACTAACGCTATAGCCAATAAAATCAATGCCATTTCTTTGTTCTAGTGATATCTGCGATCATGTTTTGGGCAACTGGCTACGCTTTTGCCTTTGGTTCATCTGGTGATTCATTCTTGTCTTACTCTCAGTTCTTTCTAATCGATGCTACACAAGCTGATTTTTCTGCCTGGTTCAAGCATTTCACATACCTCGCTCTCTACATTGCAATTGTCAACGGAAGCTTTGCCGAGAGAATGAGGTTCTGGATCTACCCGTTCCTTACAGTGTTTCTCTCAGGTAAGTTTTGCCTAAAACCATAAATTTTAGAGCAAATGGAGTGAGTTTCAATCCAAACTAGATCAAGAAAAGTGTTAAAACTTTCTCCCAGACGATGTCTTTAATCAACAGATACTAAAAATGGCCTAAACCATCTGCCTGTCAGCCATCGAAGTATCAGGTTACTCACCTTACAATTTCTTAATTTCTCTTGACTGAGCATGTCTGCACCAGAAAATTAAATGTCCTTTTGCTCTTGTATCTGTAAATTGTCTCTGGAAAGCAATTAAATGAAGGTATAAACTGCCTGCGTCGTAAATTACTATGTTTTCAATAAACGTCCGTCTTTTCTTAGACAGTTGAAATGCTATATTTTCTATTGGTAAAGTCGCACCCATCAATACTTCCTACAATATAGATTTTGTGCATACCTCGTGTAAATACCAAGCTAGAAGATTTTCTCCTACCTCTGCATGAATCTGGGGCGACGTTTAAAGCAGGTCGAAGTGGTGTAATGTCCAACCATAAACCGTCTATAACTCAAGTGGAAGCATATCCAACCAAGGTTAAATTATGCTGATGATCTGATAATTTGCTCGTTTCCTTTGTACGATAGCTTGTTTCTTTTGACCGTGACAAACACCAACCCTTATAAAAAATACCCAGTTTCTACCTCTGCTCTCATCAAGTCTAGCCAAACATTATATTTAAGACTTTTCTATGCTATGAAGGTAATGCTATTTATGTTTATCCCTTTTTATGCAGGCTTTGTATACCCTGTTTCAACACACTGGGCATGGCACAGCCAAAAGAAAGGCTGGCTTATGACTGAATTCAACACAAGCGACAGCAAATTTATAGTTTATCAGGTAGAAAAGCTTAATTCCCTTCACCATTTCATTACTGTAGTAATGAAAAGATACTAGACCCAGATCCTTTTATCAAATAATGTTATGTCGTCGTTTTGTCATTTTACAAAATAATCATCATCGCTGACGCTGAGTAAAGTAAATATGCTCTCTGTATACCTCTGCAATCTGCCTATTAAGGCCACCTAAATATAAAGTATTAAAGCACAACAGCAACAACCTTTGAAAGGCCTTTTATCATGATCACCAGTCACCAAGATGTTCTGACAAAAAGATAAACATGACAGTAAAATAAAATTGGAACTTGTCCTGAAGGGCGTTGGGCACTAATGGCATTATATGTAATATCCAATGCTAAAAAATTTGTCCGGCATCCTCATGTTTCTTCATTATACTGCTGAACCTGGAAAGAATCCTTCACGCGATTCTCAAAGTGATTATCCTACGTTTGAAGTTTAGGGACTGTACATAAAGGCAGTAATGTGCTTAAATATTGGAATAATTTAAGTTAAAATATATTGGAATAATTTAATATTGGAATAATTTAAGATATCATTGAACAAACAGTTGCATAATCGATTTCTTTTCTTTTCATTAAAGGACGTTGGAGGTGCTGGTGTCATTCACGTTTCTGCTGGAGGTATTGCTGTAATTGCTGCAATTTTGTTGGGAGCTAGGCCAGCTCGAAAGAGCCACGGAGAGAGAAAGCTGAAGGATATCGGGGGCGAAACAAACACGGTATGTTATGAAGCAAGTCGTCATGAAGATATGGTACTCTATCCTCAACCCATACAATGGAGTTATTTGAAGATTGCCCTCTCCTCAAAAAAATTTCCAAGTGCCGACCAACGTAAAAAAGCCCTCAAGAAGTGGGATTTTTTTCTAGGTTGAATTTTGCACTGACAGGGTAGTCTAGCGACGCTGTTTCATCGTTGACGTTACAATTGATTTGCATGAAAATATGATAAATTTAATCGTAGAGCTTCTATCTACAAGGAAAACTAGTCGAGACTAGTCGATTTGCATTGCCTAAATTGTGTTTGAGATTAACTCTGATCGCCAAATTGATTAGATGATCTTTCTCTACAGAACATTTTCCTTGGTGCTTTGCTAGTTCTGATTGGCCTTGGAACAAAAAACGTCATCGAGAATACATCGACACTTCTCCGATCCCGTGCTCTCGTGAACTCATTTTTGGCTGCGTCGATGAGTGGCTTTACATCATTTGCGCTGAAGAGAACCGCTGTCTTTGGAGCTAACTGGAATACAAAAACCCTCCTTAACAGTGCAATAATGGGACTGGTAAGTCAAGCTCGATGTTGTCACGAGTAGCAGTTAGAAACTATATGCATTTTTCCGGCAACTCTACCCCCCAGTAAAGCAATTTATTTTGCATTACACATAAACTTTTCCCAATAAGTGTGGATCCCCTATAGCTCAAAATTTGGCTACCTCAGACAATTGTCATTGTTTTTTGGGCGTTCGGGTTATCTGGATGTGTGAGACGCACGGCTTCACTGAATCATCAAACAAATTGCCAAAAATTGTTAGACAAGCTTGGCCATGTCAGTCTCGATTCGCAGCAACTAATGACATAGCACTTACCCTTCCTGCTACGATGTCATATGTCAACGTTTCATAGTTTGGTTTAGATGTATTTTATGAAAAACCAAAGCATCAGTACCATTTTCCTGGCTGGAGAAAAATTTAACCATTTGAACATTCTTCTGGACAGTGATTGACTTGCTATACTAGATTTGCAGATACCTTACGAATCTAAGCAGCTCTGATTTGCTCTTTAGTTTAAATAAATATCAGGCCTATCTAATGATATCAGTGATCAAGGGACAGAAATTGTTTGGTAGGTCACCCCCCCCCCTCCCCCATCGATTAAAAAATTTCGGAGTTAAGATTTGTCTGTAAAATTGAAGTGATGATTGGCGTTAGTCCTGTGATCGAAAAGGGTGTGAAATGGGAAACATTCTTTGACCTCAGGTCCAATGTAATTGTTGTGGCGTTATTTCTGATGACGTCACATTATGATTTTGTCGGTGAGTTTAACATGATCGCTCCCCCACGAAATGATCAGTTTCCGCCCCTGTAGTAATCAATACCTTGTGCTTACTCTACCATTTCTGTCTCATAGGTATCCGTAAGTGCTGCACCTGGAAACATGTATCCCTATGCTGCCTTTGCTATTGGCTTCGTTTCTGGCTGTGCCTATGTTGTCTGGAGTGTTTTGCTCAAGACCTGTCGGGTGGACGATATCTCTGATACTATTACAGGTAAGAGTTATCTTTGTGTATGTTACTCTTGCACAGCTTTAGCTTTGATGGAAATTTCTTTCAACCGGTATGCCATTCAGTGCTCGATGCCGTATAGGCAGTGATTTAATTAATGGTGAAGCACGAAGATTTAAGATTGTTTTATGTGCCAAAGCGTTTCTTGCATTTTATGTAAGTCTTTTGTTTTCTTCCATATTGAGGCTTATAACAGATTTCTTTACTGTGCGCCTTTCAATTTTATAAAAGCCAACAGCTAAAAATTTCATAGTCATCTATTGTTTCATCTTAAGTTAAAATTTGCTGTGATAATCGAAACAATTCTTAACCTTTGATATGCTAAGGCTATGTCAGTAACAGGTAGATAACCTTGTGTTACCTGTGTTTTTCGTAGTAAACGTCGGTGGTGGTATCTTGGGTGTACTGGCTGGACCACTGTTGACAATAGGTGACGGCGTTTTCTACGCTGGTACCATCAAGACTTTTAACGCTTTTGGACTGAACATGCTTGGATTGGTCGTGTTTTTCTTCTGGCATGCTGCATTTGCTCTCGTTCTCCTTGCAGCCTTTGTATGTGCAAACAGACTTACATACAAGCCCCACAATATTTGTAAGTATTAATTTCTTTATTTCACTCTGCTGCTCAATTGGCTTTGCCACGACTAACGACTGCGAACAAGGTCGTTTACCAAAGGCATTTCAGAACCACAACCAAGGGGTGTAGCTAACAGGGAGTGTACAGGGGTGTGACACCTCCCCAGTTCTAAGTAAGATGGTCGGTAAATCTCCAGGTTGGTTCACAAAATCTATATGGAACTGAAATAGAACCTAAATGTTTCTTTATCTACGTCTTTGTCGGTAAACTTACCCTGGGTACCAGACTCACTATATATGAAATAAAATAGAGAGTCTGGTCTAGTGCGCCCCATTCTCGTTCTGGTGTGCTGATATTAACCAATCAGGAGCGAGTGTACAGATTTCTGTACGTTCAAAGGTCACGGCGAAACAATAAACTTAGCTCTGGTGTAAAACATTGAACAGAACAGAACATAAATAAATGCTAGCGACCGTAACAATTGAGTTTGAAGGTGCTGTTAAAACCGTACTCAAGAATATTTTCCGTATGTTGTGGAACTGAACACAGAACAGCATTGAAAGCCTTGTTTGTAGAAGAAGAGACACCTTCGCCATATTGCCAACTGGTTTTGGAAAGTCTATGATATTTCAGGTTGTGCCTCCCGTTGCAAAGAAATTAGGCCTTGTTGTGAAATGCAGTAGATAAGAAACACCGCAAGGCACCGAGAACAAACAACAACAAACACAGTAAATCAGTTATAGCTAATATTTCGCCTGGCATACGGGGCTTCGCTTGTCGTATTGGCCATATTTGCTGTGGTGACCTTCCAACGTGATGATTCTAACCGCCGCGGTGTCCAAGCGCGCTGCCTTCACAGTGAGGAAGTAGACGTTGAAAGTACACACAATTTATGAGGAAAATTGCAAAATACTTATTTTAAGTTGTATTCGAAATTTGATAATGATTAACATTTAATAACTGCATTGTGCTAACTTTAATTTCATGTTTCGCACATGTTTTTTGCTGCCAAATGGCGTTTTAAATCTGATTTGATTGTTATCTTGAGGCAGAAAAGTCTATTACCACTGTATTAAAAATGTCAACTTAAAGAACTAAATAAAACACATTTGCTTTAAGATTTCCCAAAACTCCTCTGACTACTGATTTTATTTGTTATTTATCTGACAGTCTTGTTTCACAGGCCTAGTCTGTTAAATAGACTTCAGATCTTTCAAGTAAGTTCACCAGAACGAGAATGGGGCGCACTAGACCAGACTCTCTATTATTTTATAAAGTGAGTCTGGTACCCAGGGTACGGTAAACTATACTCCTATGACCCTACACCCCCTAGACTGGAAGGTTAAGCTACGCCATTGTATTACCAGCCTTTTGATTAGTCGCAGAATTTTTGGAATCTCTAGCACTTGAATCTCTAGAACTTTTTTTAGCACTTGAAATCTTATTCATTGCTCAATGCCTTAAATCGATTTATGTAGTGACTTAAAGAATTTTACTTTTTTCCACTAAGTTGTTTATGCAAGAATATGTAGAATAATGCTGAATCCAACAGCCAATGGCCTAGCTTTATGGGCTTAACAAGCTTTGGAATAAAATGAGGGGATAATGATTTGTTTAGAACGCACTGTAGCGATAAAGTATTTACTCTGTTTATAGTGATGTTAATTTAAACTGTTTATCTCAGCTTTACATTGCTACATTGCGCCATGCTTACTCAGCCTCTCTCGTTTCTTAATCTAGAACTTTCCATCTCCATTACATCATCATTACATCATACCCACACATCCTTCGTCAGCAGATTTATTTTTAGAGTTAAAGTATATATAATCGTAGATCAAGTTAGTAAGCTCTCTTGAATTGAAGCAAACAGAACTCGATTTTCTCTACGCGTCTTCTCAACACACCAACGGGTGAGATGGTTTTAATTTACTTTTTGTTAATAGTTCTCAACTGAAGATAAAGGTACGAACTATTAAAGCACCACTCATCTTTAAAGACAAAATAAGTGTATTTGTCACGCAAAATGGCCAGGGTCATGATCTTAACCCATAAAAATTTGTTTGCACATTGATCTTCTTAGCGTTTTTTTTATCTTGTTTTCTTCAACACACCCGTTAACAAATATAGAAATTTGTAATTTGCTTATTCCAGCCCATGAAACTGGTTTTGATATCCATGAACATGATGAGCCTGCCTACCCTGCTAAAGAGACCTTCCCGGAAGGAGACACTTCACCAAAGAGCTTGGCTGTTCTTACTGACATGGGAGAGTACAATTTCTATGGGAAGCCGGTGAGGGCAATTGTGAATGGCTCCTTTGCAGAAACAAAGCTGGACAAGTAAATATGATGGGTGTTCCAAACGATTGAATTGACAATTTTTTTATAGTTATCATCAAAAATATCTTCTGCATATTTTCCCAATCATTTTCTTCCTGTGTCCTTTGATAGTGCTAATGTTTACTGAATCCAGCTAGAAAAGGGACAGTCCTAGCCCGGCATGGTGTGGGTAGTAACTTGCGTCGTGGCGTCAATGTTAATTCTTAACTTTACTTCACAATATTAACTATTTTCTTCACTATTTTTTATCAGCTAATACTGCAGAATATGATCTCTTTTCCTACCAAGTAAACTTTCATATATCTTTAGATGAATTTTTTGAACCATATAAACCTCTCCTTCTTTAGGCCCGTTCTGCTTAAATAGTTATTTCTCTGCTCTAACAGTAATCTGTTGTGTTGACTGAAACTTTGAATAAGATGGATATGTTTGCGAAATTGCCTTTTCCTTATCAATTTTATGCACAAATTTTGACAAGTCAACAACTGTTGTTTCATGCGTCATTGTAGAGATAATTTTCTTGTCGTGCTTTCAGTATTCAATTAGGCCATGAAAATATTAAAATACAATTGTTGACTTGTGCAGACCAATTTAAAGTTCGCATACAATATTTCCCTCTATCAATTCTCCCAAATTTAAGCTCAAAATGAAAAAAGAAGAGATAAGAAAGACAAAAGAAAAGGCGTATTTTGTAGCTGATTCATCATCCTTTACATGATTCTTCTCTGCTTGTCTCCTAAAGCTTTAATTTTTAATCATAAATGACGTAATCAAGTGACTCTTTGTGGTTGCAGAAAACTGGTTAGAAAAATTCATTTTAATGTTAAAAAATTAAAAATGGTCGATGTATAGTTGCTGACTTTTGATAAACTTTTATGTACTTTTTTTATACTCAACGTATCTTTTAGATTATTCATTGTTACTTTTGAAATATGTACCACCTAAAGAGATTGTCATGTAAAAATCTTCCCTGGCGTAAAAGATCTACAAGTAAAAGATCTCATTTATGTCACTGAGAAGCTGCTTATAATAGCATACAAATCTTGACGGATTATCAGTCACTAATGTGTCACTAATGACCTTGGATTGGCTGGTCCGTTTTCCTGCTTCCTTTTCTGATCTGTTTGATGTGAAAGAACACAACCGAAACATTGTAAATATTATCATATGCTTAAAGGTTTTTTGTACTTGGGGTTCCCTTGGACCTTTGGAATTCATCAAACATTTGTGTTGGATTTACCAATTAGTTGAAAAAACTGTATGAGCATATATTTAACTGCTTTGCATTTTGGTAATTTTGTAGCTGATTAGGCATTTTATAAACTACAGAATTCATTTTTGTGGTGTTAATATTTGATATTAGACTCTGTTGGTTTTATCACTGAAATTTGGGTTTGGTAAATTGTATTGCATATGCGCTTGCTGCCTTTTCTTCTGAGAACTAAATAGATGAGCCGAGGACAATGAGAAAAGAAAAAAGAAGGGGTAGAGAAAAGGCTCATGTACTAGAAAACTAATGCTGGTAATACGGGGTTAAGCACTGGCGTAACGGAGATATTTGGGGTAAGGCTCTAGGGAAAAACTGAGACGGGGCCATATTAATGAGCTGCAAGAAAGTAAGCATGTCAAACACAATAACATGATACGGGATGCAAAAATGATAATATTTCCCTTAATTAACAAAGCTGAGTGATTCACTTCCGTTAATGTGCTTTTACTCAAGCCTTTTGACTATAAGGTGAACTTGAGCGAAATATACAGAGGGATATATGAACAAAGAAAATGATCTTTGTGATTTGGGGCCTTTTGATAACCAACTAAGGTGCCCTAAACTGCGTTACGCCACTTGAAGCTTTATTTGGAGAGCTTCATCTGTCAGAAATTGTTTTTGATAATGATATACGAACAGTGACAAGTGATAACATCACGTCCGTACAAAATGTCCAGGTATCGAACTTTTTTACACTATAAATTTTTCATATCTTTATATGCTTAGTGGATCTTCCAATAACGATCGCTTAATTTACGGTTGTCTCCAAGAATTTGTCGAGGAAGACCGATTGATTTTAACAGGCATTGTTAAAGCGACTCCTGCTTCTTAATTTGATGTGACATGTTTGCTTAACATAACAATGCTTTATTTAATCAAATCATGCTTTGATTAGAACTTTCAGCCAACCCTTTTGAGAACATAATTTTTAAAGGAAAGCATGAGATTAAACAAGTTAATAAGATAAGATGAAATATTAATATTTTGAAACTCCAATCAGTCTTAATCTACAAGCCAACTGCTAACCCAACATAATTTCTTTTTGCATCCGCTTCTTCCTTCTTGCTGGCTAGCCATTCGTGATTTAAGATATCATCAAGAAGTGGCCTATCCATTGGGTCGTTCACAAGGATCATTTTAATTATATTCTGCAGCGTTCTTGATGGATGTTGTTTAACCGAATGAAAACTGACACCTTTCTGCATCTTTATGATCTGTTTGGAGTCGCTGAATGGCATGTAACCGATAGTCATTGCATATATCACTACTCCCAGACTCCAAATGTCCACTTTGAACGGGTCATATGGTGTTCCTGCAATGAACGATAATGATTATCGATAAAATCAGATAGATTTCCACTGTGTTATCAACTTTATCTAAAAATTTGTTCTATGTTTTCGTGGCATTTACTTAACATGATATTTCTGCAATGATTAGAAGATTTTTTGCTGCATTGAAATGCTGTAGGAACCCAACAAGTGACCTGAAGGAAATCTTGGCTTTAAGATATATTGTTGCTCTTTACATTTGCTGAAATGATAAAATCTTTTATGAGACAAAACTGGGTGAACTCTTGAAAAAAAACATCATCAAAACCATGTCATCTTGTTTGTAGCCCTAAATGAACCTAATCTTTATTGACAAAACAAATGACAGACAAAACAAGACAAAACAACATCTTTTATGAGACAAAACAAAACTACAAAACATAAAAATTGGCTTTGTGAAAAGCAGCCGTACAAAGCAAACAAAGAAAGTGAAACTTCAAAATAATGGCCGATGATTTGAAGCTAGTTAATTTATATTCCCGGATGTTGTGTAAAATAAGCCAATCAGAATCGCGAGCACATGACTGTAAACTTTGCCCAATCAGTGCTGATGCCTTAAAAAATTTTCTTCAATTGGGTCCTGAGGTGAAAGTGAACTCTTCTTGTCTACACAAAAGCTGGTTTCATTTTTATTTAAATAGATTCTAAAACTGCTAGATGGAACGTAATTATCCCAAATATGTCACCATTGCAGTCTTTGGCACAATGTGGGTATTCTATTAAATGTTGAAAACGATATCAACTTACCTGACAATATTTCTAGCGGTGCATACGCCGCACTTCCACAATATGTGCAGCTCAATTTCCTTGCCTCGATCTTTCTAGCAAATCCAAAATCTGATAACTTTGCATTGAAATTACGATCCAGAAGTACATTTTCCAACTTCAAGTCTCGATGTACCATATTGTTCTGATGAAGATACTTCAACGCTGATACAATTCCTTTTGTGATCCTTTTAGCTCTTCTTTCCTCGACAAAGTTATGTTTAACTACAAGCCGAAGAAGATCCCCATTCTCAATCTTTTCCAATACCATATAAACTCTGTCTTGCGCCTTTATAATTTCAAAACATTGCACGATATTTTCATGTCGTGCATGATATGTAATCATTACTTCTCGTGGTAAGAATTTACGCTTTATATCAGAAGGTGCCTTTTTACGGTTCACAATTTTGATTGCAACGTCCTTTTTAAGCTTTTCCGAATATCCTCTTTTAACTTTGGCATAGGCACCTTTTCCGATCGTTTCGTATAAATCATATCCAAAATGCTTCATAATTGCTGAATCATCAAAATGTTTTATTTCTATCCTTCTATTGAAGTTCTCATAATGTGAAGCATTTTCATAATTTTCATTTGATGATATCTGATATGAAGTCATTTTCAACTTCGCCTTCTTACTACAAAAATTTCCCATCCTAATAAACAAAATTTAACTTAATTCATTGATTAAGTGTCTCCTGACTTGATTGTGACGTCAAATAGCAAAATGCTTCATTTGGAGTCTGCATTTTGTAACGACAAATAAAAGAATGACATAGACATTTCGACTGGGAAGATGGCTCAGTTCAACAATCAGATCAAAAGAAGTCCTTTTGTGTGTCAGCCCCCAGTCTTCCTTTCAACTTTCCAACCCCGATTTTATCAGGGTCGTCGTGCCAGGGGCAGGGAGGCCGTTGCCTACTTTGCTTTCAAAATTGACAGATTTTTGGAAAATTATTGTCATGTCGGAAAATTCTAAAACTTGAGCTGTGGGTAAAAGGGAGAAGTGGAACGAACCTTTCAGTGACATAAATTACTTGAACTAAAATACTTACCGTATTATCGAGAAGCAATTCACTTTTGTAAAGAAAATACTAGATTTCCACAAAAAAATGACTTCTCAGGATTCACCAATTTCTACAATTGAGTGATTTGCTGCTCAAATTTCGTCAGTTAAAATCCGAATCTTCAAGGGCCAAATTTGTTTGTGGAAACATGCAGTATTGGTCATCAATTATATTTTTATTGATATTGAAGACCGGGACAGTGCCAATTTTTGTGCCTATCACCAGATTTGAAAATTTTGTCCCAGATTTGAAAATTTATTCAATTATGTTACATAAAGTAAAACAAGGAAAAAGTCAATCGATAACATCGCTTTCCGCCAGTGTATAATCATTTTAAGAATAAAATTTCATTATTAAATGTTGCTCCAAAAATGCATTTTCCGGCGAACTTGAAGCATTAAGATTATAAAAAAATTTATCTTTCAGCGGCAACCACGGTGCCGCCTCAGGTAGTAACTTTTTTCTACTCTTTTCGTAATCTACGGATCTATAGGGATGTGAGATGTCAGGGACTATCATAGTAAGTATGGAGAAACAGAGACAGGATAAAAGTTCATTTTAAATATCTATCCAGCTAAGGCAAAGGTTATGTGTTTTTCTTCCCTCTCCTCCCACTTACACTAACACGAAATGCTTCTATTTGATTAGAAAATATCAATGAAATTTTGTCGGAAAATTTTTCTTTTGGCCTCCCTAGAATTCATTTGCCACGACGCCCCTGGATTTAATGATTACCTATGTTAGTAAGATCATGCATCAAAAAATAAGTTTCGAAAATGTCTGCTCCAATGCCTCTCAGCTCAAATTTTCAATGTTAAGATTTTATTTCTATTTACTCTACTAGCACCAGAATTGCATCTCAACGAAGTGACATTTTCTTTGATCAATCTATCGTTGAAGAATTGAACTTGAACATTACTCGCCTTGTATCGACTTTGTTTAAGCTTTAAGACATTATCGTTGAACTAAGATATGAAGTAATTTGCGTAAGGTACCTCAATGTCCCAGTGACAAATTACAACGAGAAATGAAGGGCGTCATTTAATTGTCTATGGCATCACCAATGGGTGGACAGTTTTCCAAGAATTCGGTTTTTGTTATTTCTCGAAATCCATTGAAAAGCCTTTTTGGAGGAGGAGGACTGATAAGATCAATTTCGATTTTCGTTTTTGCAGAAAAGAAATGCCGCCGTTCCAAAAATGCTGTTGAGAAAGTTACCTTTTTAAAAGCTTCGAAATAAATAAAAAAAATACCAAAATTTCATTTTCAACGTTTTCCGAGAGTCTGAATGGCGTGGCCGAGAAAATTTGTTTTTGTCCATCCCAGACTTCTTATAATCATAGCCAAAGAGTTTATCTTCTGCATCCTTGTCAGATTTCCAAGAATGACATTTAAATCGACAGACCTTGAAGAATAACCATTTAATTAATATCTATTTCTATTCGGTTTTCGCTGTTTATTTGCAAAACTTGCTTCGGGTAGTGCCAAATTTAGTATTTTCTCAAGAAAAATATTGTTATATGAAATCCATTAAATTGCTTTACAAGATATGTTGATACTTGTTAAGGATTTATGTAGATATTATGAAAATAAAGTAATTTGAAAAACTTTGTCTATTCTTTTATCGGTTTTAATTCTGAACTCAACCTTAATCATTTTACATTACTAATCTTTAAATAACTGTGTTAGTGAAAAAAGCATTTCTTCAAAAAATTCGACTTCAATAAATCTTTTTCAATCTTATATTGCCATTAAATTAAATCATGTGTACAATTAAGTTCATTAATTCACTTAGCAGAATCATGTTCTACGGAGCAATCGGTTTTGATGTAGATGGCGTAAAAATATTTCAAAAAATTTTGATGACTTTGTAAGGAATGCATAACAGACAGATCATCATCATCATCTTAGCCCGTCATGTCACTGCTGGCAAATAGGTGGGCCTCCACGAATGTTTCCACTTATGACAATCTTGGGCATCTTGCATCCATTTCTTCCTACTTTCTCTTCGATTTCGTCCATCCATCTGCGTTTTGGCCTTCCTCTGGTTCTTTTTCCGTCCATCGGCGTCCATTCAGTTGTTTTACTAGCCCATTTGTTGGTGTTCATTCGAGAAAGGTACCCAGCCCATTGACCTATACTCCTTTCAAAGGAGACTGACAAATACGTTTTTCTAAAGGCTTGTCGAAGTATATGCAAGCATATTGTATATAGTTTTAAAAGAGGTATGTCAAAGCAATTTCATCAACGTAGGATTATGAATCAACTCTTTCTTTTTGATTATGAATCAACTTTTTGACATTTCTTTAGGTATTGTTCGTAAGGTCTTTTGGTAGTATTGTGGGTTTATTCCAACATATGTAAGCCAACATATGCTACCCTTTTTTCGTTATGAACCTGAAAAATTGACATAGCTGTTCATTTGTGGCCGATCACTCTTTTACCGATCTAAAAATGAGTAGTTCCCTTTAAAAAAAGTTTCCTTTGAAAAAACCCTGGCAAGCCGCTGATATTCTTAAATAACTTTCGAGGCTCCATCGGTACGGTTAACTTTCACAAGAAAAAGTTGGTATCAATTAAAGAAATAGAAATAATTGTTTAAAAAAAAGGTTTAAGAAAACTTAGGACTCTGTTACCTAACAACTACTTTCACAAAATGTGTGTTGATTCTCTAGTCACTCTAGTCAAACCATAGAGATAGGATTATGAGTCAAACCCGTTATTGTGAAGGATACAGTAAACCTCCATTTGGGTCCCGGCCTCCTGGACACATGGCAAGAGCGTCTCTCCCACTGGTCTCTCCATATTTACCATCATTTCCGGCAACTCTTCATGTGGGTGGGGAAGGTGGAAGGTGGGTGGGGAGAATTTGAACAAAACGTATGCTTTCGATAGCGTAATCTTTCGAAAACGTGAACTTGCGTGGAAAGAAAATTTTCCAGAGCGTATCAGTGTAGACAGGGCTTGAATAATCTCTACAACTTATGAGTATAGTTCATGATTTGGTCCACAACACAAAATATTCTATAGTCAAAAAAGTTTAGTTTCGTTTCGTTTTTTGTCATGATAAAACCGCGGAAATAAACCCACGCATCTCTGGTCATATTTATTTATAACTTGATGGCATGTTGATGCAACCACTCTACTTGAGTGTAGGAGTGCACAGATAGTTTCTTCGTCAATACTTTATTTCTAATGACCTGGCCTATTACGGTAATTTTGACATGCAACGCGGTAGGTAAAAAACAAGTTTGGAAGTCTCTAAACGGTCAAGGGTTTTCCGTAGAAAATTAATCAATGTACCATCTATAAATGCAGTGGCATAGATAGAGGGGGGTCAGAGGGGGCCAAAAAACCCTGTACAGCTAAGCTGCCATTTTGCCGGGAAACGATTGCTTTTTCGGAACATAGCATTGTTGTCTATTTTTATTCAGTCATAAAATTTCGAAAGGAAAGATTTTGAAGCTGCACATTACATAAGAATATCGAAGTATATCAGAAGATATTTCACTTCAGTTATGATGTCGCTATGTTATGTTCAAGTTTGTCATTGAAAAATAATAATGCTTGTTAGATTTTGCATGAAAATCTAAACTTCTCGCCCCTCCTTTGAATTTTGCTATCTACGCCACTGTATAAAAGATTAGAATAAGAAAAATCTTTATATTATCTTGACTATAATTAATGCAATTCCCTTTCTGCAAATTCCTGCAAAAAATAACCTACAGACTATCTTTACGATTCAAGCATTCTGTTAATTCAGCGTCAAAAGTTAATTATTTCAAGGGTCTGGGGGCGAAAAGAACCAAAGTGTCTTACATTGAAATTATCGGTTCTTTTCTTATCTGAGACACAATATTGTTTACGCCCCCCCCCCCAGTTCTCGGCAGGATCAACTTTGTATTTCGTCTAAATTCGATGAGAAAATGTCGGGGGAGGGGTAATATTTTGAGAACATACTTTTTGTGATGCAATCCTATGATTTTCAAACTGCTTTTTCATAGCTAAAAGCTAGTTATAAGCGTCCCCTTAATGTAAAATTGACGTTTCTTGTTGGTAAAAGAGCGTTTTCTGGTGCTAAAAAAGGGATTGGCCTAATTTTTTTTGCTTTGCACCCCCCCCTCCTCTTCCAGAGCATAGTGGCTGGCGGTTAGCGGGAGGGAAACTTTCGAATCCAACATTGCAGTAGCTTTGAGGAATGGCAACGCATGACTTAAAAATTCTATATAACGCGAAGCGAAAGCAATTTGCCGTTGTGCTTAAACTTTTCTTTTTTTACTAACTGAAAATGCACATGAAAAGCCATAATCATAAACGGTTTTACAAAAATTCCAGTTCTAAGAAACCATTATTCATAAGTTGCAAGCAAAATATATAGGAAATAGCTTCAATAAACAAAAATTGAAAATTACCAGAATTGACCAGAGAAAAATCGTCAAGCAGAACAGCATAATCGGAAATAGTTATACAAAAGTTGTTTTGTTATAATATTTTGACACAACATAGTCAATATAGTCATTCTATAATCAGTAAATTGAGATTGTTTAGAATTACTTTAAAATGTTTTAGATAATGATAAATCAACTACAGAATGCTATAATAGATGACATGCAAGAAAAGATTAAAAAAATCAGAAAATTGTAACTTTTAGCCACGAGTATAAAAGTCTTTAGAATCGGCAAGTAGTATCTTGGCATGTAATTTGCTTGGGATATTTTGCATGTAATTTGTCAATATCTGGGGCGTTAATATGGGGCGTTTATATGGGGCGTTAATGGCCTTAGTGTGTCGGCGAGTTCAGACAAGATACAGTGAAGAAAACGAGGCAATTTCTCCATTTTGATATAGATGTGCTTGCCTAGAGTTGCCATTTTTTGGCAATTATTTCTGTAGTTGCATATTCTTCCAAATAGGTCATAGTTGCTCTATTAATTCAAGAAAATACTGCAGTATAAAGCCATTGGCAATAGCAGCAAAGTATACGTGACTGGTGGATAAACAGAGTTACCTGCCTAGATAACAATGAACATGGTATAGGCCATGATTTTAAAATTCTATGGAACTTGATAAACACAAGGGGTCTTGTCAAAGCAAGTACTGAGGCGTGAACAGAACTGCGAAATGTTGTTTGCTTAACAGAATGAATACCTGTGGAAGCATATTTTTAGGTGTCGAGGCAACACGTGTGTATCGGTTGTACAATGAAGTGGTGTCATTTATTGCTAGTATAAAAAACAAAAGGTAACGTGGACAAAAATTGTTTGTCTCCGAAAAGACTCGATCAAAACAAAAATCTGGAATATTTTCTTAATTGCGTTCGGTTTTTCTTGATGAATACATATTTTTGCATTGTCCTTTTGGCCGGCAGAACTTATCGTTCGATAGCATGACGTCAGGAAAAGGTCACGTGCTTTAATGTTTACGAATTAACAGCTCACTTCCTTACTTTTGGAAACTAACTATACAGAATCTGAAACGCTGTCGTGGATTACATAGAGAAATAGGCAGCGAGTAAAGAAATTTTCTTGTAACGGAGACTGATAAGATTTGGCTGTTTTGAACCACTGTTGGGCCCCATGTCAAGCAGATTCATGAGTTATCACAAGGTATGTAGAGGAAATTTTTATGTTGGCGTTTCGAATTTTCAGTTCCAATGAATTGCAAGCAAGAATGTTATGTTGCCTTTAATTAGAAGTTTGTTTCAAATTCTTAGCTGCGAATCTCCGCAGTTTTATATAGCAAAACATGCATATTAACTTTTAGAAGATAGTTCTTTGTTAAATTCTGTGTTCAATCGTTTAAACTCGTGTTATCCAAAACCCAGTGATCCAGTGATGTCTGAGGACTGAGGTTACATCAATGGAATTTTACAGTCAACTGCGGTGGGAACGCCGCTTCGAGGGTTTTTCAAATTACGTTTGAGTCGCTAGGTTTTCCCAACACGCGACTTGTTTTTTTCTCTATCTTTATCTTGCATTTTTAATCTTTTTTTGCTAAGCGCGTCGTTTCCGATACACAATGCAGAACATGACTCGACAAACTCTCTCACCCGATTTTTACCTCAATTTTTTTCAAGTCAGAAACATTTAGGTTTTTATCTGGGCGAAAGAAGTTTATTTTAGTAGCATGATCCATACGAGATCTCAACAAAAACGAAATGATTTCCAGAGATTTTCTGTTAGAACAATAGGATTTCGACCAAAGGCGTGCGAGATTTTCATGGTGTGGCTTGCCCAATGGCGTGATGTAGATTCTATTGGTAATAGTGGTGAATGTATTCAAGTAGTGAATGGATTTAGTGGAGAAGTGAAGAATCAATAAGGTCCCATTGAAGTAATAGGCTCACAAGCAACAAAAACTTGTATCAAAATTTGTGTTTATATCAAAATTTGTGTTTCAAAAAATTTTCCCCGAGTATCGTACGACTTTTTGCCAACACTTACAGATTAGAGGGCTCAGCTTTCCCACAACCTCTCCGTCTCGTGCGCTTAGAGTCACATCATTTTTCATCGTTAGTCATCCGGAAAATCATCCGTTATGTATACCATTGCATCAGATTTCTTGGTAGCACTTCAATTTGCGATTCTTGGAAGACAAATCTGCTTTACTGTTACTCTCGAAACCTCAATGTTTTTGACTTTGGCCTTTTACAGTTTAAAGCTTGATTCTATTACGAATGAGATTCGGTTTTGAACTGAAATGAATAAATATCTGACAGTGGAAAAATACATAAAATGAACTCTATCAATGAACTAAAATTAAGGCTATCACTAGAGAGACTAAATAATTACAACGGAATATGTCAGCTAAAAAGAGAAATTTGTCATTTCAAGACACCCTCAAAATCAAGAGGGCATCAGCCAGGTTACTGCCGTACCCCTGAATTGGGGCTACCTAACACAAACCTGGCAGGTTTTCCCACTTCCATAATTCCAGGATTTGCAATAGCTTTTCAGTTAAATAACGTGCTATGGGCAAGAAAGCTAAAATCAATCGACCAAGTTGACGTAATCATGAGAAAATGTTCGTCGTAGGCCACTATTTTATGCTAATTAAGGAAACCTCATACCATGAAAAAGCAAATATCAATTTCTGTGGTTACATTAGACAACCCGCGCCATGCTGAATGCCAATTATCCACAAGTCTAAATGTTTAGTTTGGATGTGGGTACCTTGAACACACTTTTAGGGTCTTTTAGCTATTAAGAGACTTCCCTTTGGGAGCGTAATGATGTTGGTGGATAATGAAAAACGTTAACAAAAGTTTTCTGATTTTTAATTTTTATAGGCATCCTCAATATGATACAACGTATCTGAAAGAGGCGAGTGGGTGGGTGGGTTTCGAAAAAAAATGGCTGCTCTTATAAAAGCTTTATGAAAGCTTACATTTTTGCACCTAACCCAGCTAAACGATTAGAGAAGGTATCAAATAGCAATCCAAGAAGTGAAATGATAATACAAAAGATCCCCAAATTTGACGTAGTTTTCTGTGAAAAGAACAAACGTGATAGCGGGTCTCTTGAATACCTCTCCAGAAATAGCAATAAGTAAAGCCTAGTCACTTTTGGTGACCCCTTGACACTGCATCTCTGGCAACACACTTTTTACTGGGGCCGTTTGAAGGAAATTTTTTCAGGGAAATTTGCAGCATTCAAAATTGGAGGGACCAAAATTGGTTTCACAAAAAAAGTTGTTTATCAAAAATTTGAAAGTAACGTTCAAAATTTCGTGCCATATATGTGAATTTTCATGCTGGGAAAAGTTGCTTTTCAAATTTTTGTATTTTATTTTGATGGGAAATTTATGGTAGTCTGAAGTGGTAGATTAATGGTAGATTTTCTTGAACGGTGATGGTAGTCTAAAGAGAATGTCTGGGAGGTTTTGGAATATTGAAGCAACGACAAGCCACGAACGTTCAATTCTAGGCTCGCTCGCTTAGAATCGTTACTCGATTCCCTTTGCGTTGAGATAGAAGTTTCACAAATTTTTCATCCAAAACACTGGCATTCCCGAACCTTGCTGCGCATGTTCTATCAATCCATTTTTCAAGAGTCCCATGTTCATATCCCCAACAAGCTCCCATAGTTGTCAGTCCAACATTAAAATGTGGAATTCGAAGGGCGGAGCGGAGTTGCGAAGTAGCGTTTCCTCTTTGTCATCTGGGCGCTCTGTGGCTCAAATACCCATTCTACTTATTACATTATGCCTCTTTTGCTGTTATTTGTAACATTTTTAGCGCAAGAAGTTTTGGTAAATTCATATAATAATGGCAGCAGGAGTATAGGTTTTTAAACTTTTGAAGCATTCAGTGCCGTCGGAATTAAATTCATATTGGGGGGGCCATTGTTTTCCTTCTCGTTCAGTACACTGTTATAAAGAAAACATACTACAGTTTGACAATTATTGGGGGGGGGCTCCAGCCTCCCCCAGCCCCCCGGTTCCGACGGGCCTGCCATTCTAAACATTAGGCCACGAATCTTGTTTCATTTTAATGTCCTCTTTGTTGTCTTTACATGTAGGTAGGCCCATTTCCTTTTTGGACTTTGGTCACAGTTTGTTAAGAAACCATTCGATGCATTCACTGTAGCAAATGTTGAAGGAAATTGGTTTTCATATACAATAAGCTAATTCACTTGCAGGTCTAATCGACTTATCATTGTTTACAGATTATTGTTAAATCCTTACATAACTTGGTCTCACAGGCGCAGCTTTGGTCGGCTTGAGAAGACAATTTCCATTGAGCATTGCATTGAGCTACTAATTCCCTTATAAATCTAACAAAGTAAATTTTTCAGAGAGCAAAAATAGCGTATAAAAAAGGCAATATGAATTTTAAAACGTGCTTATACCGTTGCCTATCAGGATAACATAGATAATTTCAACACTAAGCTAAAATCCTGTAATGTAACCACTGGAAAGGATGAGTGTTCTGTCCACAGTGATCCTAATAAGCTTTAGATGCATCTCTTACGACTAGAAGATCCAAATTGGATCATCTGAGCATGAAAGAGACATGTAGCCAGTTTTGTAGGAAAAATATGCATCTATGGGCCTAGCGGATGCTAACCGTTTAGGGGGGGGGGGGCTTAGTAGGGATCTTGCCCAAGTGTTATTGCTTCATCGAGTTAGAACTGCCTGAACGGGGCCTGAAATATGATAAATTTTGCTTGACTGCGGGCTGCAGCGTTAAAAAACCATGGAAGTGTCTACCGTCCAGAAAAAAACAGAACAATCTCCTTTTTTGGCTAAAGGTCAACAGCACAATCTAGTCTCGAAATTTTGTTTAGATGTCGCATTCGTAAATACAATCGTCAAATCTTAGGCCCTGGCAACTAACTATATGTGGTGGAGACACAAAGCAAGTCAAGGCTGTTTTGCAACAAGTTTCTGTTGACCCAAGAAATATTTACCTCACTAATGTCTCTAACAAGAAAGACAATAACATGGCGTGGTTTTATATTGTTGTCGAATGAAGAATTTATAGCAATCTTAAAACATTTGTTGGTGGACGCGAAATATGTAGTCGTTAATGAAGAGAGACTTCCCTTTGGTTAGAAAGCTAAAAGGATTTGTCTATTGGTTATAACATATCGCTATAAGATAATGAAAATTGTGCAGACTGGTCTTGAGAAGCATATCACTGAATGAAGTTACATAATTTAGTAACCAAGTTATATGTCAATTTCCATATGCTTATGCGTCACTGCTTTCCCCACTTAAAGGTTAATGCGTTTTTGCAAGCAGAGGAGAGACAGGGAAGGGCAGAGACTTCATCCTGGTAGAATTGATAAAGTCGTTGAAATTAGGTACTTGCCAATCTTGGAAAAAATCGTTGACGCTTAGGAAAAGCTTGAAGTGATAGAAATAAAATGTCATGAACCTCAGCGTTTCTCAGTATAAGTAACGAAGGCAGCACTGCAATTCAGTTCCTATGATATCCTTTCCAAATGAATACAGGCCTGTTTTACCTCCAAAAACCACTATGAATGGCCAATAAAGTTCCAAAGGACAAAGAGACAGAAAGACAACCTACAAACATAGAAAGTTTGAAATCTGCAATCACAGAAGTTTGGACCAAAGAAATAAGGCTTGAATATTGTCGAAAACTTGTTCTAGTAGAACCCCTTTTTTAAACCATTACTATGATTTTTATACGTCCAGTAAATTATTTAACTTTTACTTTTCATTTTCATTCCTTCTTCATAGCTTCCAGGGTACTGGCTCCAATCTTGATCTGCAAAATTTTAACTACTTTCTTTTCATGCACATATTTCTCTAAAATCCAATTAGACGATAACAAATAGATTTGCTTTTGGAACGTAACTTCGGATTACGAGTTAACGTAGAAAGCTGCCATACATAATAGAGCTGTACAGGGGGCTAGCAAGCCAAGACAGTACCACTAATTTGATGTAATATCTGTTTCATGTGAATATTTCATAGCTTACTTTTCGTTTTTTGCATTATCACTGTTCCTTAAAGTTTATCGAGTCCTATTATTCTACAACAGACGGAGACATGTCTGTCATTTGTGTCTCGCAAACATCTGGCAGAATTGAGCTAAACATGTGTATGATAATAATCGATCTTCCTAGACAAAGGCAGTCGCTTTCATTTTTGTCTGGTAAAGTACGGTTACAGACGGTTTGATACTGTAAGAATGTCTTTGTAAATCTTCGGTGTCATTTTAATGTATTAATTTGTATGTTCTTCAACCACGTGCCCTTGTTAGATTTTCGTTTTATTAGGTTCAATTTCACTTCCGTTGTTTTAATGGGATTCTTTGGAAAGTGGCCCTGTAGGAGCCTATGCTTGGTACCTAGCCATACTGAGTAATGCTTGTTTTTAAGGATGGAACCCTTCAATCTTGAACAAATTTTAATCAACAAGACGGATGTGGCACACTTTCCTGCTTGCGATTACACCCAGCCACATGACCGAAAGATTTGTATTATCATTCGAGGCCTTCCTGAACTATCACATGATCAGCTTTCATCCATGATTGGCTTATTCTATTAGTACTGCTTTCTGATTGGCTGATTTTTCATCTTCCCAGAATAACAAACGGAGTTGGAGCATTTTTGACTTCGGGTCGCCGAGAAAGTTGCAAGGAGATACAGAAGTGGTATGGGGTGAAAAACTTAAAGAAAACGAGAAGGCAAGCAGAGTTGTTGCAATAGGTCCAGATATAAAGCTTGGAGAAGGCCATCAAGCAGCAAACATGACGATGGCTGCAAGTTCTGTTGTGTTGTCATCTTCAACACTAGAGAAGGTTGCTAAAGCCAAAGCCACTATTGAAAATTATTATACAAATTTGATAAATCAACACAGGGAAAGGAAAGAAAGGTAACTTTTCTGTCTAATTTTTTTGCATTGTTATTATTCATGGCTATGATGATGTATGTTGGTTGTAAAATGGTTCACCGGTTCCTTCTGTTTAGTGCATTTATTTCGCATTGCTAGGCCAATGAATTGGTTTGTGGCCGAGGAAGCGACCAGGATTAGTTTGTTGAATAATATACAATAACCTATTATTTGAAAGCAATAATAAAGCAAATACAAATGGATTCTGTTTTAAATTGTTTGGGTTTTATACTCCGTGAACACACCAGCTTCAGGTGTTGTAAGCCCCTAATACAGATCAGACTTTTTGACTGAATGTAGGAAATATTTGTACAAAAGATAAATGTTGCCTTTAGCAAGTAAACAAACTGGAATCCTTTGATGCTTCTTTGAATAAAATAACATTGAATGTAACTATTTGTAAAGAATAATGCGAAATATGTTGAAAACCTGCTACATCTCTTTCCCAAAGTGTTAACTATTATTTATAACAAATTACCCGCTAACAACAACAAGAAGCCTGTTGCACATTTATGGCTTTGTTTTAAATGATTTCTTACAAGTCTCTTGGCAAAAGGACAATTGTTAAAAAACCATAAGTCCATAAAGTAAGTAACATTGTTTCAACTTGAAAAATATCACATAAACAGATGTTTTTGTGCAAATAAATATGATGAATATGATACGTTTTGTTAATCCAGCTGCTAAGAGGCATAAGTATCTTTTTAATATTTTGATGCAGCTAGATAATAAATTTTTAGAAACAGACGATTTGAACACCCCTAACTTTTCTATCTAATAGTACTGTATATTAGCCTGCACTTAGGTATTACATACAATAGTTAGTAATATTAAGAAAAAGTTCAATTTATAACTCATTAAACAAAGACAAAAGAAAAGTATTTCAGCAGTGTGACTCCCAATGAGGGGCTAATTGGGTAGTTTCCACAAAATTTGTAAAATAATGTAACCCAAAAACTGGCATTTGCTTCTTCCTGGTTTTCGTTACAGTTGAGTACCTTGCCAAAAGTGAAAATCATAAGATTGGTATCAATTCATCTATCACTGAAATTAAATATTAGATGATATTATTGGTAAAACATTGTCAGATATTAAATGATGATCTTAAAATTGACACATCTCATGGTTTCTGACTAAACAGTACATTTCTTGATGATATTTTCAGAATTATGTATCAAAGGCTTTATTATGGAAATTTCATGAGACTCAAAAAATATAATATGACATAAAATAAACATTATATATACTTACGAGGCACTAGAACTGTTTACACTTGTTGCGTCTGTGTTCATTTTTTTATGTTCTCAATCTTTTTTTGGTTACTTTCATATAAATGTCTTGCAAGTTATTTTGTTCAAGTGGTCTTTTTTTCAAAATAGCATGTCGAATGCCAAGCTTTATGTAAAAATATAAAGTTGGTATTATTTTTTCTGGTCTTACTTTTTTACTTTCATTCAACTTTTTAATTTCATTTTAACTTACATTTTTTTGTTGATTTCTGCCATATGCATCTGCAAAGTTAAGGCTAAACTTTTTGTTCTTTTCTTCATCATTCTAATTGCTTTAATTATGATGCATTGGCTTTCCTTTGGTTTTAAGTTACAGAAGAAAACATTTTATAGAATATTTTTTGTGACCTGATTTAGTTCTCTTTCAGGGAACAGTTTTTGGTTAAATGTGTTTTTTTGTGGCCTCAAATGTCATTGGTTACCAAATGAATACTTTTTGTTGTGGTAAATTATGTTGTATTTAAAAAATCAAATGAAACTGCCTTTTCAAATGACGAACATGACATACTAGTTGTTTTTTCCATGTGGTATCATGTTTAATATTTTATTCTAATTGGGCTTATTTGATTATATTTGAGTTGAATCACCAGAATCAAACATGTTAAAAAGCTTTTCATCATTTCTTTTCGGCTGGTGCTGGTTTTTAAAGGTATTGGACAACCTTTGCCAGTAGGACAAATATCAAAGCAGGTATCCTAATTCAAATGAAAGCTTGTTCATTTTGTCTCACTGGGAAGTTTACATTTGATATTGAGAGATTCCCTAGACCATGCTGTTCTTATAAAACTCTGCTAGTAGGGTTTTATTTGCAATGCCAGAATGGCAATGCCTGCTGGTGTTATTTTGCATTCTTGGCAGGTGTTAGTATTACAGTTTATTGAATAAAGAAGAAAAGTTAATGTGTCTGCTGAATAGCTGTGTTACAGATAATCTTTTAAAGCTTGATATTCAATGCTATACCCTGATAGTTGGCATGGAGTGAGCTTTCAGTTATATTTAGCTCCCTATAGACATATCCCCAAGGGCAATCTGTAACGAGACTGATATGAATTTAAGATATGAATAGTCTCATCTCCTAAGAAATTAGTAGGCTGGAATCATTGGCCAGAGAAGCTATTTTGATAGCCTATAGAACAAACTGGCAAATACCATAACTAATGACAATTTGTGTCTTGAAATTGATTTTATATTATGCCTTGTTTATGATGTGTAAAAGTATCACAATAAATGGATGCCCATAGTTTTCAAAATCATGCAAAGTTGACAAAGAAAAACTAGACAATTCTACACAATGTTAGACATTTCTAGGCTTTTCAAAATCAGATAAATGAGAGAAGTTTTCCTTTTGATATCCCAAGCATGAATTTCGGGAAATCCATTTAATTGTGCAAGTCTAATTTAAGCTATTTGGATTAGCCCTGTTCATCTAAAACATGTGTGTGGTAATATCAAATTTCACCATGGAAGCCAAGGTTTTGAACCTTTCTTTTATGTTTGTGTTTCATGACTAAATAAAGCAGAATTTTCATCAATGCCATATGGAAATCTAATTGTCAGTCTGAAAGACACATTTTTGTACCAGGCTAGCCAAAAACTCTATAAAAGGAAAATATTTCCATGCAGACAAGTTGAATAATGAGAACAGGGAAAAGTATTGAACAACTTTCTTATTGGGAAAGCACAATATATTCAAAGATTGCATGTCCTTGACTATAGCACCTGGTTAACTCCAACATCAATTGTTTGCCTTTGCAAAGAAACAAAAGGTGTAGAACCAGTTTCAGGCCATCAAGTAAGGGGCAAATGACACGGCAATGATATCAGTTCTACTAGGTTTGATTGTAAAATTCCACTTCCTAGAAAAATTGTTTTAAAAATGTATTCACTAGCTAGAATGTAAAATTACAAAACATGACAAAGAAATGACAAATTTAACCATCTTTACAATGGGACTACCTATTTTCATAATGTAACTTTATCAGTCATGATTGTCATGTCATCAGTATCATTTATAGGCTCAGCAAATATAATGTCAAGCTATTGTCAGATAGTGTCAAGGACATTGTGTTCACAAGTATGTCATCTACATTATGTTGGGATCGTATCACAAAGTAAGCTAAGTGAAATGGAATTGATATTTCAGCACCAACTGTGCTGAGGTCATATTCATCCATCACATCTTCTTGCTTATTTCTGTGGGATTTACAATACCGGAATTAAAATAATTTATATATTGTACTAAAGTTTTAAGGCTTGATATAAAAGTTTGATTTTTACTCTGTCTTTGATGGCAAAAGTATTTTGAACACTTTGGCAAGTGATTCTTTGATGGTCATGAAAACCCGTTTAAAACTTCTTTCCAAGCTTCTTAAATCACTTTATCGGATTGCTGAAAATCAAAGAACTTGTTTCACGTTTTGTCAAAGTTCACTCAAGTGAAGTACCCTGCTCTTGTCACATCTACTTAGAGAAAGGTCCCGTTCTGTGAATGGTCCTCGTTGGTACTTTGCGATTGCGAATGGGTGTAGAATTCACGATTAGTAATTCAACACGTTCTTCATTGTCAGGTCATCTTTAAGCTCTGTACAAAACGTTGGATTAATTTTAAAGGCTGGTCAAACAGTTTTAATACCCCCAGCTTCATATCTTAAACACCAATAAAAAATATTTGGCAAAGATATCATTTATTTCGTTTCCGAGTTTCATTTCTTCGCACCAAGTCTTTGTGATTCATAAATCTTTTAATATGCCAAGAGTTTTGACAATGCTTTTCCTTTTTCAGAGTAAAGCAACTTGAAGATGCAATGCAAAGGGAGGGCCTTAGTGATAAAGAGGTAATTCCTTAGCTGTTCATTTTAATCATAATACTTGCAGAAATTTATAGGGACTGTAGGTTACCGTAGGGGCATCAGACTCTGTAGCTCGTTTACATGAAGAACTTTAAGAGTTGGGGCCGGGTTGTTGATTGGAGAACGCAACAAAGCCTATTGTTTAATGCAGCCAATGGAAATTGGATTTCGAATACTCTGGTAAAATTGTTTTGCTATCCTTCTTTTCTTTTGTTTTGTTTCTTGATGTTAAAATGCCAATCGATATCCATAAGTCATAACGGCACATTTCATATTTATAATTTCGCCAAAATAAGGATAAAATATTCAATTGCTTCGTTATGCAGTTCAGCTCTGATAGCAATTTTTGAAAAATTTGGAAATCTGTAACGTAACTTCTATGTCGATCAATTATCACATCATTCGGATAATATTTACAGTGTAAGATAGATAATTTTTATCAATCTAAATTTTACAGAATATTGCATACTTGACTACACAAATAATTAACTTTGGGTTATGGTGAAACTAAATTCTATCGGAGGCGAAAAAGTTATCTTTGTTTTCTAACTAAATGTAGATAAACTCTTTTTGCTTGGTCTAGCGCAAATCTACCTTTTCAATTGAAACTCAAAGCTATTGCTGAAACAGAATGTTGGGTATTGATAAAGATCGTTGTGACGTAATAGAGTTATCGTGTTTTCATTGCATGACGCTTTCTGGTGGTTTCATCTCTCGCCAGTACGTTATCTAATTATTGGGGAAACCAGCATTATTCGTACACAAAGCTTGTTCATATTGAGAAAGTTTTCCCGAATTTTCCCATTGCAGCGGAAATCTTGGTTAGCCGGGGACAAATCATCGACCTCTTAAATGCAGATTTTTCCGCCTTGTTGGGCTAATAATTAAACCATTTCAGTGATTAGTGGGGATTGCGCTTGTGCAAATGGTAGGGGCCCGGGTTGTACGCAAGCAAGATCTCGGGTAGCCGTGAAAATGTTTTCTTATGTGAACCCTTGTGCTTTTTATGTAGTGAAGCTATGTGAGGCGGGATCTCGGCTTAACCGAACGCCGAGAAACTTATTCAGTATGAACAGGCTCTTACTTCGAATTCAATTTTTGAAAGATATTACGATATCTCGTTATGTCTACCTTCTCATGTTTTTATGTTTTTTATATAGAAAGATGAAAGGAGGTCGCTGTATGCAATTAGGGAAACAGAATTTTTACGACTGAAGAGGACGAGAATCGGACGGGACGACTTTGAATCTTTAAAAGTTATTGGTAAAGGAGCCTTTGGCGAGGTCAGTAAATCTCCGCTGTGCTGCAATCAGTGCCTAGTGTATTGTTAACCATTCCTTTGGGCCATGAGCTACAACGTTCAAGCCTTTAAAAGCTATGAAAACAGGGCGTGGTTTAGGTGTGGTAATTGAATTCTTTTGTTTTCAATTACCGTTCGAACGGCCGTCAGCCTTGTGATTGCTTCTGTCTTCATGTAATCTTTTTTCTATTCTGTACTCCCTTCTCGGACTTCCTCACTGGTGGCATCAGCTACTGCAGAGTGAAAGGATAATGGGCGTGACCAGTGAGACTACGCCGTTTTTGTCACGTTTCAGTGGTTTGTACCAAGGAAGTTTTCCTTAGGCAAAAATATGATCTACCCATACCTAGCGCTTTTTAGTTAATTTCTAGAAACAATATGTGGACCGCATTTTGGCAAAAGTGATAATGTTTTCGCTCTTTCACGGATCATAGCAAGTCAACCGAAAATCGGCCTTTCTTGAGAAGCTACGTGGCAAGAGAAGATAAGAAGCCATGAATCTGCCAATGTTCTTGTCAGCCACATCGTGCTTGATATAAATGAATTAGCGCCAAGTTTTGAAATCGACTATCCAACCACCTCATTAATACTAATAATTAACGCTTTCATTTATTATTAAGTCTTTGCTTTACAAAGTGAATCTGAAATTACTTCATTGTCAGTGGTTGATTAAGATGTGTCCCTTGCAGCAATTTAAATTATTGTGGAGCCATTTTATCAGGTTTTACGAAAACTGAAATGTTTTATTGTCCCCTCTAGTCTTCATTCTGTTTCACTGCTGTCCATTTTGCATTTTTCTTTCTAAATCTTCTGTTTATTACAATATGTCTGAAATTGTAAGGGTTTGATACACAATCGCATTAATTACAATCTTTATGGGCGGGAGCAAGGATGCTGTCAAAGATGAAATCCCCATTATCGGCGAACTGTGTCATCTGTAAAGTGAGTTAAAAGATGTCTAGTTTTTTCTACAAGACAATGAGATTTTTATCCGATCTTTTTATCATGTTTTCTAGGTACGGTTGGTGCAAAAGAAAGACACTGGACATGTTTATGCAATGAAAATCTTAAGAAAAGCTGACATGCTCGAGAAAGAACAGGTTAGCCTTGATCTTTGCTCTTGTTGCTATGCTTTTCCATAAACTGGTTGTCACTACTCCCACGGTTCTGACATTAGCCTGAAAAGATGTTTTAATTCTAATCTTTCCTGTTTTAAAGGCATGGCTTAGATGAATACAGAGTTCTGTAATGAAATATGGCTTGATTTTATACCATTTCAAAACATTACAGTAAAAGGGTTGTTTATTACCGCAAACAATTCTGACTGCAAAAGTTGCATTGAAGGGGTCAAATAACAGAAGAGTCTTGGCCCTACATTGAGAAAAAATTTTTGAAGCCTTTTTTCCTATTCTAATGTTTTTTGCTTTCCAAAGTCTGGACAATAAGTGGTGTATAATTGCCCAATCTGCTTTATTGTTGTTTGTTCTTTGAAAAGATTTGACAATCATGCGGGTTTGATAATATAAGGCTTTTTGAGGGTACTTTTATGTATAGATTTTCGCATCGTCGATATATCACAAAATTTAATGAAACCCTTTTGTAAACTGGAAACAGTACTTCGCAGTTTGCTGTGATTTGGTGTTACAAAACATTTGTTTGAACTGCAGTGTACACACAAAGTTTTTGCTTTTGACTGAAAATTTACTAGTGAAATCACACCTATGTTATTGTTGATAGTTAGATCTGAGCTGTCTAAACTTTCAGTAATGGTTCAATTTAATGCGTTTTTTACAAGGATTTGCAAGGATCAGTGTTTGTCAAGGTTTTCAATGATTGCCATGATTGTTTAGATCTAATTCATCAAGTTTTCTTAAACAGGTTGCACATGTAAGAGCAGAGAGAGATGTCCTTGCTGAATCTGATAATCCCTGGATTGTAAAAATGTACTACTCTTTTCAAGATGCGCAATGTCTGTTTTTAGTGATGGAATTTCTCCCCGGAGGTAATATTTTCAGTTCGCGAATTATCTAGCTTGAAAAACAGTAACTAAAAATTTTCCAGCAGTGGAAATGCCATTTCTTTTTTACTGACTTAATGATCTTCTTTCGGTGTGACTTCATGTTCATTTTTCTATGTGCCACGTCTCCTCTAGATGTAGGGGACTAGAGCTCCCTAGATTATTTCCAAGGTCTTCGAGGTCTTCATCTTTGAAATCTCTGCCGAGCTACTGTAGATTTTTGTTAACATAAGTCATGGGCGTGCTGTTCCACTCTTTAGTTCCAGTTTGTCGCGCTTTATGTCCCACTTTTCCTTCCTTGCGACGCCTTGAAAATCTACCAAACGACAAACCCTTTAAGCCAAACAACTTTCCTTCAATCTTGGAGCCAACCCTGAATTTTGTGCAAAAGAGGGAAGCCACGTGTTTTTAATTTGCATTTATGTTTCTGTAGTAAACAAATTATTGGAGCTAGGCCCAAACCACTCTAGTCAAGGCCATTTTAATAGGGCCTAAATTCAAATGAGTTCTTTTGTTTATCAAAATTCGTTATTGTTGTTAACAACATTTTGAATTCAGGTCTACCACTTAGGAAATACGATTAAAGTTTAAAGATCCTTATTCTATTGTGTAACTATTAATATATTTTGAAAGCAAGTGTTCCGAACATTTTAATACTGTAAAAATAGAATATTGTATTTTCTAGTTTGTTTTGTAAGCTTGGAGATGAGTTTTGATTAGTTTTGGTTGGAATATAAACCTAGGTAGAGTAGAAACGCATACTAAATAGTTTCTTTCAAAGCATTGAATTATTGTCTAATACCAGTTAACAAGAGAACACACTAGGTTAACAAAACAGCGGTCAGGTCATATTAAATTTTAAGTAAGTCCCAACTGGTCGCTAAAATTATAATTTGTTTGTTGTTGTAACTTAGATATCTAATCGTAGTGTCAATGAAACCAGGGCTTTTGCTAAAATCAAGGATTTGATTACTAAGCAGAAATCTTAGGCTTTTTACCTGTGCGAAAAACTGACAATGCTAAACCTTAAAGGATCTTGACAACCAGCATGCTTTGCGGTTGCTGTTTTTTACGCGAGGAGAAATAGGGTTGTATTTTGTTTTTTCGTACAATACGATATTAGGCCAGTTTAAAATGCCTCCGCAAGACATGCCGGTGGCGCAAGGCAACCCTCCGTCCCAGAATCAAAAAGCATGTTAATGGAGCGAAGTGATTATTCGCATGGACTTTTATTTCAGGACGGAGGGCTGTCTCATACATTTGACCTTTTTCGCTTGCTCGTCTCCTCAACAAATCTGGTATTATGAAGTCGGACATTATTGTAATTACAACCCTGTTTTCATCCAACCCACGCGACCACAAGCATTTTGTTTTTGGGAAGCATACCAATAACATAGCAGCGGCTTCTGAATGTTTCATTAATGTTTAGAGACTCAGCAGATTAACAAGAATTTTTAAAGCGCCACCTATGTTGCAAATTTTGTCATAAAAAACTTTCTCCATTACTTTTTTAAAATTCTCACTTTCTCCGTCCTTCACTCTCATTTGAATGGTATTATAACATTTTCCTAAACTAGATCCGCTTTTTATGACGACGAATATAAATAGGAACACCCTCCTTAGTGAAAAATTGTTTCCTGCTCATTGTCCAATTCTCTGTTTCTAGTTGACGTCAATGATTTTGCATCTTGCTATCCCCTTCCCTAGTAACACGTGACTTGATAGCAAAGCTCTAGTTCCTTCACATCTTCACATTGTTCAAGGTGTCAAATCGATTAAGGTGGTCGAATTTATACTTGTTACCAGTATTTTTCTAATGGGTGCTATGGCAAGGAGCTAGAGGTCAAGAGGTGCTATCCGTTAGATGCAAAGCGTAAACAATTCAATTTGTGAAGCTTTTTATGAATATTTGTTTATTTTTCAGGTGATCTGATGACGATGCTGATGAGGAAAGATACATTCACAGAGCAACAAGCACAGTTTTACGTTGCTGAGTCTATCCTCGCGATTGATTCAATACATCAGTTAGGATTTATTCATCGGTGAGAATTATATAAAAGTAATTTCACAGGGAAGGCTTATAATTCACCACCCCAAATTAAACCAGTCGTTCATCGTGAGGTTTGCTTTGCCAGAAGCACTGGCAATTCTTATACTGCCTTCAAAGGGCATTCAATTAGGCCTGCTGTTTTGAGTTACTCAATACTTGGTGATCTGCAGTGCCGTAAGAAAAGGGTGGTTACTCCGCCTGAGCTAAACCAAGCACCCGCATCTGAACAGCGCTATGAATAAATGCTACTCATTTTGTGCAGAACCAAGACTCGCTTATAAACATCGCCATGATCTAATGCAATTCAATTTGCATCCTGATCAGAATCATGTTACCGGGTGTAACCGAGTCTTGTTCGGTTACACTTCTGAATTTGTGACCACATATTAGGTATCTTTTAGGCCTTAAAAAGGGATGCTTAGCGTCACAAGTGCCACAAATGTAATTTGTTCTGTTGCACGTTTAAGCAGTAAAGAGATGCGATAGTAAGGGGACTGAGCCACACATATCTAGAATTGTTGTTTATTACGTCGAACCGGCACAGATCTTTCGCAACAAAAACTAAAGCTCTTTATTTTCTGGCCTTTCCACCCATCATTTTTTATTGAATTCAAAGGCGTGAGCCTCATAAAACGCAGAAAAAATGCTTTGATAGTCAACAGATTTTTAATATGTAAACAGTGAGTGGCTCAGCTAATGTCAAAAAACTTTGTACAAGCCCAAAGATGGTATGTTACCTGTCTAGATATCAGATCTGAAGCTGTTTAGATATCAAGGATGTACAATGGACTTAGCATAAACTCAATTCAAAGGCGATGGCATCTTCTGAATTCTACATGCTTTGACGTGTTTTAATAATCAAGTTGCTTGACCGCCACCAGATCTCTTTCGATTTTTGCTTTCTGTTGTCAAGTTCTTAAAAATGTCGCATTTGTGCATTTTTCAGGAAGAAAGGCTTTTATATAGCACAGAATTTGTAAATAGGTGTAAAGCATTCGTTGAATTTTTCTAATCCAGTCCGATCTGTTTGCCTTTGTAGGGATATCAAGCCAGACAATTTGCTTTTGGATGCAAGGGTGAGGAAATTGCATCATATATTCATATTGTAAATTATTGAGTCCATATTTCAAACATTTCAGATAATGAATGTTAGGCGTTTAATCTAGCGCCTTTGTAGATTTCATCTCGGCGACATTGAACACCAAAGATAATGCTTGAAATTGTTTTAAGTATATTTTTACAAATATAACTGTTGTATTATGGTTTAGATTAAGCTTTGCAAACGGAAAATAGTGTAGACTGATTTTTTTCTTATCAAGCAGACTTGTTTATAAGCAAAGAACATGGAAACCACTTTTCAAACGTGATGCATAATTGATTAAGACAGCTAGGTTAGCTTATTCGCTATTTCTGCGTAGGCCCTCTGATCATTAATGAATTGTGCTACACTCGCTTCTTTTCAGTTGATATTTTCTATGTTGCCTTTGTTTCTAGGGTCATATCAAGTTATCTGACTTCGGACTCTGTACAGGGTTGAAAAAGGCACACAGGACAGATTTTTACCGGAACATAACGCCAGCAAACGTCGATGCTCTATGTAAGTGAAATTGCATTTTTTAATCAAACAACCAAATTTTCAATCTTCGGTCCGCCGGTGTTGAGTGTAGTGAAATCACTAATTGGATAGACTGGTTATTTGATGACGTCATATAAGTGTTTTTTTAGATTTATCTTATTTGACCATATAATCCATAGAATATCTGTTAGTGTGTAAATGAATTGAATTTGCTGTGAACTGGTAGAAATAAGGAGAGCGAAAGATATGGAGATTTCAAAAAGATTTCTATTGTTATTGTTTGGTTCATAAGTTTTGAAATCAAGAACAAATAACTGTAATTTGACCAGAAAGTTTCTGTACACATTTGGCTATTTTTGAAAAGATTTAGCTATTTTCACATACAGGTCTGTAAAAAATGTTCTTTTATATTTTGCGTCGCAATTGAAAAAAAATTCTGAAAAATCTTGTGACGTCATGCCAATATGTATTTTCTTTGGAAAAACTGGAGAAACTGTACAAAACTGTGTATGCAATGCACATCTTATCTCTACGTGTGCAAGCTCGTTTAGTTATACTGGTTTATCGAAAACAAACGTATCTAGATTATTTAATCCTCCACTTTGCAGCTTAAGATTTTTTCGCTCTTATCTCAATAACAGCAGGTCTGTTTCTATCCTAGAACCCTTTGTCGGTGCCTTTGTAACATAAATTCACTAAGAATTTCCCTGTCCTTACAAGATAAACCGAAAACTCTTCTGTGAAACTGTTTTGCTACGGAAAATATCTCTTTCTCATCTCGACGTAGCAATGTGGGTAAAAGGATAAATAGAAAGCTCTTAAACGGATATTTTCCATTCACGTATTAGGATCAGGTTAACCAAATATTTCATAAAAATTCAACAAAATTGGTGTTAACTGATCTAAATTTTCAAAATTTTCGTAATTCCACCTGTGATCTCTAACGCTAAGATTACTCTTTGATCGAATTCTTGAAAACCAAATAGTATAAACACTGTCTTTAACCCTTATGCCGAAGAAAACAAAGTTCATTCCGGGTTTTTAATTAAGCTTAGTATTTGTTGCTACCTAGCTTCCGAAAGTAGTTTTTGGATGCTGAGAATCTATGCTTATGGAGCAGTCTCCTGGTCCTTCCTCTCGATGTGACCACACCTCGCGATTCTTATGCCTGAAAGTGTAGAGGGCTAGCGATTCCCCACACTCTGGGTCAAAGTTTGATCATTGCAGGAAATCGAATCCTGTACCCTTGCATCCGCGTAATCCACAATTTGAAACTAACAGGGCAATGATTTACATCAGCGCAGATTTTTTTCTGGCTCTACTCGCAACTTTCCCCTCAGGCATTCCTAGTTTGAGGTAATAAGAAAGAAACAAATGAACGGATTAAAGGATAACATTGCTTATTAAAAGATATCTAGCTGTATGGAAATAAATGTATTTTTTATCTGCCATATTTCAAGGAATAAATGATTGTAATAACACGGTCATTCACCTAACGTTTTCATTTAGATGCTGCCCTTAGGCCTAATAATATATCATCTTTTTCCTGTAGGTGATCCACTTGGTTCGAAACAAAAAGCATTAACTTGGAAGAAGAATCGAAGAGCAATGGTAAAGCCCTTTGTCTTTTTTAGCTTTTAGTAATCATCATTTAATATATTAGGTCCTAATGCTTTTAGTGAATGGAAATCAGTGATTGGATAAACCGGCCTCTTTAAATCTAGTTGTTTCAGACGATTTTCTCCTATCTACTGCCTATTTGCCTTCTAAACATGATATTATGTCGAGATTTTTTCCAATATCATTTTATTTTAGTTTCATTTTATAACTCCGTTTTGAAAACAAAATTTTCTTTGTGCCCAACTCTTGTCTTACATGACCAGTAAAGCTTCTAACTTCACTCGATTGCTTTTATTTGCAAAAACATGCTCTGTATTCATAAGCCTATATTCTTATTTCCCCAAGATCTGTGCCCATTTGACAAAGCTCCTATTCATTCTAACGTTAACACTATTTGTCCCTAGGCATATTCAACCGTTGGTACGCCTGACTATATCGCTCCAGAGGTCTTTCATCAAACTGGCTATGAACGAACTTGCGATTGGTGGTCCCTCGGTGTAATTATGTTCGAAATGTTGATCGGTTATCCACCATTTTGCTCAGAAACACCTCAAGGTAATCCCTGGTCCTTTACTTTATTTTTATCCAATCGAGACTTATAAAGGTTATTTGTTTTGCTAATCTAAACACACTCAATATATTTGGTATTCATGTGCCCTACCTAAGTACTAGAGAGCCTTTCAAGCACTGGAGTGAAGACGCCAGTGGAAATGAGAAGCAAGAAAATGTTTTGGTGTAATAATGCAATGTTGCTCTTGGCCTTTCAACCCCCAGTCTCTCCCCAAATCTTTCCGAATATCAGAAAATTGTCTCCCAAAATCGGTAGATAAATCAAAAAGTATATTATCACGTTGATTTGATCAATCGTCATATGATCTTGTTGTGATCAATCATCAATCGTTATGGTGAAGATTTCAACCCTTCCCTAATTATCTATTCTACTTCTGCGCCGATCTTTTTATACAAATGGAAGGAATTCTTATGTCTAAGTTGGGAGAAATTTTTTTGAATGATATTATAGTGTGAAAAAACAACGGCACTGTTATTGAGATATCGAATTTTAAAAGTATATTATGTGCTGCTTTTAAATCAAGGTTATTAAATATATTACTTTATTGCTATTAATTAAAAATCCAGCATTGTTCGAGACGCTTTTTGTAATATGCAGATATATTTTTATGAAATTTTGTAATTATCTTGCTCATTTGAAATGAGATTCTTAATTTTGGAGTCACACCAGATTAAATTCTTGCAGAGAATGTTTCAAAACTATGGATACGAGGTGATAGGAGTTACTAGTTACCTCGTTAAATTCTTACTGATGAGGTCGCCTGGTTTTCGTATTGATTATCTGTATTCACATTTAGCTAAGACCTTATTGAAACTCCAAAAAAGATTTTTTTAATCAAGTTTTCTCTTTATCTTTCCTTAATCATTGTATCTCTTAATTTCAGAAACGTATAAAAAAGTAATGAACTGGAAAGAGACCCTGGTATTCCCTCTCGAAATTCCAATAACAAATATAGCAAAAAATCTGATCCTCCGGTTTTGCACTCATCCAGAAAATCGCATCGGACGAAATGCAGTCGACGAAATAAAAACGCATCAGTTTTTCAAAGGCGTTGATTGGATAAATATAAGGTATTTTCGTCGCTTAAAAATTTGTTTATTGCATTTTGGCTCCTATAGATTATGTGTTTTGAGAAATGTATCCTCAAGAAAAATGAATAATTACGAAAATGCATTCATGTGAGATAAATTTCCCGAATTTTTTCTAACTAGCCAGCTATCTTTATCATTTTTGTTACTAACCAGCTTTCTTCTTTCATGTTTCTTTCCTTCACAGTGTTTTTGTGATTGCCTTCGCCATAATTTTATTATAGGTATTTTTATTAACGTGTTATACACGTCATCGGAAATTTCGCTTTTGGTGTAAAGAGCAGGACACCTCTTTGTTTATTAATCGTACTTCGCCGTGGTGAACTTATATCCTGTTCTATACACCAAATACGTGTGCTGCTCTGTCTATACGAAAACGAGCACCTTATGACAGACTGGTAAACAGTCGTTTTCAATAGAAATTATATACTTTAAAATTGGTGTATAACTTTTGTGTTACGATATTAGTGGTATAAAGTTTTTTCAAAGGATCATAATGTACAGTTTTGGGCCAAGAAATTTGGTGTAAAGACCTGTATTTGGCTGGAAGGTATCAGCCCATTTTTAGTTTTGGTTCGGTTTGTCATTTATTTGTTAGGCTTAAGATTTTTGACACATTTGCTGTTCTCTTTTTCAGGGATCGACCCGCTGCTATACCAGTAGAAGTAAAATCAATTGATGACACATCAAATTTCGACGACTTTCCAGAAGTAGACTTAACTTGGAGTACGTATACATCATTTGCTCTGTTTTTATTGAGAAGAATGTTGAATAAAACTTTATTGATTAACTGGTTTGCTGATTTGCCCAACTGGTCGATTGCACGCAATTTTAGGCACAAAATCCGGGCGGACATGAACAATCCGGAGTGGTACCATAATTTGCTTGATGTCATATTTATAGGAGAGCGTTCCCTGACCCTAGGCGACCTGTGATTGGTTGATGCAGTCAAAAACTCCTTGACGTGTATGACACGAGATTAATCGGATTATCCGAACCGGATTCTTCAACTTCGCCCAAAATCCATTCATAGGTGCAATGTAATGTCAGTAAAACCTAGCAGAAAGCAAAATTTTGTATTTAGCTTATTTTGGCTGGCTAAAATTAGCCTAATGAAACATCCTAAGCTCGTTTGCTATTTTCTGCATGAAATGATAACAGTGATGTAGTATTAATGGTACCTTTTCGCTATTTTTCATATTTCTGGTCCACTTTTAACTGGTTTCAGTGGCAAATAAGGAAGTCATAAGTCTCAATGAATGAAATTCACGTCGAGGGGAATCTTAGCTTTGTTCCAGAGAAACCAGTATTTGCTCGAGCACAATATTTAATAAGGCATGCTAGTGTTAAATCTGGGAAATATTATACTTCGTTTTTATACATTATCTGTTAAAGGCATTGAGTCATGGTAAATAGGCCTTCTCTATAGGGGGTAATTTGGTTTTTAATTGAAATTTACTTCAATTCCGCTTTTTTGTAGCTGAATCTAGCAAAGAAAAGGCTGAACCGAATGCAAAAGACTGGGTTTTCCTGAACTATACCTTTAAACGATTCGAGGGCTTAACTCAGAGAGGTATTAGGCCCTTCCAATTTTGACTGTGAGTTTGTTTGTATAATAGGTAACTTAATTTGAAAAACTACCAAATACCGTAAGAAAATTTCGTTTAGTGATGCGAATAGAATCATAAACAACGATTGGAGTATATTTATGCTAGATCGCAGGACATTAAACAAAGTCGGTCTATTTATGGGACTTAAGTGCTGACGTACAAATATGTTTACTATTTCGTGGTTTGCGTGTTCGGTTAAATTTTTTTTCTTGTCAAAGTAGAAAAAACGTGGTTTCAGCTAACTAATTCGCAGTTACTTTCTCATAGATTAGTCGGCAGTTTTTGAAATTATTACGGCTAGCAGTGGTAGGGGCACGGGAAACAGGAATGCATAAGGAGCTTAGTGTAGTTAGGGGCAGGGGCGTGTGTGCCATTACCATTTAGATAACATCACCCCCTTCTTTGGAAGATGAAATCATAAGGCGGTTTAGAAACCTCAATTGAAAGGCAAACGTTAATTAGAAGGTGATGGAGCCTAATACATGGACAATGTCAATGAAACGTCTCAAATTTCTCTTAAATATTTGTTTATTATTAAGGAAATATGAACCCTGGAAATCTTTCAGAAATTCCAACATTCCCTCATATTAATCCCAGATTTATTCGCAAATCCGTGTGGAAAAAACATGATTCATATCAATTATAGAAAGACATTTATGACCAAAATCGATTGTGATTTGAACACTCTGGCAGTGTGATTCAGATGAACCAACCAGCATCAATTGGCCCGTCAGAAAGGGCCAGTGTGTGAACATGCAGCTAACTTTTTATCCTTGATAATTATTACATCACATTTAAATCTGGCAAATGAGTTGAGGTTGCCCCTCATAACATAATTGATGCTGAGTTTGTATCTTATTCCCAGTAATTTAACAGTCTGTGATGTGCGCCAGTAAACATTCATGCAGCGCAAGCGTTTCTGGAGCTACTTAGCCATGGCAGCCTGTCTGGTTATGGGTCGGCTAAGCAGGAGCCTCCGCAGAAATCTTGCCTGATCATGTAAATGGCGAAATTCTTTACAGAGTTGGTCTCGTTAAAAGTGCCTCGTTCCCGCATTCCCTTTAAAACAGCCCCCCCCCCCCCCCCCCCCTCGTTCTAAAACTTCATCACTTTGACTACTTCTACGTGTGTGCCAGCAAATGTTTTCACCACATACTTTATCAGAAACACTTTCAAAATCATTTTCATTTCAAAAGAAGGTAATACCAACTTTTTATAGTGTTCATGTTTATAGCAACTGCCAAGACATTGCTACGATCCTCTATTATTTATTTGAAAGATGCAAGACAAAGATGCTCTGTGGCTATTTTAAATATATATTTCTCATGTGTTTCAAAACGAAACTCAGCAACGAAGACGTGGCTACGTTTTTCCTGTTACCAATCCTTTCTCCAACAGACACCATAAAGGAAGGCCATAAACCTGCATAATCGTATTTGCTTTTAAAATTGTTGAGAAATATTTCTGAAAACGTTGCTTTAGGCCAAAGGCAATTCTGTATAGTGGATCCAGTATGTCTCCAATCAAAGTATTCCGCCCTTTTAGTTTGTAATGTTTCAACGTTACTCCATTATGCACATCATTTAAGTGGAATTATGTCAGGTTTATTAAATTTCGAATTAGGTAGTTGACAGCACTCAATAGTTTGACTATCCTGTTGATTAAGGTAAAACTAGCAAAAGCTGTGCTTTTTCTGGTAATGTGTGAATAAAAGTAATCTTTAGTTTTCATTTTGTTGTAATGTTGGTATTAAGTATGTTGGAATTCATATTGATCTAATTCTTTAACTGTTTGTTCTCTTTACTCACTACCTAGATAGCTTAAAGCGTTTCGTTGCCGTGTGTGAGCAAAGGGTCTACCTTTTGTATCCATTGTAATGTTTGGCTATACTATGATGAAAATGGGTAAAACGACTAAAATAGTTAGCCTCAACAATAATGTGTAGAAGATTGTCGTCGCTAATAGGTTTTAGCCTGGGGTTTTTTGTATATTTCCCACCAGCAGTTGTAGAGGTGTGGAACAGATTCTATGGTGTATAGGCATTGTTTCCCTAAAAATAGCAATGCTTTATCGCAGGTCGCAGGAGTCAATTATTACATGCTGATTCCGTATAGTCAACCTCATACAAAAAGCTGTTTTTTAGTCGATAGTCGTAGAATGTAGGGATCGTATTGTTCTCTACTTGAAATACAGTAAAACCCCGCAAACAGCAAATAGGAAAATAAGAACCTACAGACTGATTTGTGGAAAATAATACCCAAAGATAAGAACCAAAAACAGACTGATTCTTTCCATGTTCTTATGAGATTGTACATCATATTAAATAAAATTCTCAAAATCAGAAAGTATAGTTTTCAAGTCATCATTGTGGTTTGATTAATTAATATTCAGAGCCATGTCATTTCATCTTCATTTTTTAATAAAGTGATTGAAATTGGTTTGTCACCAACAAAATACCATATCCTCTACAATTTGAAATTCAGTCAGGCCATTCTCAAATCTAGTTACTTTTATGTTGTGCATCATGGTTGTTAGTGTCCTTGCGATAAGAGCCACACCCTGAAAATATCATGAGTATCACATTTAAGAACCTAGTCAGTCTGTTCTTTAGAAAAGTAGTTTCTTGTTTGCGGGGTTTTACTGTATTGTTTCTTTCAATACCCCCGTCTTTCCATGTGGGGAAAATACCGCATATTTGCAAAACCATGGAGGCAATGACCAAGAAGTGAAATGTTTTGAAACTAGTTGCAAAGTGTGTAGTGATCCGTAAATATCTGTTTACGTTTTCAATCAGGAACGTCTGTCCTGTGGTCTGATCCACCTGAAGGCAGAGACAGATAATGGATATTTTGCACAGTTCTATAACTCAACTCCCTTATAACTTGAACCTTTTCCCAATCCAAACAAAAATCTTTTACTAAGGAAGGATTCATATGCATCTAGGCCAGTGCTTGATTTATCTAGCTTAGGAGGGTTTTCCTTTAAGAGTTTGACGTATTTAAAGTTCACTCTATATGTATACGATGCAAATTTGCTGCTCAAAATTCCGGGTCATTTCATAAATAGGTATAAATTGGGGGTTGGTTGTATCTAAATCTTGATGCAAACATGTTGCTTGAGTAATCTTGTAACCTGACCTCTAAGGAATTGTCTAGTTACTGCTCGACCTTGTCATTAATAAGCATGATTAATAGTCATAAATTGGTATGATTAATTATTTCAAGTAAAGGGTTAGGGTAAGAGTTAGGTTTAGGGCTAGGTTTAGGGTTAGGGTTAGGTTTAGGGTAACCTAATTACGTCATCAGGTCGAACAGTATGGAAACTAGACAGCTCCGACCTCTAAAGCTCAGTATAGTGGTTGCACCACTCCCCCAATCTTCCGTTGAATGCGTGGAAATGAGGCTATACACACAGGAAGAAACATGGCTACCAAGAAACCGAACTGCCTGATTGTGTGCAGCGGTGCTCAACAAGGTAAAGTCTTGGGTATTATTGTTACTTTCTGTAAGCATGTCATTGAGAAGGGGATTTTAGTAAGCTAACATTTGTCTTGTGCAAAATAGGCCTGGAATTTTCAGAAAGAAAGCTGTGAGACACAGAAAGAAAGCTGTGAGACACAGAAAGAAAGCTGTGAGACACAGAAAGAAAGCTGTGAAACACAGAAAGAAAGCTGTGAGACACAGAAAGAAAGCTGTGAGACACAGAAAGGTTTTTGTAGCGTGGGAGAAGCGTTTTTTCCCATTATTATTCAAAACTCATATCAAAACATTTGGTCGATATAACATCTGCAAAAGGTTTCAAGTTATAACAAGAGACACTTTTGTTTGGTGCAGTTATATTAGAGCCTCTGCAATTTTGCGGGATATGAATGCGATGCAAAGTCGAAATAGCACATTTCCTTCTTACATAATTTTGTTTACGTTAATCTTAGCTAAAATCTGTTAGCCTTGCATGCCTAATTCTAAAACTGGGCTGTACGCAGGGTTGTATGGTTAGGGGCTTAGATCCCTTGTTATTGCCAAAAAGTCAGTCTTTCCGACTTCATGCTTTTTGAGAATAATCTGCAGGCCTAACTTCTTTCCTAGTCTGCAGAAGGGGGTACGCGGTTGAACAATGTATCTTCACACTTGCACACATGCACCTATTTTTATTTGCTCCTGTACATGCAAGATCTTGTAAATAACTGTCATGCTCTGCAGAATAGATTCCTTTCCTGGGACTAGATTCCTAGCTAGGGTGCAAATACACTTAAACGCACATCTAAGCCAGTATGCAGAACATTGTGATGGCACACCCCTAGAAGCAGACGGCTTTGAAGGCACATGTAAAATGTTCTGCTCCACCTAGAAGGAAATGAATAAGCACATTAATTATTAAAAGCTATTGTTTTGCCAATATTTTTGTTTTAGTGGCAAATAGAAATGGATCGGAAATTAAGCAACCACTGACCAAAACTTAAATCTAGTTAAATCTTGTCTAGGCAATCTCCTAAAAATTAACAATAAGAAATGTGAACATTTTTAGTACAGAACTTGAAAATGGCCTTGAAAAAAGCAAACATTTTATAACATATTGGCTACAAGCTTGAGACACTTCTCAAAGCATAAAACATCAGAATAAGTCTAAAATTTTTGGTCGAAAAATCTAACACTGGATTTCTTACCAGTGCAAGCCTACTTTTACCGGTCAGTACATACGCTGGAATTCATTTTGCCCAAAATAACGCAAAGTCAACCTTGCCAAAACAAAAAATTTTTGAAACTGCTTTCAACCTTCTTGAAATTGTGGCATATAAGAGTTTAATGCATTCTAATATTGTTTGGCAATAAATCTTTGTAAAAGTAGTTTCCTTTTACTCAGCTAACTTTTCATTTTTTTTGTGCAGAACACTCATTATAATTTGTCTGGAGGAATTTTGAGCTGCATAACCTTGCTCAGTGTCAAGTTTTCTGCCATTTAGTGTCCTAAATGTAAATGATGTGAAGCACAACAGACAAATTTTCTCTAACTCAGTGTTTTTGCTTGTCCAACTCTCAGTTTTTGGCTACCGAAACACTCACCAGAAAACCATTTTCATTTCATACAGTTGTGTGGCTGCATCTAACTTGCCCAGCTTTTTTTTCTAATAAAAGTCCTTAAATATTTTGCAACTAATACTATCTCATTGGAGAATGTTTTGCTTTAGGCATTGTCTATTTTGCTACAAATAGAATCCTCTTTGCATAATTTAGGCATTTTTAACTCTGTTTTCTTTGCCCGTGGAAAGATTTCAATATTTTCCTGCCCAATATTTGCTATATAGTATTATAGCTATCTCACCCAATTCATGCATTCAAATGTTTGTTATTGTTGAAAAGTTGATAAAAAGTGCCACCATCTTGAATGCTATTTCCCTGTGATAGGAAATAAAAAATGTTCAAATTGTTTCCAAGATGGTGTTCATCAATTTTCATGATGCCTTCAAACTGCTTGACATATTTCTCTCCCTTAACCAGGCAGATAGCAGGGCCAAGTCTAAAATGTAGAACCAACCCCATGAGATATAATTATACGGAAATGGCTTAAATACAAACAGGCAAAGTTCCATTCAAATTTGGAAAAAAAAATTAAAAATGATTGCTGCCTTTCGTTGTGTTTTTCAACTTGTGAAACATCTGGTTGCCTTGCTAATGCAGCAGCCTGTCTGCATGTCTGATATGGATAATCTGCCCAACATTCTTCTTTTTGCTAGAAACTATAAGAATGGCAGACTGGATATCAAATTAGACCGTCTCATCTTGTTATATGAAATTATATTAGTTCCTTAACCATTGCTTAATTATTAAAGAGATTTTTTATTTCTTTTCACTTTTATTTCGCTCAAAATAATATCATGCTGAAAATTATTTAGTTAAATTGAAATGGTTTTTCAATTTTTATTTTGCTTTTCAAGTTTTGTGATATAAAAGGCTTCCTTTATTATGGTTTGATGATTTTAGAAAAAATTATTAAAATGTATTTTTACTCCTACACTGTAATAAAGATGTAATATTCTACTGAATGTTATGTCCAAACTTTATTTTGTAGGTGTTTCAGCTCAGTCATTTATTCACTCGTTTACACTCACCCATTCTGCTTTCAATGTTTTCATTGTTACACCAGAGGTATGTGATCAACAAAATTTAATTTAGCAACTTTGTCTTTTGCAACACATAAAAAGTGAAGCATTTGATGCACACATAGCTATATAACATGACTATAAAATGATTACCGAATTCCAAACAAGTTATGATAAATTTGCATTCTTTTTTGCAGCTAATAAGTGCAAGTTTTGTTTTTTCTTTCTTTTATAAATTGCCAAAGAAAACAGAATTCCAAATCACTTCCTTTTATATCCTTCTTTCTATAAGTGTACAAATGTAATTTGCTATTCCTAAAACTTTTTTTGCATCATTTTAATAAGATATTTTGTGATATAATTATTTTTCACTCAAAATATATTCATTATATATTCAATGCATAAATTTCTTAAAATCATGTTAATAGGAAAATCTCTTATAGGGAAAACAAATTGAGTTCAGCAAAATTGATGATAACAGTAGAAGATGGCTGAATGAGTTTCGAGCTAAACCATTCAGTGTGCCTGGAAAGTTAGAAGATGTGGAATGTAAGTTTAAAATTTCCAATGTTTTGTAACCATAGAAAGAGAAAAAAATGTTCTTCTTAATATTTCTAAATTTAACCCATTATTTGCACCTCATCTTTTATGGATTCCTATCTTCTCTGACAACTTTCACCCATGCCTTTCTATGCCGCCTATGTCCAGCAATTGTACCTTATCCCCCATTGCCTCTTTTACCCAGCTCTCTGCACCACCTTGCGTGTCCCTACCACTATAATCCTCTATCTAACAACCCAGCTATGGCCTATCTTGCTTCAAGTTTCAAGTTCAAGTTAAAACTGCCTGCTCAAAATGTCATAAAATTGTTTTATATTTGCGCAAACATTGCATACAGTACAAAAATTTCAGCTCTCTAGTATAAATGTGAACCCGCATTTTACAACCGAGCCTTGTCCATTCAGGTTTTGTCTTTGCTGGAAACCCCTATTTTCTGTAAAAGGGAGAATTGCCACTTGTGCGGTCTAGTTAGGCTGGAGATCATTGGGATATGAATAGTTTTCAATAGAGTTTCTACAAAGCAGTAGTGAAAGTTTAGCTAACAAGTTTTGGAAGAAGCTAAATTTGCCTTAATTTGCCTCTCAATCAAGTTTGTGTTTCTGTTTTCGCATGACTGACCTAAATAGTATTTTAGCAAGTTATGAGGAACGTTATTCTTTGTGCGAAGGTTTTGCTATTCTGTTTAGGTGATATTGTCCTGGGAAAGAAGCTAGGAACGAGCTTTTGGAAACAGTTCCCGTTGTTTACAGTTTGCTTAGAATTCAAAACAATTTGCAAAAGCGGTGCAAAATAGAATTTTTTTGATGGCAGTTTGATCTCGAGTAGATGGACTATTGCTGGACAATCCCAAAAAATAAATGACTTTTCTGTATCAATTCTATCTAAGGAGAGGATCGACTCTCAACCATAATTATCTAATTTCAAGCGTCAATTTGCCCTTTTTGACTAGATGCATTAACGGTTAGGTTCTTATAACAGTCATTTTTCTAAGCGAGGTTTGTGTACTCCTTTCATGTTCACATTTTTGCTTCTGCAGCGATCCGATATTCAGCACTTCTGATACCAAGTGGACTAGGATGCTGCTACGATTTAGCCAATCACAAAGATTTAGGAAAAATATTAACCGAATTTATTGAAGACAAAAGTGAGTTAAGCATGTTTTTTATTGTTAATCATGGTAAAGATCGTCAGTTATTTAGTTATTTACTTATTGATATAACTTTATTTTAGTGACCCTTTACTTCATTGCGATCTGTACCTATCAGAGTATGGTGTTTTGGATCTTGGTATCAAATTGCAGACTGACTAGCACCAGGAAGTATCCCCCTCCTCTTGTCCTCTAATGGCGCCCACTGGATATCGTTACAGATGTATTTGGGTATAGGAAGTTATTGTAGTTAACTGCCTTCATTCTAATATCTGATGGCAAATAGCTTCAGGAAGGTACATTGAAAGATATTTTTGAGCTTGTGAGGGATACGAAATTTCCAGCTGACAATAAACCAACTGTCATTTTGAACGTAAGCCGTACTTAGCCTTTAAGAACAGGACCTTAGTGCCTTCGACAGATACCAGGCCCGTCGGAACCGGGGGCGGTGAGGGGGTGGGGGGGGGCTGGAGCCCCCTCCCTAATAATTGTCAAACTGTAGTATGTTTCCTTCATAACAGTGTAATGAATGAGAAAGAAAACAGGGCAGCCCCCCCCCTAATATAAGTGCCGATGGTATTGGATACTAAGGTAACTTATTTCTCTCAAATGCCTCCAGATTGGCTAATTTTGATTGACGGATGGCTTAAGCCTCTTCGGAATAGAGAAGAACTCTCAGCATTAGTTTACGTGACATTATTCTCTGAAACTATTCTCAAATTTTCCAGCTATTTCAAAGAATTCCAAAGGTCGGAGGTGTGATACCCCCAACACCCGGTCCCCCGGCATAAACATACCTGAGCTACTTAAAAATATAGATGCCAAAAAGTTTCTATTTCCTCTCGCTATACATATGTTTTCCATTGTACACAAAATATAATTGAAGTTTACACTAGTAAAGTTTTAGAGTTCCCTTGTTTAAGAATGAAGTATTAATATTTTGTAGTTTAATAGAACAGCTATTTAATTGATCCTCGGTATATTTTGTTGCCAATAACTTTTTTGAAAACTGATTATTTTATAGAGCCGATTTGTGCTGTTGGCCATGGAACAAGTGGCTTATTTGCAGCAACTTCAAATTCAGGCCAGTATTGGAATTTCAAAGATTACTCTCTGACGGCGGTATGCAGGCAGTTTGAATTACAATATCTTGTTTTTATCAACTTTCTCGTAAATGGATAAGGGTTTGAGCTGCAGGTTTCCATTCGGTTTTTTATAGTCCTGATGGTTTTAGCACAGATGGCATTAAAACATAAAACAAACTCTGTTTCCGAGAGAAATGCTTTGGAAAAGTTATGTCCATTCTTCTAGTTTGATTATTTGATAGCCATGCTGAAATTCCTACTGATAAGTACGATGCTAAATGGGATATGCATGCGTTATTTAAAGATCGCCTACAAGAGACCGACCCTTGAATGACAACAAGTTTAGAAGACATGAAAAGCTACTGAAAAACCAACATTTTGAAGATTGAATGGAAATTATTCTTTTTTAATGCTTAGGGAACCTTTTCAAGTTCGATTGCCTAAATAAGACATATAAAATCATTGCCAAAAGTACTTGGAACACCCAGCAATTTGCATTGTTTTTCAATTCTTTGCCGAAGCCTCTATTTCCACACCCTCTCCCCCTAAACAATGTTGATAATTTAGAAAAATATCATGGAAGTCGCAGAAAAAGCGTTCTTCCTAATCCCCTACGTCCTTTTGTAGTTAACCAACATTATTCAAAAGAGGGAGGGGAATGACTGAATTTTTTCTTGAAAATTGACGTTGGTGTACCAAGTTTTTTGGCAAGCATCGTCCTTACTTTGGAAGTGTTGCAGCCACTCTTCTATTAATTCTTGGTAGAAAGCTAGACCTCAAACGTATATTTGAAAGCACTGGTGCTAGATATCTATAGAAATCGTAGACATTCAGGTCAATTGAATTCAACCGTATGGTATTGAAAGCAAAGGAATGATTTCTCAAATGCTGCAAAAACCTAAAGTATAGCTAAAATTCTTATTAACTACGTAAACATGACTTTTGATTTTTGAGTAGCCGCAAATTAAAAGGGCTCGGAATTTACCCTGAATGTTTAAACAATGCTAGGATGGTTGTACACGCTCTTCCCTCCAATCAAAATGAATGCATACCCTCTTTTATTTATAGGTATATAAACAAAAGATTCTTTTAGCTGCTTAATTTCTTTCAGACCCCCTGCCTCCCCCTGCCTCCTCCTTTCTTCTCCCTATCCCTCCCCCTCCCTATTCCTCCCTCCATACCTCGATCCCTAATCCCTCCCCTCCTATCCCTCCCCCTCCCTATCCCTCCCTACCTCCCTATCCCTCCCCCTCCCTCCCCACCCCACAATGTAGTTTACCTGAATAAACGGGTCATATTTTCCCTGGTAGTCGTAGAATAATGTGTTCTAACAACATTGTAAGGAGAGAGGGAGAAAATTTGTACATGTACTGTAAGTGCTCCAAAAAAGTTTAGAATTAAGGTGAATTTTTGCTAAAATGCAATGCAGCATGTCAAATTTCTGCAGTAACTGTTTTATTTTAGTAGCCTTTCTCCTGATAATATCGCTCCTTTCCCCGACAAATCCCCCGAATTGTTTCAAATCTTGGCTGCTTTGTAGGTATTATTGCACCCTTTTAATACAGATTCTTAGAAACCTTTCACTTATTTCACTTATATCAACAAACATACATGCCTTTTTGCCCGGTTTCATTAAAGAGCCCCGCTTTCACTAGATCTTGCACCTTATGTTTGAATTTTGTACCACTTTCACGAGGCTGATTTCAGGTTTGTTTTCATTTGCAGCCATCATTGTTCGAGGTTTGTCAGTTACCAGAATTTGCCCATTTGCCCGTAATTGCCGAAGACCTTATCAAAGAGCGCGGGGCTACATACAGCAGTACGTATAACGATCCAACCTTTTTTTTCTTTGTTGATCACTTCGTTAATATTTTCGTTAAAGGCAGCTTGTCCATATAGATCGCAGCTGCATGAACGGTTGTTGAAACTGCTGATAAAATGATGTCATGAATTCAGCTGTTCTGTGATTTTATTGGTTTAAACAAAGCTACTTTTGCATTGGTTGGTTAAGACTGGACTAATGTATGTTAATTATTCATGTTGTCCCCTAAAGGCATGCTACTTTTATTAAATACTATTGAAAGGGCGGGAAAATCAGAGACTTTGTGGGGTTATCCCTATATTTCTGTGGTTGTTTGGTTTATACCAAGCTTCATGTATCTTGGTCAGTCTCATTCAAGCTACAATCTTTTTGAAGCATGATGCTTTTATGGGCAAACAACCAAGAGAAGAGAGAAAATAAGTGATCTAAGCCTTCAGATAGCTGGCACCGATTGAGCTATTGTCGGTTGTAAGGAAGTGTTCGTTGTCTATAGGTTGGTAACTAGAGCAAGCTTTGCCTACAGGAATAAATCTTTGTAAGAATAACTTTCGTAAGATTATCCTTTGTGTATTTTCTGGTGGTTTCAATTATACAGAAGTGTCCGTCGTTTGATGTTTCACTATATTCAATGATTGACCATAACCCTACATTTTTTATAATAAAATTCACAGCATTGAAGTTAGACTGTGGTGTTCCCCAAGAATCTATCATAGGCGCTATTCTTTTGAGCGATATCCTTATACATGCTGATCACAGTTATATCGGGATAATTTCTGGAATTGATTTCTTTGCTTTTGTGAATTTTCCTTATCCATTACTCGACATATTTATTCACTTTTCACGCTATTAATTACTGCTAACGAATTTATCTTCTTGGTTGGCTATCAGAGCCATGTGGTCAAAGTCCTAAATTCTAAAATTACATTTTCATGATTTGAAATCTCTAATTGGCCGCTCTAATTTCTTTTGATTGGCCTGTCTTTCTATGGTTTTTCACAATCATTCACAAGATCTTGTGTGATGAAGAAAAAGTCCGTACCCGAAGTGTAGGAAGTGTTGTTTTTTAGTTTCAGCGTTTATAGTACCAGTTGGCGGGAGACTTAAATGCAAGAAATAAAAGAAATGTGCATATAATTTCAAGGTCTTGATAACACTTTTAAGTCTAAGGCTGAAAGAAGCAGTTTTTCGTTAACAATTCGAATTGATTTTGAATTCTGAAGAAATATGTGCAATTTTTGCAATATCAAGTAAACCAGCTTTCCATTAATAATTCAAAAAGGCCAAGTTTTTATCATAAGCTGCCCACTCTTACGTTCAAAAAGCTTCCACACAGTAACCAAATATGTGATTGTTGTGCTAATCATTTTAGTTTGGATTGGATACAGCCATAGAAATCAGCCGTGTATTGTTGTCTGGAATACATTATCTAGCGCTTTGACTCCAAAATGATTTATATTGACTCATCTTTACGCTGCCTATCTACAAAGCTCTTTTTATATATGAAATATTCCTCGGCTAGACTGCAGTTTAGCGACCCACTTTTTTGTTTCCTGGTCCAAAGTTGAATTGAATCGCTACTACCTAGCAACGATGACGCGAGCAACAGTGAGAATGAAGATTTGCAGAAACCATGACATTTGTTTATAACTGGATATGGAGTAAAATGAAACAATCTATGATGAATTAACGGGGGTTTGGGGGCGGTAGCCCCCAAGGCAGCTAAAAAAATCAAAGAGCGAAGTCATCCAAACTGATTTTGAAACTGATGTATAGCTGCAATTGTGCGAGAGTGAATCCTTAACTGGCTGAACTTCTGAGATCCGAACTTTCGATTGTTTCAGAAACCTTGGTAGATCGAAAGGTTTGTAATTCAATTCAACTTCCGACCAGGGAACAAAAAAGTGGGTCGCTAAAGTTCAGTCGTCCGTCCCTGCTTTCATTCTTAGAAAATGAATTGCATGTTTCGTAGTTTCAACCATGGCCACATATCCTTATGTCAACCTCATTTTATCTTTTAGGCAGCCAAAATGACTGTGTTCACGTGGTCATTGACCGTCATGTGATCACTGGACAGAATGATAACTCAACGTTATCTGCAGTACAAAATCTTATACTTCTTTGTAATGCAAGGTACACAATTTTATTTGCACTTTCTACCGAAATCACAAAAAACACAATATTTGAATAGATCAATTCCTTGATCATCATCATTCGTCATCACCAATCGTCGTCATCATCAATCATCATCTTTAATCAATAAATCAACCAAACATTCGATCGATTGACCCATTCAGGTGTTATAAGTCTTAGTTGTTATGGTTGCAGACTACAGATCAAAGGATACCGTAAATCCTCGAATTGGCCTCCTGGGGGCTTATTTATTTTTTAAAATTTTTGGACGGGGGCTTATACGGGGGGCTTATACGAGGGGGGGCTTATAAAATTATTCTCGACAATAAGAAGACATTATTAAAAGACCTTGTCAATTTTAGTAGGAATTTCTTTATTAGCATTTAATTAATTGCTACCAAAAGTACGAATTTATCGTGGTAATTCAATAAAACGTCATAGGCAAGCTCAGATGGCAAAAACCATCAAATTGAGGGGTCCAATTCGAGAATATACGGTAGAAGTGGGGGCTTGTTGGAAATTTGTAGTTCTAGGGTGGGGGCTTATTCGAGGGGGGGGGGGCTTTTTCGAGAAGGGCCAATTCGAGGATTTACGGTATGTGGCTCGAATCCCTGACATGATCAGACTTTCGCATTAAGTGAGAGAAGTCGCTAGCGCTCTTAAAATTCAGGTGTATGAATCATGAGATGTGGTCACATCGAGGTGAAGGACCAGGACATTGCTCAATTAGCTTGGCTTATTGTATCCTAGAACCTAAATTCAAAAGTTAAGTAGTAGCAAGTACAATATAGTGGAATCCCGATATAACGAAAGGGAACCAGAAAATAGTTCGTTCTATCGGGAGTTCGCCAACCGAACCGAGAAAAAACGTTTGTTAAGTCTTTTGCAGTACACGGCTAAAAAGCCTTAGGTGGTCATCTCCAACTTCTGTGCACATTTAACTCCAGAAAGCCAATCTTTGTTGAAATAAGACTACTGGTTAGTTATAAATAATAAAAATCTTACTGCTCATCTTATCATTTGGGACCAAGAGATTGCAAAGCTGGTATCACTTCACTTTTTGTTGGCGGCTGAATGACGTCTTCGATTACTTCACATTCTATTTGTTATCTTCTGCTTCGCCATCTGGGTCTCTCAATAAAATTTTGTCGTTGCTCATTGCCAATGTATCATATGTAAGAAGATATTTGTTGTTAGTTTCAATTTACTCATTCGTAGTAATTCCTGACGCAATCAAACTTTTATCTCGTAGTCTGAGCCTTATGAGCCAGGGCTTGAAATGTATCATCAGCATGTTTTGCCAATGAAAATAATGATTTCCCCCAAGAGAAAGTGATAAATTAACATCAAAAATAAACAAATAAAGATAACAGACGAAACAATTATGAAAAGTTCATTATATCGAGGATAATTATGATGAAGGGACCCAAAATTTGGTTCGTAATATCGAGACTTCTTTATATCAGGGGTTCGTTATACCGAGAGAATTTGCAAGGAGTTTCTTTGTTAGGCAGAATCCAAGAGACCAGACATTTAGTTCGTTATACCGGGAAGTTCGTTATATCCGGGGTTCGTTATATAGGGATTACCCTGTATAAATTAATCAACCATCAACCACTCGATCATTAAATTCAAAATATCCTAGCAGTAAAGCTCGTATTTGTACCCGCATGTAACAAAAATTTTTCATATAAAACCACGGCAAAGTGTAGTATTTTTTATCTCCGTTTTGTTGTTTTACGTGTATTTTGTTTTAGACAAGGAAGACAGAAAGCAAGTAACTGAGAATCGACCTTCGTTATTATTGCAAAACTGCAATAACATTGGTTCTTCGAGGAGGCAAAAGAAATGAAGATTACTGTTAATTATCCTACGGTACGTCTTCTTGTGAAATATAAACTGAAATTATGTGGATAAATCACTTGAAGCAGTGTAGTATTATTTCAACCTATTAAAATATATGTACTTTAGCGTCGTTGGAGATGTTCTCAGTTCCCTGTGCTGATCAAATTCATAGAATGAAAGACCTTATTATTGTCCAGACAAGAAGATTATTGTCTAGAAGCTTAAATTTTGTTGTGATTAAAGAATGTAATGTATATAGTTTTCATCTTAAATGTTTTTGAGCAGGCTTAGAAGCTATACTTTGCCCAAAAAGTTATTTGCAATTTTTTATCTTTGTCGATGTATAATTGCCTTAATGACTTAAGATTGTTATAGTCTACGTAAACGTTGATGATGTCTTTTGGCAGACGACAACAAGTCTTGAATCATACATCGCCCCGTCTGTGTAAATCATCGCCTGTCTTGGGGCTATCTTGGGGCTCAGTTCACATGCTTTTTGACCCAAAAAGAGGGTTGCCGCACTCATTAGAAATCTTTTCCTGGTTTGTTTTCACGACAGGATTGTTTATTCTTTTGGTTCCATTGGCACATGTTCAAATTGCCCATTTTTTACTAATTGAAAAAAGGATAAGCCATGCTTTAACAATATTTTTTGGATTTCGATACACGCCCGAGAAGTCGTCTATACGTCATCTGCCCACGTTCTGTTGTATGATTGGTGTGGTGTTGTACCAAAAGATTACTTTAATGTACTCTAAAGCTTTCTCTCCTTGGGGCTATTTGACGGTAACAGGTAACAGTAACTTAGGAAAGAAAAGAATGTCAAGAATCCACTTTAACGCCATTCCTCTTTAATGCTAAGATTTTGATCATTATGAGTATTGGATGTCTTGCATCAAAAATTTTGAAGAAAAATATTAGAAATTATATTCGACTAAGAAAGGAAATCTTAAGATTAGCTTGTGAGACCGGTGTGACGGGACGCGATTCTTTCCGAAGCTGGAAAGACACTTCCACTCGATTTTGATTTTCCTCAGTGTCTGTTTCGTCACTTTTTAAACCGCCAATGACTAGGGCCTAACACATGGAACAATAAGTCATAAGCAATATTGGAATTAAGGTCTTCTAATTCTGCGATTATGTTGAGAACTCTACTAAAACTCTACATACATTCGATGTTATGATGGCGATCGAAAGCAATTGGTCACTCGCGAAAGCGCTCATCAATTTGGCAAATTCTGCCGTGAATGCCACAAGACACATGTTTACTTCTCAGGCATAATTATACGAACACGTCAAGCCCCTGTATGCACCTGCTGTCCTAGACAGACAGTGTTGATGTTTTGAAGAGCCCCCTCTCCCCTAGTTCGATGTTATTTTTATAGAAGAGGGGCAATAGATGTTGGGCATGTGTATTTGGGCGTTTATCTCAGCTGTGTTCAAGGTTGTAGGGAAAAGATCTTATCTTAAACGTCCATGCTCTTTCAATATGATTTTCATATTGAACCGTCCTTTTCTATACAGTACACTGAAGCGCACCTAGCTCTGTCTACACACGGCATCGAGCACTTCATGACAGACTGGTAAGCTGTAATTTTCTTGATTTTCACATTGAGGTAGAACTAAGAGGTTGAGACTTATGCTCATGAAGTCTGAAAATCGCATGTGTTAGTACAACTTATAATAATAATACGGATTATAATTATAAGTTGTTTTCAAATCTGCTTGCCTGGGGAAAAAACAGTATTTTTGTTGACCAATTCAAACCACGCCCGATCGAGTTGAAAACCAGCTGTTTACGAGGCTATTTACGAGTTTTTTTATGAAATTTACTAGTTGTCATTTAAACATTTTTAGGCAGAAGACAGGGTAAATTGTGTCTAGCCGCTCCGAACAGACGCTTCTTTAGCAATCAAACAACCAAACTGCTTCTTTATTTGGCTTCATCCTTCTCTCCTAACATCCTTGGCCAACGAAACCAACTTCAAATAAGTTTATTTGTCATGCTGGTGGCTGACCTGGCTGTGGCAAATAAATTTCACTGGGAGAGATTAGAGGATAGGGAATTTGACGAAAATATGGACGTGGCATGTCTTCTGTAGGTGTGGCTTTAGAATTAGATTCCTAGTAAAGGAGCGGAGACTACATTATCTTGTTCCGAAGGGTTGCGCCTTCTTAACACCCCTTACGGCGACACCCGTGATCGCAAATTTACAAGTATGGTCAACACTGGCGATTAAACACTCGGAAGATAAAAATGAAACAAATACGGGGATGTATTCTTTCAGAGGCATAAGTTGACTGTTCAGATGAGGGGGGGGGGCAAAACAAAAAAAGCAAATTTGACGACAAATGTCAAAATTCACCTACAAAAGCGCTAAAAACTGTGTTTCAACGGATAGTTGAGCAAAAGCTGGAGAACAGTGCCTCTCCACGGCCCCTCAATTTCCGCCTCTGCATTGCCACGTGTTAAGAATGTGTACGAAAAAACAAAGGTATAAGCTTTTACGGAATTTTCAATTATTTGGTGAAAAGCTTCTCATGTTAAATGTTTGCATTAGTGTAACATGAAGGCGCACATTAACCTCAAACTAGTAACATGCTTTGCGTAACTCAAAAAACCCCTAGTTAATGTTAAATATAACCTTTAATCATCATACAGGGTGATTTCTTTGGCCATTAAGCGTTGGTGTAAAAGCTAGAATGATGACTTTGTTCACAAACTAAGTAAAATCTATTAACAAAGGAAAGTTTTACAGGAAATTACTTCATACGAAAAGAAATTTTATACACTTTAACCGTAGGGTGAAGACCGGGGAACGAAGCCTAGCTTTGAAATGATAACTTTATATGAAAATAAATTTTAGACACTTTAACCGTAGGGTAAAGGCCGGGGAACGAAGCCTAGCTTTGAAATGATAACTTCATATGAAAAGAAATTTTATACACTTTAACCGTAGGGTAAAGACCGGGGAACGAAGCCTAGCTTTGAAATGATAACTTCATATGAAAATAAATTTTAGACACTTTAACCGTAGGGTAAAGGCCGGTGAACGAAGCCTAGCTTTGAAATGATAACTTCATATGAAAATTTTAAATTTTAGACACTTTAACCGTAGGGTAAAGGCCGGGGAACGAAGCCTAGCTTTGAAATGATAACTTCATATGAAAATAAATTTTAGACACTTTAACCGTAGGGTAAAGACCGGGGAACGAAGCCTAGCTTTGAAATGATAACTTCATATGAAAATAAATTTTAGACACTTTAACCGTAGGGTAAAGGCCGGGGAACGAAGCCTAGCTTTGAAATGATAATTTTCTAGGACCAGAAGAGATATTTTATGAGATATTTCAAGGGAGGAAAGTTATTAGAAAGGGTATTTTTAAAAAGATTCGACGATAACAATGCTGGTGTTTATATACAAGAATTATCTGCGAATTAATCCATAAGTGTTAGTTTAAATGTTAAGCCCATACCATTTAAATCTCATCGATCTCGTCTTATAACCAACCTTTAAAAAAATTACTAAGTTAAATCTAAGCGAAGAATGGAAAGTGCCGTAAAAACCTAAAAATAAGATCGGCAAATAGGCCTTCACAGTTCAAGGGTAGATAGACACGTTAGGACTAAATGGTAGAAATAATTTTGGTTGGGTACCTTGTCTTCTATGTAGGCAGACCACCACTAGAGGTGTATTCCCTACGCGCGCGTTGAGATCGCACGTTACGAGCGCACGTTCTTTGGTTGATTGCAGAGAACGAATTCCACCCGTTTTGGTAGAAGAGTTTTAGCCTATTTGGCCTATTAGCCTAGTTCTAGCCTATTAGTTCTTGGTACTTTTATATTTTTACGCGCTCATTTATGCTAGTAAAGAGCCTGTAAGCGAAAAACCTCAAGTCGTGATCGGCCTGTAAGGCCTGCTTGGACAAGGGGAGGTGCCCTAGCATGAGCTATTGTCCAGTGTTTTGTCTGGCTCATCTTTAATTAGCCTTTTTAACTGGTGGCTCTGTGTTTGTAAACAAATAGCAGATTTTGTCTTCGTATGCTCAGTGGTGATTCACTTTTTGATCAATAAATTAGAAAAATATGCCTAAAAATTGGCAGTTCACAAGAGTTTTATTCATAATCTTTCACAAAACAACTAATTCTTCAGTGTCTCGCAGTTTTTTTGCAACAAATCATTCGAATATGAAAAAATAAAACAATATTTTCTACAATATGTGTGAAAGAAACTTCTTAAGCTCTCGTTTAGGACTAAACTGATTTAATAGCATCACAGTAAAATTTAAATAAAACAAGTTACAATCTACAGTGGTTGAACTTTAATTAAATTTTATGATGTCCTTGCAGTTGATTTCAATCGCTTCCTTATATTAATAAATACTTCAAGAAGATCAACTGGAAAATGAGACATAACACAATGAAAACTAGGCGAATAATTAAGATCTATGATGCCATAATTTTGTGTCCTCTCGTCAATGATGATATCAATCCCTAACATGTTGAAATCAAGCACCATTCTTAGCTTCTGGATGAGAAATGAGATCACACGACCGTCCAGCAGTTCCTTGTTGTCACTCGTCGCAAAGTTGATTGCGCTTGGGTCCTTCTCATGCAGTTTTGGAAAATACTCACCTTTTGTGATGTTGGTGCTGTCAAAAAACAGTGTTTCTTTATCTGAGGCATGAAGATTCCGTACTGAAGGCTTTTCACATGTGTAGAACTTATCTCCAATAACATAGACTTTGAACATCTTTCCACCATGATTCAAGAACTCTTGAACTACACAAGGAAGTGATAAATCTTTCAGGTTTTCCTCTGAAAACACAATCCTCATGTCATGGCTTTCTGATAGCCCTGCTTTCCCAATCAGCTTCTTGGCAATTATTGGATACTTGATTCCTGCATTCCTAATCATTTCCTTCATTGCAGTGATGTTTTCATTCTTCAGAAACAAATATTTTGGCAAGAAAACACTTCGATTTCCAAGTGTAAATTCACACTGTTTAGCTAGCTCTAATGTCAAGCTCCTGTTTGCAAGCTTGATGCCATTTTCGATGGGGTCTATGAGGGTAACATGGTTATTTGCACTGTGGTATCCCAGGAGTTTATTTAGATAGGATCTTCCTTTGCCAGCATCTTTATCAAACCACTTCAGTATTTTGTGAAAAATTATATCAAATGGCCCTTGTTCTTCGATAGACCTCTCCATATCTATATCTTTTATTGAAACATCAATTGTTTCCCCGATTAATCCTGTAATCTTTAATCTTCTTTTTTCCCATTCTGGTAAACAAATCCCCACTCTTACTTTTGGTGACAAATCATCTTTTAGTTCTACACTCATTGCCTAAAAAAGTATAACAAGGTATTTATTACACACCAAAGTACAATAAGGGTCTTTCATTAGCAAAAAATTAATCATTATGCAAAATGCTTAGTGTCTGAATAAAAAAAGCCAAAAATGCCAAAAGACTTTACTTCTACCTTCAAGTCCTTAAATTTTCATAGTCCATAACTTACACAGTTAACCTTTTTGAAGTTTATTTTGTATACTTCACTTCAATGACCACCACAGCAGTATTAAATAAATAAAAGGAGAGGCAAAACAAGATGGGTAAATAGACATTTTTCTAAATAGTACTTATCCAAACTTACATATTTCTACATCTTCCAGTTTTGGGATATCCCAGAATTAGGAAAACAAACAGCTCACCCTTTGCCTGGTCAGAAGAGAGGTTGGAAAACCAGCTATTGTGAACCACATTATGGATAGAATTATACCAACCTTTTATACACTTTTTTGGAAGCATTGTCAATACTGGCAAGACAATGTCTCTAATTGATGTTACATACATAATTGACAGCAAAACTTACTTTTGCTGATGTCTTGTTTGTATCATTAACCAAACCATGGTATTCTATCATATCAGGTATCATACACCCAACAGTTGTTAACCCTACAACAGATATAAAGCAGGAAGTTAAAAATATAATCTACATCAGTAAGAGATAGCTAAATAATAACCAAATTTACATGAACCAGCAGATTATTTTTCTATGGAAAACAAGGGCAGGCAATTTATTAGACAGATCTTGACATAAAAAACTAAACTACCTGGCAACTGAAAAAGCCATTATCAATCTGTATTATAGTTTTGTTAAATGAATGGCTTTAAACATGTTTAAGTACTGAAAAAGCTTGAATAATCCAATTTCAGGACTAGGGTGTTAATTTTAATACCTCAATGTTATTTCCAGACTAGATTTGGACTGAACCCACATTCATTTGGGTAGAAATATGCATAATGGTCTAACGCTTTGATATGGATGAATTTGATAATATAAATGAGGTTGCATATTCTATTCTGCAAATTTTATTCTTACCTGAAAACAAGCAAACGACTATGAGGTAGACAACAGCAACTGAATCCTTGGCAGAATCTTTACTTGTCATGTTTGCAAATATCCCATCCATACCTAAAATTTATGATTAGTGTCTATGTAATTCAGGGCATTTACTCCAAATAAATCAATACTCAGACAGCATATTTGGATGGAAGCTATTAACTGTGGTAAGGACAGCCATCAATAATTTATCAAATTATTTTCATGCGTATAGTTTTAAGGCCATGAAATTTTCCAGTAAAACAGGTCTTTAAATGGATTTTTCAAAAGCCAGACATCAATTTTTCATAAAATCTTAATTCTTTGCCTTCAAATGATTTTTACCTGTTAAAATCAACCTAACCTGACCTAACCGAGGGACCATTCGCTCTTGCAAATAGCGTACGAGATTTTCCCTAAAACAAAAGGATTTCTAGGGATTTTCAGAACAATTGGACTTTCACAAAAGTTGTACAAGATTTTCTTAGAGTGATTTGCCCCTTAAATCTAACCATACCTGTTTGATGACAGAAAGTAAACCAGAATTTGCAAACTAAATGATGATTTTCTTTCATCTTTTAAACTACATTTTTTTATTAGCAGCTTTATACTATTTTGATTACATAAAATCATGAACAGTCACCAGATAAGTTTATGGGGAAAAAGCATGTGCTCATCTGGCAATGTCTTGGCCAATTTTTAACACATTTAACAAATATATTTTTGTGATGTCATCATTCAAGTGGTCACAACAAGAGGAAGGGAACTGTTTGATAATCATAGCTTCTCAGTGTCAAGATGCTTAGAAGATACAAATACTTAAAATCAATTTATTCTCTCTGCCATTGGCCAGTAAGAACAGTGAGGTTTGTGTCATCCAATGACATCCCTGATTGACTAATCGTTGTTTTATCCATCACATTAAACAAGCATAAATTTTAGTCAAATGAAAAATTAAATTGACTGCAATAAAAATCAGACTGCTATTTAAATCCAAACTGTTTGGGTCTATATCTTATTTGAGCATGAGTAAAAGGTAACTTTCCTAAAAGAAACTAGATTGAAATACAGCATGCCCATAGAAATGCATTTTTAAAATGTTAAATTTTTCAGAATATGAATTAAAATGTTGTGCTGGGCTTTACTTGAAACTGAGGGGAGCTTTCTATGGTTTATCAGACAAATTTACATCATCAATTAGATGTAATAAATATTGTACTTTTTAAAGATTTTTTTAAATGTTGATAACCAACATCAAAACAGCATTTAGAACAGACTGTTTTTTAATGTAAAATATTTTCTATGTGGCACCAGAACATAGATTTACAGGCACAGTCAATGAGCTTCAATGGTAGCTCCATATTGATTGGTTTTCATCAAAGTGCAAAAAATCAATTTAGCTTCAAGATCAATAACTTTGCTACAACAAACAAATAACAATTGATTACATCATTGACATTCTTGAGTATAAACACCACATAAATTATAAAGAAAACATAAAAACTACTAAGGGTTTTTGAGAAAAACAGGTATTAATTTTTTTTATTTTCCTTGAATTCACCAATAATTCTGAAAGCATTTTCTTTATATTAATTTACATTATAGTAAAGCTAATTGGTCAGCCACTAGCAAAGCTCATAGGGATAGAGAATGGCGGCAAAATCTTTAATGTGCGAGAAACCAAGTGATAATTCACTCTTTTAAAATATATTATGTATTACAGTTTCACCAAAAACAAAAAGATTTTTAGGAATTCAGCAACATTTGAGAGGTTTGCTGTTGAAAGTATGAGCAATAGAGCTCTAAATCAGGTAGGGAGAGGTGCAAGTATTTTTGGAAAGTGGACCATGGTTACAGAATTTTTAGGAATAGCACCCTTTTCCTTGACATACTGCAGTTTTCATGCTGTCTTGCATCACACATGTGCCCCCTTTGTCAGTGCCTTCTTCTAACCTTTCTCTGTCCCTAGGTCACAATAGTAAAGCTGCATTGTTATCCTTTTAAAGGATACTAGAGCACGACTTCTAACTAACTTTTAGCAGCAAATTAGCAGTTTTTCTTCATATGCCCTAAATCATAACAAGCTTTTCAGACTTTATTATGACTTGTGGTTTTTGTGAATTACTGATGCCAAGCCCAAGATGTTGCCATTCACAACGCAGGTCTTTCACGGGGGGCACTCGATTTATTGCTAAGTAACGTAGTATTCCTGCTGAATTTTAGATCAGAATTTTTGAGAATATGCAATTAAGCTTTGTTTGGAACAAATTATATATTATATATAAATTGTGAGAAAACCCGCTGAAGGCATTACTTACTGGCCTCGTGAGACAAGCAAAAATGAAGCTTTGTGTTTTACTCTCGAATTCTAATTTAGCCTTCGACAGCTCAGAAAGACCTTGAATTCCATTAAAATTCCGTTTTAATTTAACAAAAAACCAGTTTCACAGATTCCCCCAGTTATTGTAACAACTTTCAGTCCAAGAAAAGCAAAGTTTGACATCAAAATCACCTCGTAACGCCATCTGCCAACTATCGCAGAAAATCATAATTTAGCCGTAGGCTCCTTTCAACTCAAGATACAAATGACTTCATAGAGACAAATAATATATAAGCTAAGCTTGAATTGTTTATGTTAGAGTAGAGTTTTATCAAAACAGGTTTTGCAAGTAGGCGCGAGACTTAATAACCAGCTTTAGGCTGCTTGACAGGTCAACATTTGCCGAAAAATTTTGAAAACTTTGGCAATAATCCCAAAAATGCCTGTAAGTTTTTTAAGCCAAAAACTTACGACTAAAATTTATATTGTTTTTTAACTAAACTGTACATACCAAGTTTTCTTGATTTGCTTCCCTTGACTTCCTAGTGTCACCATGTATTTGTCGGCCTACCTATTCACGCCTCTAAAGTTGACTTTTTACCAGGGCTTTGCGAAGTTTTGACAATAAGCGAAAGCTTATTGGCTTCGATTTCATCCTGCAAAGCTACATTTGAGGATAAATCTTCATTTCTCACATATTACTGTAGCTTTCTTCGGCAGAAAGTCTGAAGCTAATGAGATTCACAGCGTGCCGACGAATGTTGTCTTGTGGTGTCAGTTTGTGACGAAAAACATGTGAATCGCTTTAATCATTAATCAAACAACATCGCATCACCAGAATCATGATCGTCTTAATGTTTCGGTCTGTGGTTTCGGAATGGACACATTCATAGCAAGGACCCCAGCACAGGTCCTGATTGCAAAATGGGATTTAGACAAATAATGCCACATGGGTGACTAAATCAGGCCAAAATGCGCATAAAATGGCCATATCAAAAAAATTCCTAAAAATACACTGCGCATGCGTAAATTTCCACGCAATTTTTCAAACTCAAACTAGAAACTGAGAAACTTTCTTCTTCAAAAAATTTCCTTTACTAATCGCTAGGTTAGATGACAATACTTGGCCTTTCGGTATACACTTTCCTCTTCCCATATATAATTTCTTTGCAACTCATTTTGTTTTACCAACAAAGGAATGTCCTCGAAACTTCTGCTGAAAAAGGTCAGATTTAAGGAGTAGGCCAAAAACGTTTGCCAGGCAATTTTACTCTGAAAAGTCCAATCTGACAACCCTGGCACATAACCCGGGTTGATTTGTTTTAAATCTAGGCATCGTGGGAAAAGAAGCTAACGAGTGACTAATGAAGCTGAGAACTGAAGCTGAGAACTGAAGCTGAAGATTTCGGCCTGATCGATTTTGAAATTTGTCTAAATTCAACGAGAAAAATGTTAGGCGAGGCGTAATTTTGCCTACGTATTCTTTGTAAACAAACAATGGATGGGGAAAGCAAATTATCAAATAGGAACATGGTGAGAATGATGCAATCAAGCCCAGATAAAAAGGAAAGATGCGTTTAATTCAAGCCAAGATCCATAATGTCCTGGAGTGAAACTCGAGAGAACTAGTAGATACGAACTTTTCTTTATTCTTATTAGGTTCTCATAGGACGCCTCTTAATCTCGGTTTTGGGGAATAGCTGAGAAGTCTGTCTCACCTAAAGCTAAGTTATGATAGGTTCGATATTATCAAATTGGAACTTTAAACCAAGGACAGGGACGCCGGAGAGGGGACATGGGGGGTCAGCTGCCCCTGTTGCCTTTTGATAGGAGGGGTAGGGTGGCAAAAGTGCCCTTTTCATGAAAGTGCCCTCGAAATGGCCTTTTGTAAGTACCAAAGAGATTCATATGAAATTCTAGTTGCATCGCCTAATTCACGAAGAAATTTCTTAGAACTTTTCAAGGTACATACAGAAGATCGAAAGAAAGTGGCAGTTACGAAAGAATTAGTAGAAGCTGGGAATTATCTTTCAAATACCCCTTTATTCAAGTCTGCCCCCTTGCCCCTTGTGCGTTCCGGCATCCCTGACTTGTTATCTTGCATGCAGTTATGCATAGCTCTTGGAATGTGGGGGTCTAGGGGAGATTATGCACAGCCTATATACCCACTTTCAGCATATGAGCTGGCAGATGGGATGAAACACATATTCCTCCTTGTAACTTCCCTTTCTCGGATTCCACTTCATCTCGGATAAATCATTCCTCGTCTCAACACAAAATGGAAATTACAAAACTTGGCAAAGCAAAGTCTTATCTCAAAGCTCTTAATAGGGGCTGGAAGGCGGGGTTGTTAATTCATGTTTCTATTCAGTTCTTTATTAATCATAATATTTAATAATAGCTTGTTTTTGAAGAACATTTTATTGCAGTTATTGTCCAAAATTATTGCCAAAATTACGTCATTTAGCAACATATACATTATATGAAGGCATTGTCTTTAACACCTACACGTAGTCATGAAATAAATCAATGCTACAAAAACATTATAGAATAAGTTTTTGTGATAAAAAACAATAACTTCTTTTTCCTTTTCTTTCGGTTCTCGGCATGAATCATGCTTTTGACGTCACGAGTTACGTTATGACCCAAGGTAAAGACTTGTTTGTCGGATAAAAACGACTTTAAGCTTTCTATAGAACACCCATTACATATTACAAATGCATATTGTTCATCAGGTTTTTTTAGGAAACGTGAATAGCTAGGATATTTAAAGACTCATTGCTAACAATGAGCCATTGCGCTACGCAAGCATCCCATAATGCATTTTTAGACAGTCTGAAATCAATTTACTGCCATTGAAGACAGTTTACTGCCATTGTTTGGTTCGTCGTCACGCTCGCAAAGGCCCATTGTTAGCAATGAGTCTTTAACCCTTTTATGCTAATCATCGTGTAAATATAGTATATCAATGCCCAATTCAACATGAACGCCCCTCCCTCTCGAATCGATATGGCCAAAGGGATGTTTCTCATAGAAAATAGATCGGAAGTGCCTGATCAAGCAACGCTCAGAAAGCTCAATTTCGCCTCAGAGTTATACGGGAAACATTACTGTTGCACGGCCACTGACCGGAGGAAGGTCCACGAAAAATGATAGAAGCTCCTGTGACACAAGCAAGCCATGACCACTATCTATTGTTTTGTGAGGAAAGTTTGCCTTCTTGGATGTTTTTATCTGGAAGAAGGTTAACAACTTTTCTGGACCCTGTTTCGCCATTGAGAAAAATTATGACTATAACAACTTTTATGAAACATATTCTTTTATGAAACAAAACAAGAATTGATTAAAACAGTATATCCAGTCTTGACATTTAAAAAACGCAAAGAAATTGTCAGGAAAGATAGATGAAAACCAGGCATAAGTCATGTGATTGTATCCTTGTCAGTCTTGTAAATGTTGAGGACATAATCCGTCATACTTTTAAATACTTGAGACTCTTTTTTCATAAGAACCAGTAAATTTGAGTTCAGGCTGATTGTTCTTAATTTTTTCGAAAATCTGAGGTTGGATTGTTCATAAATTTATAGGGTATAAGCAGTACGTTTTTTAGCTTTTCGTTCTGGGGAGGTATTCAGGCCTCTTTGCCAACAAAGTGAGTGAGACAACCTTCATTTGTCGCAATGTTTGAATATTCACCGACGAAAGCATTCACATATGGCTAATAATCCTCGTTTTTGAGATAAAGCGTTGTTCAAAATTTCATTTTACTGTAGCTCAGCCTCATCTTGTTCTTAATTTGTTCTTAACTTTTGACCAATTTTGAGGCTCGTGTTCTTAAAAAAATTGTTCTTATGAAAAAAGAGTGTACTTCGTGGCTTTTTCAAAATAACAAACTTATTAAAATATTCACAACAAGACAGCTGAAGAAACTTTGTAAGCTCAACAAAATTTTCTGATTCAAATTAATTTTAACGAAATACTACCCATATTACCATAACGTCTAACGCAATGATTACTGCACAACGCACTTTACAATTCTACGCCAGTCCTTTCTATTTTGTATCAGTTCTACTAATCTATGTCATGTTTTGGTCTTTTTAGAGAGATCTAGTATGATACCGATACTGTTGAGACCCTGACACACGGTTTGCATTTATTTTGGTCTTTCCTGCGTCCTTTTAACCTTTATTATATGCTCTTCAAGGGCTTTTCTTGCTGGCTTCTCGGGGTGCAGTCGCATCAGATGACCTACAATCCCGGACAAAAATGGTTGAGACTTTTCAAGGAAAATTTATACTTTCACTCTCCTTTAAAATATAACTCGCCACCCCTTCCCCCCCCCCCCAATTCGATGTTGAATACACGATTTTGAAGGAGAAATGACAGAACTACAAATCTAACATCGATTGGGTTGGGGGGATGGGGGTGGGGGGTTCGAAACTATAGATAGACATAAAGTAGAAAATTGCAGAAATTGCATTTTGTCTCAGCAATTTTGCCCGGGATTGTAGGCACGTTACCCTCCGTGCTCTTATTTGTTCACTCCATGTTTGAAATTTCATTCTGGCGTAGAGCTCGTTGCTGGTAAAATTTCTTTGCCAGTTAATTCCAAGAATCTTTCTTGGATGTCCAGGTTGAAAAGTGTTGGCACTTTTCTAGCTTTTTCGTCAAGGTTCACAGTTCACTATATTACAAAAACACACTTGCAACACAGTTATTAAATGTTCTCAGTTTGATCTTAATAGGGTTATTCTTGCTGCTGAAAATTCTGTTGAACATTCTATAAGCATTAATTGCCAAAATCATTCATCTGTTGATATCTTTTTTTGTACCGAATAAACTTTCAAGAACTTTGCATTCTTTCCATCCTTCATTTCTCTTTAGTTCGGTGTTATATTCTTCCATTCTAGATTTATTTATTCGCATGCTTCTTTCTCAAATATAACAGAAATGATACTTTTAATATGACAGATTCGATGTTCTGCAGTAGATGCCCACGTGATATCATCAGCATACTGGGGATTTTATTTCAAAATGGCTGTTCTTGCTGGATAGATCAACGAAATGTAACGAATCTAAGGTACTGACAATTTATTTTACATAGCGTTACATGCAAGCCTTAACTCTGAAAAGAACAAAACTTTTTTAAAGAATACACTATATCAATTTCAACTATAATTGTATTAGAAGATCCTTAAAAGATGTTGGAAGTAAACGAGATTTTGGTTGGCAAAAATTGACGCTATTTCTATTTATGTAAAGCAGGATGTGCTCCATCTAATATTTTCCTAGTACATCTTATCACTAGAATAGTCAGGCCAGATACCATTGAAGCAGAGGGTTTAGGGGGCTTAGCACCCCCATACAATCCCTGAAATATACTTTGAACAATATTATGAATCATCAAGTTCTTGGCTTTTAGCATATTGTGCCCTTTTAAGCCCCAAATCACACCTCAAAGGCAATATGCTTTGCATCCTTTAGCAATTTTCTGCCAGAGGTTGAATATAGCGTCGTGGTATATGATTGTAAAGGGATTGGGTCCAAACTAAAAGAAATCGGCTTTTGTAGGTTATGAAAGGTTGAATAGAATTCGGAGTTTTTAATATCATGGAGTTTTCTGAAATTTTTAATTTTCATCTAATTAAAATCGTCATTTAGTTAATCGCATGACATTAGGTAACATGTCCCCTGGAAGCTGTAGTGTTCACTTAGATCTTTGCCAGTGGCGAGGTTCGAGTCGAAGCAAGCAGCAAAGTAAGGAGTTCTGATCCAGTGGTTAACTTGAACTTTATCTCAGAGTCAGCAATTTCATTCACTCAAGGCAAAGAGTTTGAAACACGAGAGTGTAGAGGTATTGTCACATGGAGTGAAAAATTGACACAAAAAAGAAATACTGAAAGTGCAAAGAATTTGCCAAAT